GTAGAGTTCAATGACTTCTTTAGCACAGGTAACTGATGTGTAGGTAGTATTTGTATAATAGGTACTAACCAGTAACAACAGGTAGTAACCAGAAACGAGATGCACTGTGTACGCATGAGTTAACGGAGAATGGAAGTTGGTGATTTATCTGCGCCTCATAAAGTTCAGGCTTATCTATTTGGTTCTTTTTCATCGAATGATAAATTAGGTAGGTTCAAGGTAGAGAAACATTGTAGATATCGTTGTTGCCTTTTTCTTCAAAGAGCCGCATCTTTGCTTATGTACTTGTACTTGTACTTGTACTTGTAAGCAAGAGGTAATATACGTAAGGCACTTGCCGTCAAGAATCTGCCAAAGTTCCGCATTGCATTTTAGGCACATAATAAGGTTGAGGCTTTTGATACTGGGGACATACCCGAATAGGAAAGAGGTTGACTCTTATTATAGCATTTTATCGTTCGTGCTGTCATAAACCCGTACTGTACCTGCCTAGGTAGGTACCTAGATATCAAGAGCAAGTGCCGAAAACGCCTTGTAAGCAAGCTTTAAAAAGAACCGATATGTGACCAGATGACGTATCCTTTTTTTTATACCGTAACTAAAAAATTCTAGGTACGTGCTTTAGATTTTAGCTCCACGTTCCCCAAGACTATTTGCACAGCTTCATGTTTTTCTGGCTGCGAGCCCCCTTCTGCCCCTCCCTTTCAGCCCCTCCATAAAAGTTGATTTTCTATCATCATTAACCATGTCATTGGATGTAGATGATACGCATCTTCTGCAGGACCCTTTTAATGCTCCCGTCCCCCCCGATTAGCGCGTTCTGCAGTACATAAGTACATGTAGTACATACATATATACTTTATGTACTTACATAGCATAATCCCTGTCCAAGAGGAAAGGGAAAGTGAAGGATCTAACTCGAAGTCAGCACCATTTGGGTTAAGCAGCCAATCAAAACTTGCTCGTTTTGGGATACCCCCACAGACAACACGACAGTCACCATCCCAATCATCTTTCACTTTTGCTAATACCCTTTGACCTTTTGACCCTTTCCTAGAGAGCTCAGACCATTACTCAGACCATTACTTAGGTAGATATTTTATGGTCTATTATGGTATGAACCAACTAACCAACTATCTCCTTGTGGTGGAACCCTTAGGTATGCTTCACTGGAAAACGGTTTGGTCAACTTGGTGGTTCTGTTGAAGCTTACAAGACGAAAGCGAACCGGTTGAGCTCCAAGAGCCAAGAGGTACAATATCTCTAACAAGTTACATATAGTTCACATACACAATTTACCGGTATTATATAGAAAGCAACATTAAACCGCCACGGTCAACGCAACCACCATTGAAAAGGAAGCCTTTCCCGGATTTCAGACAATTATTTCAGACAATTATAACCGCTCTGATGACCCTTGGAAAACATTGACATCTAAAAACCTGGATCCCGGTCATAAATCCCCTTTCTTACCGCCATCTAGACTGCAGGACCGAGACATTCCCCGGGGGTACAGACTTCTTGTATCCGGTCTGTCTTGTCATCAGCCTCGACTCGAAGCACAGTCTTACCTACCTGGGTACCTCCACTAACGTTGTTGGCTGGGGACGTTACATGTGGGAATCAGACGAGAAACAACCTCTTCCCCTCCCCATCCCCTGGACAATATCACTCTTCCTTATCGGTCATAACATTCCAAATTGTCTCTGTCCTTCCGGAGTCTCTTCTCAGAGTATTAGTCGCTACTTACACCTGATCGTCTCACCGTGAACCCTTCATCCACCGTCCGATATCCATAACCTGTAACGGAACCCCGAGGTGCCGATCCCAGACTTCCATTGTTGAGTGACTGCCGTCATATTCCCAACCTGTATTACTCTGCCTCGGTATTCAACTCATACCAGCCATATTGATCGACGACACTCTGCCGGACATATTACACTTCATTCGTTTACCCTCGCGGCTTTTAAGACCCTATCTCTTATTGATATATCCATTATACCACATCTCTACCTCTATAACGACCTAAGCCTCGAGTTCGTCTGCTCAAGGCCCCTGTGAGACCTTAGGCGTCGCGCGCTCTAGCTCATCTCGATTTTCTCGAAGCCTCGAGTTCCACGACGCCAGCCACTTTTCACCTCATGCTACAGTCAACAGTCAACCTATCTTTCCAAGTACGACTTAGAAGAACCGCTACCTACCGCGCGACAATCTCGATGGGAAGAGTCCTTATGCGCCTCGCTTTCGACTGACACGTTAGAAATCAACCTCTAAAGTAAAATTGAGACGAGCCGTCTCTGGGGCAGTCGATATTTCTTACATGATCTATAACGTTCCTTGTCCAGCATACTTTCGAGCTTCTGTTGCGCCGGTACTGCCGCGCGACACTACGGAAGATGCCTATCATTAATGGACAAAAGATGGCCTGGTGAGTCGGATACAATTCTTTGCTGTTTGTCTCTGTGCAGTGTCCCATGGGGAGTCTCGGAAGGTTGCATGCTGTTACGCTAAGTTTGGGGCGCCTCTCCTAGCAAACTATCCTCATTTGACACTGAGAGTCTGTGTAACAAACGGCTCTTCCAGTATCTGGAAGAAATGGCCGCAGTCTTGGCTGTTTTCACCCACTGACTACTTCTCCTATTTTTAGTGAGCCATGCATACGAGGACATCGATCGACCAAGTGCGCGCATTTAGGAGACCGTATGCTGTTACCTGTGCGAAAGCCGGGTCGACCGCTGAGCACTTGTCCTCATCCGCCGGGCAAGTCGTGCCAATGCCGGAATGTAACGGCTGCGCTCCCTAAAGGAGGATCATGTCGATGCGGTGGTAGTCCGCCTAGTAAGACTAACGGCACGCCGGCCATCGTCAAGGCTGAACCACCAGACAACCCGCCGCTATCACCTACGAAACAAGCATCATTTCGAATTCAGAAGCCGACAGCAAAGCCGAATCGAAAACAATCTACTGATGCTTCCGCTTCCGCTCTACAGCGTATGAACGCTAACAGCTTGAACTTGATTGGCGCTAGCAGTGTTTTACCGGCATCTTCCGCTGATTATACGAATTACATCCCACCCTTACATAATGGTAGTCACCAATATCCCCCCTATCCGCAGATAGCTTCTCGTCTAGAGAGGCCACTAGACCCTTCACTACTTCCCCTAAGCAACGGCTTGTCGAACATATCGCCAGCACAATCTTCCAGGAATGGAATCCCAGACTGCTGTTCGAATAATTCAACGGTTAGTTCAGAAACGATGACGTCTGGTGCATCCAGCTCGCCCTACCACACGCCGACTTCGAGCACTGGTGATTCTTCGCAAGAACCATCTTTGGAACAAGCTGGAAGCTGCTGTTCTCAGAGGGTACAACAACCTCCACAGATACAACCCCATATTCAATTCCAGAGCCAACTTCATGCCGGGCCTCAGCAGTCCTCAAACATGATGAGCTATATGCCCCAAATCCCTACAGGCAACGGCTCTATGACGGCGCATTTTCCGCCACAAGTGTCGGCCGAACAACAAGTATATCCGATGAACAATTTCCACCAACCAGCCCTATACTCGGACCAGGTCCCATTTGGGACGTACCACTTCCCGCTACAGCAGTCGCAATGGGAGCAGTTAGTAGCGAATCTTTTGCCCCAAGTTGAACCAAATGGAGATGCCTCGGGTTCCTATACGAGTCACGTATGTCACTGTGGCGCTGAATGTGACTGTCTTGGATGCCCTGCCCACCCGTACAACCAAGCAACGTGTCAGTATATTCGCGATGTCATGGCTTTCCAGGAAGAGCCCGTAAACGGGAATATTGATACGGGTAATTCAATACCGGACCCGCCGCTAGCGGTAGGCGAAGCATCACCACCACCGACGCACAGCCCAGCCGACACGGAGTCGCCGGGTGCGAACGATCTAAATCTATCGCCCAGCGAATTTCTCTTCGTCGATTACGGTCACGGAATGTGCGGATGTGGCGATGATTGCGCGTGTGTTAATTGTTTGATTCACCGAGACCCACTGGATGCGAAGATGCATGGAGGGTCTCAGGACAAGACCCCGAACTAAAGGAGAGGGGGCAACGTGACCATTTCTACTGGCGTCTGGATTGGCATCCAACTACACGATGCCTTTGGCGGAAGCGACAAAGCGATAGATCAACTAATATCCCCAAGGATTATGGATGAAGCCCATGAGAGCGGAATATTCGCACGTATATATCTAGGAAGTCAGGGACGTATATATTTAAGGGAACAGGAAGGAACATGAAACATTTCATATAGGGGAACGACAGTTCGGAGAAGAGATTATGAGGATTTTTACGAACTATTGGTAGCGATAAATATTAACTATACGGACCTTGCGATAGGGACTTCGACTGAATTTTGAGGATCAAGTGGTCGATATACCCCCCGCCTAGAGGGGGTTTTGTATCGTCGACGAGCCCCAATCGGCTATCCTGGCGTCTTCCGGGGTGATTGGGTCTGGATTGAAGTTCAGCGAATAGAATCCAAGCCTAGACTGTCTACGTTCTGTACGAGTCGGCGTTCAACCGGCTGGCCTGCCGCGTATCTGGGGGCTTTCATAAGACCTTGTAAGACATGACGAGTAAGTCTTGGCGCAGATTTACGTACAGAGTTCGTGGTGTGACAGATGTTCGATACATAGTTCAGAAGATAGGGATTGATAGTAAACGGCCATATACATACGGGTCCCCAGGGGGCTTGATGGACTTATTTGTGGATTTTCCCGAGTCTTTGCTTCGGTTAGGTATCCTGAGATACAGATGCTCCTCCACTACATAGCGCAGCGACACGGTTTCGTACAATACAATTATTGTATTAAATATTGTATTAGATTTCTGTTTTGCATTACTTGTGATGAATGGGAATTAGTAGGTAACTTGGATGTTACGATAGTCGCGTAGGTTGTTAGCAAGAAATAATTCTATACTTTAGACAGTCTTTAGTACAAGAATTATGTGAGAACCTTGATGGACATTTTCGCTTATGTAAGTATCATACAATTGAATGCAGAATGCAGACTCCACACGGCACATGGCGCAAATGCCCGACGGGTGGTACCTTACTTTACTAGTCCGCGGCTTACTACGTATTATTAGCCTGTTCTCCTTTGTACAACATACAACGTACAATGTCCTCCAAGAAAGAACAGAACCAACAGGGGTCACTCTACTGCGGCTTCGGACGCATATGAATCCTACACGATCGCCCAATTTACCCCCCGTGCGGCTGCTGCTATCGTTGCATCAATGGCTGATGCTAGCGGCTACCGAGACCGCGGACTGGGAGACCACCGACGTCATTCGAATCATAAGCGAACGCGTGGGGAGGATGAGCACGAGTTAGATGACGTGAAACGTGTCAAGCGGAGATACGACGATTATGAGAAGGGGAGTGGAAGTAGATACGAACACCAATATGACGACCATCGACATTCTAGACGGCGTGATTCCGTATCACGACCGAATACCTCATCATTGAGAGAAGGGAGAGGGGAACACCGTACGAATTCTACCCCTTTCGAGCGCTCGCCTTCGATGTCCTCGGCGCGACGCCGCCATCATACACCTGATCATCACCGTCATCATAGGCGTCGCCACTCTTCGACTCCTCCCACCCATATCCAAATCGAGCTCCCATTAGGCGCGAGGCCTCTGGTCCGTTCCGATCTTAAGACCTTCAAGCCTCTATTTGCGCAATACCTCGAAGTGCAAAAAGGCAAGGACATTGCGGCGCTGGACGAGAGGGAGGTAAAAGGCCGCTGGAAGAGCTTTGTTGGCAAGTGGAACCGTGGGGAGCTGGCTGAGGGCTGGTATAGTCCTGAGACGCTTTCCGAAGCGAGGAAGGCTGGTGCTGGCGCTAGTACACAGCTTGTGGGGGAAGGTAGTATAGTCTCGGTGACGTCGCCGTCGTCGCGACCGAGCGGACAGAATCGTGAGAGACTTGGTGGGGGCAATGACTTGACGCTTTCCGGAGGGGAGGAAAGCGAAAATGAAGACGACGACGAGTATGGGCCAACTTTACCTGGGTCAGCTCCTGCGCAAAGCTACCCCCGCCATCATTCCGATGCCACCCGCTCTACGCGACATGGCCCAGGCATACCCAATCGGCAGGACTTGGACCTGCAGCGCGAGAAGGCAGAAGAGGAGCGCACCCAGCATATCTCGGACCTCCGTCTGGCGCGAAAAGCCGATCGCGTCGAGCAGCGCGCGCGCCTCGAAGAACTAGTTCCGCGGGCAGAACCCGGGACGCGGGAGCGGCAGCTGGAGAAGAAACGCGAGGTCAACGAGAAGATGCGCGGGTTCCGAGACAAGTCGCCGGGCGGGGGTGCAGCAGAGGTCAACGAAGCAGAGCTCATGGGCGGCGGGGATTCGGTCGCCGAGTACAAGCGCTTGAAGGCGGCGGCCGAGAGGCGGAAGACGGAGCGAGAGGTGCGGAGAGAGGAAGAGGCTAGGATTAAGGCTGCGGAGAGGGAGGATAGGGTTAGGGAGTATAGGCGCAAGGAGGATGTTACGATGGAGGTGTTGAAGAGGATTGCGAGGGAGAGGTTTGGGTCGGGGTGAGGCGTGAGGCGTGATATTTGGCTGGGGACTAGGGACTAGGGGATCGGTTTATGATGATATTAATTCATAACATGTTAACCTGCATTACACTTGGGGTAGGTTGGACTTTAAATTCCGCAGGGTGAAATTGTGAATAGTAGTTAATCAGGTGGCTACTTGTCTCCCCAGGTGCTTTTACGTATTAACATTTTACCTTATAGTATAGGATGTGAAGGGTCATCACCTATTGATAGTGAACTGTTATTACCTGGGCTAGTTATTCAGGAGTCCAAGTGTACTACGTACATGTTCAACTCGGCATATTGCAAAGTGTTACCTTTTCTACTATCCGGGTCTCAACCGATACGGCAGTACGGATGGCTGCGGGATCCACTTATGGACGCTTAGGCCAATCATCTGTGCAATATGCTCACAATTTGCTAGCGCTTCCCTCTAAAGGCCATGCTATATAAATGTGCATAATAGACCATCTTTCAACAACCAATCGGCGTGGTGGCAGAGTGGTCTAATGCGCAAGACTAGAAATCTTGTTCCTTCGGGAGCGTCTGTTCGAATCAGGCCCACGTCGACTCTTCTTTTTGCTGTTTTTCCAATTATTTTACTAGCTTTTTAATTCCGACCATCTTCATTTACATATCTTTCCAGAGTTTAGTAGTTTTGTATGAGGTAGTTTCTATATATGAATTTATCTCATTTAGATGTGACAAGTAGCCCGCGCCAGTTCTTATCAACTATATCTTGGACAACTATTTTAGAGGACTACGACCACGTACAGTATATGGTGGGGTTAAAAGGACAATAGTAGGACTTGAGAGTCCAGGTTAGCTTAATGTCTTACCTGTATATGTCTAGTAGGAGTTTAACTAAAGGGGATAGGGAATGGCAACGGAATAGAAGGGGTGATTGGAGAATCCAGATTGATTATTAGAAAAGGTCGTCCAATTAGTCGTAGCACGTCTCATATACTATGATTAAGCCAAAGTATGCTCAGCTGAGTATGCTATAGTAATACCTAGGGAGAGCCTCAAGAACTGAAGAATAAAAGGTGGTCAGCATTATGTTACCGGACACGTATTACGAATTTTCGGTTACACTCACCACATAAGAATTCGAGTAGAAGAAGCAATTAGCATTCTGAAGGTGTGTCTCATGGAGATAAGACTGCATACTGTACTAGGAAACAGGAACGTCCCCTTCCTCATTGCTACCTATCCCTATTCCCTGCTGGGGAAAAGATGATTCCGCCATAAAAACCAGATACATTATTGCCCGCCTCGGGCTTTTTCGTAACGAAAAAGTTGACATATGAGACTTGATAGCACAATAAGCCAAAGCACTAAACATAATCACTAGTACTGATAGCTACAGAGACTTCCGCTCATTTCCGCCGTGTTACGTCCCCATAATCCTCTCTCAAGAGTATCGCGTCCAATTTCAGGCCGAATGTTCGTTGGTAGCCTGACAGTTTCTTATTAATAACGGTAGGTAATATCTCGGGTCATAGGGGAATTTTACTGCTGAACTCCCTTGTCGTATAACTGCAGGTAAGTCTTTGTGGGCAGATAGTTAAAATCCGCTGCTTGGGATAAGGTAAATCTCTCGGCTGCGGTTCGCTGATTGATCGAGGAACGCGAGGTCTTGTTGAGGCCATGACTCAGGATCCGGGTTGTAACGTCGAGGATACTGAAGTTCATGAGCCATGACGCGATCTAGGACTCCGTTGTTCCATTGATGGACCCAGTCTGCCACGGAGAGGATCTTCTTCAGCAAGAAATTTCGAGGCCAGTTACGCCCGGCATAGTGGAGGCGGGTTCGGTCCCATCTGTATCGGTGCTATTTGAGATAATATGTTAGCGAGATAGAATTGGGGGAGGGCTTAGAAAAAAGGGGGGGAAGAGGGAGGGAGTTGTTAGAAAAGCGATTTACTTACGGCCACGTCGTTGCTCTCGGTTATCAGCATTGCCTCGATACGCGCGCTGTTTGAGATCAAGGAGAGGAGGTAGCCGATACCAGCGATCAACACAACGAAGACATAGACTTCGAGTGATTCGTAGAAGAGGCCATTCTTGATCGCAAGTAGCAGCGCAACATTCACGAATAGGGCTAGGCTGATATACTTGACGAGGACCCAACACCACCAGACCGCGATCAACTCCAGACCGTAAATGACGGGACGGTATCGAAAGTGGAAATCGGGGGCGACTTTTTGAACGACGCGGAGGAACCACTTTCTCTTCATCACAACGGCGATGAATGCTGCGTGGCCAGCGAGCAATGCGATCGAAAACAGGATAACCTGTTTGATGAAGGTGACGAGCTCGAGAAATTTGGACTCCATCTTTTCTGAATAACAAAAAGGAAGACTCGGATAAGATTCGATTCACAGAAGATGGAAGAAGATGGTTTGTATGGATGAAACTTCAATGTAATTGTCGAGGTGTTGAAGAAGGAAGGGAAGGAATATTGTCTTGTGGTGAGAAGGATGTGGAAAGGTAGATTCTACCTCGTGGGGTGGATGTTGGTAGATTTAAATAGAAATATTGGGAGGTGTAGGAAGAGTCATCAGAGGGAAATTCAACTCGTCCTGTAAGTAACTTTCGGGGGAGGTGAGCGGGTTTCAATGGGTACGTCGTTGACGGAAGCCGAGTAACACGGCCGGAGGCGGGTAAGGGACTCGGAACTTAGGGCAGCGGTATTGTCGAGGCCGGGTTAAGCGGGTGTCCGGGGCTGTTGTTTAACAGGGTCCTTCTGTAGTTGCTATTTGTGAGTAATCATGCCTTTGCAAAGGGCGAGAAGGATGGCTGATCGTGCTACCAATGTTACCTAGGTGCTATGCCTGACCCCCTTAGTCGTGTCTTTATGCGATATGCGGGAAAGGGTTGAGTCTACACAATGCTAGCTTCTTTAAAGAAAATGGGTTGCTTTAGAGTCATAAATAAATACATCCTCTACTACTACAGGGTATCTCGATTTACGCAGTTGTGAGCAATACGTGGACTTATAGTCGGCGACTATAAGTTGTGGCTAAAGACAACAGTATGTTGGAGATTCTATCGGCGCGGCCTATACGGAGAGCGAATAGATGGCGCTTTACTACTAGTGGCACTCGTATGCCAGGAGTCCTAACCTAGGACTGCAGAGGCACTTGGAATAAAAGCGTTGCATTATCTATAGGCAACGCTAGTTATAACAGGGACAAGCAAGAACGCAACTCTACAAAAGCACAAGTAATTTTTAAAGAAATCTACGACTGGACCGTTAATACGAGATAACTGAAACCCTTTTACCCATATCTTCCAGTGTTCGACAATGCTTGATTATATTACACTAGGATTTAAATGTATAATGGTGAGACGATTTGAGGTTCAAAGCGGAGCTGTCTAATATATATTGTAGACTCCTTGAATGGACGATCAATTAACTACCTAAAGTACCTGTTATACATGCTCATATTGACGAAGACTGGATCTATAATATGATGATTTTTGGTGCGATGATGTGGCCGAACTCACGCCCCTTACTTGTATGATAATATGCATTAGTTAACAAGATTAATTAACACCTACTGTGTAAGTTGATTCATTGAGGAGTTGACTGTAAAAGGGGTTGGCAGCAAATATTTACTACACATTAACCTTAACTATTCTTTTGTTAAACATATATCTACCATGTTGAGCTTTGCATATAAGCACAAAATCCACCTAATGGCTATGTGCCTTGTTAAGATGTCATGGGAAAACATCGACTTAGAGTTATTATAAAAGATTGAGTTCTATCATACACCCAAGGTTTAGAGTACCTCCTATAACACCATCTTTAATGACAACCCTGCCTCTGCCCTCCACTCCCACTCCCACTCCCCTTATGCGCCCCGTTCGTCGTCATCTTTCCCGGCGCATCATTATATCCGTACATCTTATTCTGACGCCATGAAGTCGAGCTGTGAGCATGATCGCCGTCGCTGGCGGTCTGCGAGGACAGGAAAACGGGCTGGGTCGAAGTGTACCCTATCCCTATCCTTCGCCTCCTCTTGACGTTCTTGTGCCCGTATGATTTCCACCAATTCATTTAGCGGGTTTGTTTGATTACGACGACGTGTGCAGCTAGGGGTTGCAATAGCAGCAGCCTTTTTGTCGGGCACACCGCTGTCGGTCCCCTTTATAGTCATCTCAAGAAAAGTCATTATATTGAACAGTCGCCAAAACTGCTCGTGATCTAAACTTCGTATATCTCTGAGGTGGTTTAGCCGCTTGTTTATCTCGGCTATAGCAATCCCCGCGTGTTGTTTTACGCATCTGAGCGTGTGAAGGAGTGTAGTCTTCTTAGCCATCTTGTCAAGATTCCTGGTTGCAAAATACCCTGAGCACGACGAAGAACCTTTCCTCTTGTTCTCTCTCGTATACTTATACCGAATAAAACTCTTTGTTTTCCTAATGGGCGTCCACGCTCGACCTAAGGAATTGTTCTGAACTTAATCCCAACTTCAAGAGTTGGCTGGTCATTGTCAAATAATCTGTAGGCCTCTCTTCCAATCCAACTTTTAGTAGACCGGTGCACCCCCCAGTTACAGATTGTCTAGCGAAGTCGTTCCGGAATGGCAATACGAATTCTCCCTATTGTGGACTTGGACGGTAAACAAATCCCACTGACCCCTCAAATGCATATATCCCATTAACGAGAAAGAGGTATTGCCTGATTAATTAGAATTAATGATGATATCAAGACTACCTGCCTGCGCAGTATTGATCCTCTTAGTTGACTTGGACCTGCCTCTGAAAAGATCCTTCAGAGTACCAAAACCAAGAAAGGGGGCAGGAGTGGGGTTAAACCTATATGATAGATAGGAAATAGCTGAAGCAATCTCCTTCACATGTTAGGGGGGATATACTCAAGATTTAGACTTCACAAGACATGGCAATCCGCCCTTCATCGGCAAAGTAAGACTGCTCTTGCTAACTCTCTCGCCCCCGTAGGCTGGCGTGAAATCAAACATCAACACCATCGTTGGGATGACCTGGGCAGCTAATAGTTCCGCCATCCGTTTCCCGAGACACAATCGCGGGCCGCCGTTGAAAACCGGGAACTCGGCAGCGCTCTTCGTGATTAGTTTTCCATCTTCCGTAAGCCATCTTTCGGGCCGGAAGGAGTCTGCGTCGTCTCCCCAGCTTATTTTGGACCTGTTCATGGCCCAGGTGCACCAAAATACTATGGACTTTTCTGGGAGAAAAGTACCGTCGGGTAGCGTGGTTGATTTTTCGCACTGCTTGATTTCGAAAGGGATTGGTGGGTAGAGTCGGAGTGTTTCGTAAAATGTTGCCATGGTGTATGGTAGCGACGAGGGCGTGAGGATGCTCGAGTTGATATTCCCTTTATTATCAGATGGTAGTAATGGCTCCTGGGTGTTGTCGAGTAACGTCCGTACTTCGTTCCGAATCTTGTCCATGACGAATTCATGTTGCATAAGGAGATATATGCACCACGTTAGTGCTTGGGCAACAGTATCTCTACCAGCAGATAAATAGTTTAAGGCAGAATCAGATACGATTTCCCGGTTGTCGCCAAAAACTTGCAATAACGACTGTATTAAGCTGCCGGAAACTTCATCTAGCCTATCCGGTGTCAGTTCCGGTGTGTACCTGTCATTCTGTTTCTTGGTATTTGAATTCGCAGCACTGTCTACAATCGTGTAACCAAAAGTACGGACTGTATGCAGTGCTTCTCTGAACTTAGAACCGGCGAAGTGCTCTTTAATGAACCACAGCGGGTTCTGAAAGCGTTCAGTAGTCGCGCCTGAGGCATAATCAAATGCAACAGTGAAATCATCATTGGCATGCATCTCCATATCATAAGCCATCTTTCCCATAAGCTGACTCGTAATCTCGTGAAATACGGATTGCAGGTCTACGACTTTCCTGGCACGGGCCTGCACTTGCACATGTTCTACAGCGCGGCCGAGATACCGCGGCAGCGCTATGTCTGTCAAGACTCGTAGGTTGGAAGTGTTGAGAAAGGCCAGGCCGGCTTTCCTCTGAGCTTTCCATAGCTCACCATCAACATTAATGATTCCGTTCCCAAACAAGTCCCGAGAGAGTCCCTTGAAGAAGTCGCCTTTGGAGAAGACACCCTCGTTTTTAAAGACATAGTCTAGGTTCTTGGGATCATTGATGACCACGCCTGGAGGTAGGGTGGGTACGCTGATTTGGAACGTCTCGTTGCCAAACCGCCTTTCGCACTTGACGAACCAAGAAAATAGCTTCTGGCGTGGCCGAAGAAAGAGGATTCCATTACCTACGATGGGTAGGGTATTTGGCGGCTTTCTAACGCGAGGTTAAATTCTGGACGGTAGCCTTATGGCCTTATGGAAGAGTATTGAGACGTGCCTTACCTCAAGGGAGCCCCATTCCGTCGAATAGTTGGGGTCCGTAAAGTGAATTGATAGTAGAGTAGTATCCCGAGTAACCCGAGCCAAGCTAACCCGTACCCTTCAAGGAGAGCCATATCAGTTACCGTAGAATGTTAAATAGAAGCCTCGGTGTATATGCTATGTAATGGCTTCATGTGATTTTGGTCTAATAAAAGGGGCCAGCTACATTCGTTAAGTTACATTGGTAAAGCGACTGAATTTTATCAATTGAGATGCAAAATTGAATTCGGGTGTTTTGAAGCTCATAGCAAGAAGATCTTTCAAATGAGGAATCGTAAAGTCATCATGTAGGTATGTACCTATGTAAAAGATTGGATTAACGGTTGATACTCGTATATCATAAAACTTCTTCTCATTGACTTTGTTGTTGTAGAGTTGTATTCCGTACCTATCTTCTATCACATGTTTTCAGGGGCATCGCATCTCTTGTCTCGACGTTTCAGCCTTACGTCAGTCGCCAATGACGCAACGGAACATGCGGATATTCCCTACCCTAGCCTAGCCTAGCCTAGCCCCTGTTGTTTCTCCCCTAGTCTATATTAGGTACGTATTTACTATTCGACACATGTGATTGGCTCCAATCTCCCATCTTCCCCTTGTAAACCCGAACCCGTTCATCGCGTCCAAGCTCAACTCGAAACTCAACAAAATCGCCAATCATGAAGGAGATGAAGCTGTCATGATGACGGCAGCAAGGGGAGCTAGAAAACTTCCATACCACTCCCCGCTCCTTTTCTTAAGGTCGCTAGCAATTCATATTTACTCAGGATAGCTTCGATTGTCAACTGTGCCGGTTCGCAGACCAGACATACACACGAAGCTGTTTGTCCGCCTATCGTCTAACTTATTATCCACTTCAATTGAGACGAGATACTCTAGGGCTACTACACCGAGAACTATACGGTGTATCAGCATCGCAATGGCATCCCAAACCCCTTGGATCCCCCGATTGCATCTCTGGGAGATCGACGACCAGCCGTGGTAAGTACATACCTACATACATCCACATCCACATATACCTATATGCAATGCAATGCAGACAGTCCAGAACCGTAAGCACTAGACCACCGGAGCTCCGGATTTCAGCCTCCCCTAATTACCTAGCATCAATTGGCTGTTATCGTCCGGCATGGCCATGGCACGTTGGGTCAACAGATTGATTGATTGATCGATAGTCCGATCCAACACATCTTCACCCGCTGTGGCTTACCGCAGGTCTATCCCGCTTCTCTTGGCTGTCTGACCTACCTACCCTCTCCCTGCATAGCGACAAGACAAGGGGAACAGCAGTCGTCAGCCTCATCCCGCGTCAACATGCCCTCACTTGACTACCTAGGTAACTTACCTCCACCCTCATAGGTTCCCCTCTTTCCTCCGCGCATACGTCCAAGACGGCCTAACGCACGCCTGGACCGTCCACATCCCGTTTCTGCAGCGCAGCAGCCCCGCGACCATCGTAGCCGAGACGCTACGGCGCGAACTCGGCAGCTCCGTTTCGCGGTACACCTACATCGACTTCTGCGCCGGAGCCGGTGGTCCCACACCATTCATCGAGCGAGCTTTGAACAGCCAGCTCGCGCGCCGCCGCGACGACGCGACGCACCGGGTTCCCGCGACGGCGCAATCCGGCGTCGTAGACGGCGAAAGTCGCGCTGCCGCAGATAACACGCCGAGCTACGCGGCCGTTGCCAGTCCCAAGGCCCAGTCTACTACCGTCCAGGAAGAGGACAGCCAGGTGGACTTCGTGCTGACCGACTTGCATCCGCACGTCGAGTCCTGGGAAGCCGCGAGTAAGAAGAGCGACCACCTAACGTACGTCGCGCGCCCCGTCGACGCCGCCAGCGCCCCTGCCGACCTACTACGTCGGTACACGGGGAAGAAGAGCAGGAAGGGGATTTTCCGGCTGTTCAACTTGGCATTCCACCACTTCGATGACGACCTAGCTCGCGCTATCTTAAAGAACACGGTCGAGACTAGCGATGGGTTCGGGTGAGTAGAGCCCTAAACTAGGAATTTTCTATATTTATCTTATGCGGATGACGCTGACAAGTTTCCCCTTAGCATCTTTGAGCTACAAGACCGGACCCCCACCGGCCTGCTGACGTGCTTCGCCTTCGGCTTCTTCATCTTTCTAATCGCTCCACTGCTATATTGGTGGTCACCCGTGCGCTTGTTCTGGGTTTATGTTATCCCTGTCGTCCCCTTTGTGCTTGTCTTCGACGGTCTTATTTCGTGCCTACGTACCCGCACTGCCGACGAGGTTGAGGCCCTATTACGGACCTGTGGTGCCAACAGCGACGGCTGGGAGCTTAAGAGCGGAAAGGAGCAGTTTCTTTGGCCCTGCGGATATTTACACTGGATCATCTGCACCAAGAAGGCTACATAAGGACCGAAAATATTCGGGCCGTAGGGTAGGGGGTGTATCGGTGTAAAGCATATGGTATCATATAGCCACTTATGATTCTTGCCCCCTTGTACAAAATGTCATTTGGTTGCATTCCGCAAAGTATAGAATATATGAAAGCCATGATAATATATACAAATGGTATTTTCCTTAGTCCCCCGTAAATGACGTTGGCAATGCTTCCCATGATAACCGCTGGACGCCCCCGGTCGCTTTCTACATAGACAGTTAAGCGAACTAAAGATGATAAAAGATGGGTAATCAACAGCCGGGGCTGACAAATTATTTCGTCAACCAACCAAGGTAATCCATAACAATTAAGGTTACCATACTACAATGTGACGTTAGCAAACATTATTCCGGCCTGTTCCGAATTTTGGGTGGGATGAACTTACGCGTGCGGCGCAATACGCACGTAGTAGGTACTGAATCCACGGTAGAAGCGCGTGATACCTTCCTCTCTGGCGACTTTGACGAAGCAGTCCGTCATGCTCTTGTACGGAAGTCTGCCATCAGGACCCCGTTGCTGCTTCTGCAATCTCGTCTTCACGAAGTCAAAGGGCAAACTGAGGAAGGAAGCGAAAAATCCAGCAATGGCGCTGGCCGTTAGGGTTTGCGATTGAGGAGACAATTGGGTATGCTTCTTAAGTTGCGCTTTAGCTTCCGAAAAGCATGCCAGTTGACCTAAGTTAAGCGCCATGGCTCGTACCACCGTTGGTGTCGCACCGGCCCATAACGCAGTGACGCCTTCGGATTTGACGATCGTCGATAATGCATCGATAACCGATTTGTAGTGCTTGCGCTCAGCGGCAGGCTTAAGGCCATCTGATTGCATCCGAATGAGAGCGAGATCTGCAGGGTTTCCGATAAAGGCTGCTATCCCACCGGCTGCAAGTCCAGCACTCGCTCGCTCAACAAAGGTAACCTCTCTACCCTTCTCCTTGGCACGCGCTGATAGGGCCTTCATAAATGTGTCGAAGAAACCCAATCTCGCTGTAGTATATACCGCCTGTCGAAGAAGTCCCGCTGAGAGGCCGGTGTATAAGTCAAGAGCCTTGCCTTGCGCAAGGATATCCCGCGTGACGGATAACGGAGTAGGTCTTTTCCCGGTAGCAGTGCCCTCGCCAGCAAGTTGCAACCTGACCTTGATCATGTCTACAGGCTGGATGACAGCGGTCGCAACCATGCCAGAGATACCGCCGTTAATGAATGGAAGGACCGCCCGCATGATGGGTGTGTGTAGGAAGTCATGTCCTGCGGCAGAAACTGCCTCTGAGCCCTGTTTGCCCATGGCGGACGTCTTAGTTCGTGCTGCTTCCGCGGCTTGCTTAAAGGTGTTAGAGCTCATAATTCTAGTCGAATTCCAGTCGCAAGGCAAGACAGTAGGGAGGCGAAGAAATCGTATACTGATACAAGGCCAAGACCCGTTTGAACTTTGGGAATGCCTACAGAAAGAGTAGAAAGCTAGTATTAACAAGACATAGTTAGCAGCATGTCCGTAAGTGTCATTTTGGTGAGACGGCTTTAAGCTTATAAGAAAGGCCGGACTACGTAGGGAACTCCTGAGAAGGTCCGGAGAAGCGCCATTGGCCGAGGCGCTCAACATCCGCTTGAAAGCATAGCCATAGTCATGACCGAGGTGTACAGCTAATAGCCGATGTTGCAATTCGGCCCCATTTAGCGGGTATCTGTTGTGATAAATACAGATGTGGACCGGTCGGGAAAGATAGGAAATGGGGTGTATGTACTGTACTTATTAGACCCCGGGCAGCGGCCAAAGACGTTGGAATTTCATCTCGGATACCGTTTTATTATCCAAGGCCATATCTGCGAGGCTGCACCAATAGGGTATTAAGTTGATAATAGCGGATAGTAGCTAAATGGTTGAGGACGGCGTTCCATGACGGGACAAACAAACGAACGAACAAAATGGGGGGAACCAACTTGTGCAACAATGTCTCAGTAGAAAATTAATAGATCACCCGGAGATGGGCTTCTCTTCCACCCCAACTAGAAAGCTGAATTGCAACTATCAGCCCTAGATTGAGGAAATTGAAAAAGCCACCGAGACCGGCGGGATCACAGGTTGAGCTCAACAGGCGAGGGAGAGCTGTACGTCGGTATGGATATTGGACGCCGGTGTGTATGTAGCCAGATGATGTCAGCAGAAGGAATATTCCGCCGCGAAATCGAAGGATAGCTATCGGATTTGGTGGGGGGGAATCAACAGAATAACAACCACCAAGTTTACAAGGCCAAGTAAAATCCAAAAGCAAAAGCGCGTGTAGCTAGGAACATGGATTTAAGTAATGTTAAAGAGTTGACGATATAAAGTATTAATTAGATGGAGGAGGACTTGGCCTCTGAAGGTTTGGAGAAAAAGAAAAGCTTAATGAGTTGGAAAGCACTGGATGTGCAGGTTATATATAGGTACCTACCTAAGGTAAGTAGTGCCTTGTGTTAGCGTACGTGGTATAAAAAGGAAGCCAGTCCTTGAATAAATAGGTATTTATTAAGGAGGGTGACCTCGGGTATGGTCGTTGCTACTAGGAATAATGTTTCGGGGTGTCGACTGCCTTCTAGTATAGTATACATGCAAGTGTAAACTCTAACTATGTAAGATGAAGGAAGGAAAGGGAAAGAGAAGTGGGACTAGAGCTTTAAATTATGTAAAAGAGATGAAAAGTACCTTTGAACCATTCGTCCTCCTTTTCTCGATTACCTCGAGTTCTTATTGGCGACGATGATGGAATCCCCTCTATACCTACCGCGTATAGTTTCTGGTGGTTAGGACACTACCGAGGGGCACCGAGTGCGGAGTTGACGCATACAATTCATCATGCCGACATCGAACTGGAAACAAGGTCATGCTGTACGATCGCTCCCGTTACAGTTGTAGTTCTGGTGCTTCTGATATCAAGTACTCTTCTCTTTACCTATCACCTATTCTATACCACTTACATATATGTAACCTAGTACACTATTTTCCTACCTGACGCGACATCGGGTCGATAGGTATTTATTTATTTATTTAAAATACCAGCGTCTAACTTTAATAACACTATATTCCGGCTAGTTTGCTGTAATGAATAACTACTCGGAGCCGTTCGGAAGTTCATGGATATACCATTTATTGCAATATAAGCTACAAGCAACGGTATATAAAAGCAATGTCATCCTTACGAAGTATTCTCGTCGTTGGCCCATAATCAAGGCCTATAATAGGTAGGCACTCTACTTAGGTAAACGTCAAAAGCGGCACCCTACATAAGTAAGCCTGGAACCATGGATCTCGGCATTGCATGGTTGAGATTTGCGCTATCGTTCCCATTCAACCGGAATTATTGTGGGCTGGGACTGATGTCAAAGTTGCGGAAGTCCGTGTGGAAAAAGATAAAAGGTCTTGGGTGGTTGGACAGAGTTCAATCTCGGCTCCAACTGCTTGTATATAGGCTCAGCAAATCCTCAGAAAGGTCATGAACTACCTGATATGAAAGCAAAAACCGTCATCCCTCCTCGATTTCGACGATTTAGACATCTGAACCTTTGTCCTTCTCGAGTGCCGTGATATCCTCGTCTCTTGTCCCGAGAGTTGGCGGATTGCGGGGTAAAGTCCCTATGCACATGCATCGTACTGATCGTACCAGTATTTTAGCGTGTGGGTCCACGTAGACAGCTATTTATCGATAAGCACGTGCTAATCTTTTATTTGAAATCTACGAACAAGCTTTATTGCCTTTAATATATCCTCTAGAATATTTAGCAAATATTATATAAGCTGAAGGACATTGCTATTAGGAAGTTACTTTAAATCTATGCGTTCCCCATGATGGCTATCCGAAGAGAAATGTGTATTTTGTTGGAATACCGGATACCGGAAGGGAATAGCTATGATAAAGACATTACACAAGTGACGTCAAGTTACTGGGGTTTCTCCATCGCTTTAAAAATTAGTAGAATCTGATAGGTACAAACACTCGTACAAACATGCAAGCAAGGACAGGGCAGGTCTTCTCCTAAAAAGGACTGCTGCATCTTCGTCCTCCAATCTAGAACTCCAACTCCGTTTCGCGTTGTTACTCCTGGTGGAAGCCAAGCTTATGTGAGCTCCTGTCACCTGTCATAGCAAAGGATATCTGCAAGTCTAACAGGTTCATACATGTGCGATCACGGGACGGAATAACAGTCCCGGCTCCAATTGCTCCATGGGTTCATCTACATCTCCAATATCTATAGTTACCTGGCTTGCCTTGTTTGGGGTCTCACGAGAGTAGCCGGTAGCTACCTAAATACGGGTGCCAATACGGATGCTTAACCCGGCTGTGAGAAAATGGCTAGGTTTTAATGACGGCACGGCTTGCCTATTATTGTTCATGTTAGAAAAGAACCGAAGTCGACGGATTCCTTAATTGTGTATCATATACGCAATCTCTTAGAATAATACGGTATGTCCACATCTAATACGCGTATACCAACCAAATCGTACCCGGAGAATGCGAAGAGTTAGACGACCGGCGGCCAGGTGAAAAGTACCTAATATAAAGGGGGTTCTTTTATGACCGTCCACACGCAGTCTACCGAGACAATACTTTCCATAGCGTCGCCTATTTCTCTCTATGGAATATCCATGATTGGTCTAAAGCCGCGAGGCCAGTCTGTCCTACCTTACCAGTGAAATTATCCGATAGGGTCTAATAATGCCCCGTAACCGCCGAGATGTAATCACCATTAACTCATCTACTTAGACGCATTCCGCCTGTATCTTTTATATTGAATTGATAAGCAATTCTAAACAATTGCTACTATGGTAGATAGGTAACTAACCTACTCAGGTACGCTGGTGGCTATCTAAAGCGCTTCCATTCAAAACACTGCTACATTTATGACCTTTATTGCAAGGGTCATATAGATAGCGGCCCCGATATAAATCTTATTCATCTATTATGATGCGGTGAGCCGGCTTCAGTGGACTGGGTAGGGAGAGCTCCCGGGATCAAGGAGTAGACTACCGATGATTACAATTGGTCGGTTGTCTATATTCGATAACTAGCCTGAGGTGACTGACCTCGGGTATTGTTTTATAAAAACCCGGTCTTCGGCTCGTATGACCGGGCCAACGCGACGACAATTACCGGGACTTGCCGCCCCTATCTAATACCTGCCTCCACTATCTTCAAAAGAGGCGGCACACATATGTGATTTCCTTTCAGCTAATTCAGCATGACCCTGCCAGAAGCGCGCTTGATGAACTGGGACTTGACTAGGCGGGAAACAAGTCCTGCTTAGGATAACTTGGCTGTCATTCTCGGCCGCGATTTTCGCTTAGGCTTAGAAGGTCGAGGGAAAGGTAGTCAACCTTCCTCCATCGGTCACAAGGACGGCGCCGTTGCAGTAGGCACCTGCCCTGGAGGCGAGATAGAGAATAGCGCCCGCCATATCCTTCTCATCTCCGGCACGCTCGAGAGGCACCATATCTTTCCCGATTCCTCCTTTTTCGATAATAGGGGCCGACATCTCGCTCGGATAGACTATGTACCTGTTAGCATGATAAAAGCGACCTATTCTACTTTTCTTTTTTTCCCGGGACTTATTTGTCCTCTACAGGGAGCAAAAGCCGAGGTTGAATGGCTTGAATCACTTACGGCCGGGGCATATGACGTTGGCTCTGACGTTCCACTGTGGAAGTGCCACGCTCAACTGTTTAATAAGGTGTATGCAGGCGGCTTTGCTCTGTCCATAAGCAAACCCTCCCGTATTTATCTTGTTAAAGCCGCCGATGCTGCTTACGGCGACTACCTGGCTTTTCTGCTCCACGTTGCCCTTCTGGTTGCCAGCATCTAAAAGCTTCAGGAATGATATGGTGGTATACCATACAGCGCTGGTATTGACGGCGAACGTGTTAGTGTAATCCTGGATGGGTATGGACAAATTGGCCTCGATGAACTCATCCAGGGTGGTTTCGGGCCTGGGCCGGTTCCCGTAAGGCCCACCGATACCCGAGTTGCAGACCAGTAGGTTGACGAAGCCGGCGTCCTGCTGTATTTGAGTGGCCGCTGACTGTAAGGACTCTTTGGACGTCACATCGCAGGTAACCGGAATTACGTTGCCAGTACCGATCTGCTCTGCAGCCTGCTGCAGGACTTGCAGACGTCGCCCTATGATATATACCTTTGAAGCGCCATTGTTGGCTAAGGCTTTAGTTATCATGAGCCCAATTCCTGAGGTACAAGGTATGTTTGTCAGTAACATGTTCGTTCATATGTTCATATGTACATAACGTAGTATAGGTAAGCTTAATCTAGGCATCGTCACATACCTGTACCGCCGCCTGTAACAACAGCAACGATACCCTTGGCGTTGAACAAGCTTTCTGCGCCAAGCGTGGCTGGCGTTGACTGCGAAGTCGTCATTTCGACCGATTCCAAGAATCAAGATAATATACTGCTGTTTGCACTGAATGTTCTGCCAACCTCAAGAATGTAGGTAGTGATTAAGGTGAAGAGTATCTAATGTTTATATCTTGTAGACGGGCCTTTTCTAGTTGCCGAATGCACACTTGACTCACACGGCTTAGTGTCTTAAGGGTTATATACAGAATAGAATCAATTACTCTAGCCGGACTTGATTATACGTAAATAAGTCAGCAACCTTAGGTAGATAAAGCCAGTATTGCCCCGCCATCTCATTGATGATTATAGCTTCTCCACCTCTTAGTGGAGCTTAGCATTGCGATATGGCCTAGTGTAGGTTTAGGAGGTAGATACCAGAATAGTTGTATAAAACTCGGATAGGTACATATACACCGATAGAAGGAAATTCTTTTAATATAACGTGGTATTTACATAACGAGAACTACATCTTTAAAAATTTCGAGCTTTACAGTTTCTTAGATATTTTGTACCTCCAAGCGCAGTATTCACATACCGCCCGATATGCCAAAGCGGAAACGAAACCACGAGCCCAGCCTCGAAGAGAAGCTGTCGCAATGGCACAAGCAACTGGCACGCGGCATGAAGACCGCCAAGGGTTTCGAGCGCCAACGATTGAGCAAGCGCATTCGCGAAGCTCAGAGCGACCCGGACAAGACGGCGAGGCTTGAGAGGGAGATTGCTGTATTAAAGGTATGGATGGAAAATTGAGAGATTTTATTGTCAGAAATGCAGAAATGGCCTCGTATTGACGTATAACTCGCCATTAGAGTCTCGATCTTCAACAAGCCGCGCACGCGCATCTATGCTCATCACTTCTCAAAATCAAGGGCGTGGCCGAGTCTCCAAAAATACCCGCCGATATAATCAAGCCCATTCCGAAGCCTGAGGGGCTGTCCGAGGAAGAGAAGGCCGCGCTACACAACGTGACGAGTGCGCTCTGCAATCGCAAGCAGATCCGCGACGTCATCGAAGAGGCTATCATGGGCACCTGTATTGCGCTAAGGGTACCCATGCCGGAGAAATTGAAGAAAGGGAAGGATAAGAAGGAGAAGAAAGACACCAAGGCTAGTAAAGAGGAACAGGCCGACAGAGATAAGCCGAAGAAGGAAGCGGTTAATAATACACATAAGGAAGAAGACGAAGACGAAGACGAAGACGGAGAGAGATCTGATACCGAAGAGAATGGGCCAGGACTAGTGCTTTTGAAGAGGAAGAAGGATAAGGCTGAGGGTGACGAGGAGGAACTCGGTAGCGAGGATGACGATGAAGCTGAAGATGATCAACCATTCGAAGGTTTCTCTGACAGCGATGCCGAGGAACGAGCCTGGTCGCGGTATGATGCCTTTGTAGCAGGCTCATCTAGCGACGATGACGAATCAGGAGACAACGAGAGTGTGGACGACGAACTTGTCGCAGACAGCAGAACGAAATCGCTACGAAAAGCGACGGCCGACGACATTTCTATATCATCAGTCGGATCGTCCGAATCAGACCAAGAAGAGGAAGAGGAAGAAGAAGAAGACGTAGAAGACGTAGACAGCCAAATTTCCGCATCCGCATCCCCACCACCTAAAAGGGCTAAAGTCGCAAAGACGGCCGCGATAACAGCCGGCAACTCGGCATTCCTACCTTCATTGATGGGCGGCTACATATCAGGCTCTGAATCAGAAGCCTCCGACCTCGATCTCGCCCCCGCGCGCAAGAACCGGCGCGGGCAACGTGCGCGCCAAGCTATCTGGGAGAAGAAGTATAAGGAGAAAGCGAAGCACGTCCAGAAGAAGCAGCAGGAAGCCAAGGCGGGCCGAGATCAGGGATGGGACATGAGACGAGGCGCAGTAGGGGACGAAGAGGGGTCGAATAAGCCCTGGAAAAAAGGCATCCGGAATCCCTTCGATAACAAGCATATCCACCCCGAGCGCCAACAGCAACTTCAAGGGGGCCGCGAACAAACCAGTGGGAAAAGCTTCGTGGAGGACAAACCGAAACCAAAAGCAATACCTAAGCGGGATGATACGGGTCTCTTACACCCAAGTTGGGCCGCGGCCAAGAAGGCTAAGGAAGAAGGTCAAAAGGTCGCATTTCAAGGGCGTAAGGTGGTGTTTGATTAAGTTATTTAATAGATACCATATTAGTAGGCTACGGAAACTACTGAAGAGAATCAATATTCATTGTAGGAAATTATCGATTATATTTACTTGGTCTACTCTGAATAATTCTAGCTCTAGCAGCCCGTAAACCAACCCACGCATTTTCACAGTGTTGGGGATGATGGTGAACCTTAGGTACTCATATCCCGGTGTTGTATGTTTGGAAATCCGCGAGCCCAAAGTTCTTCACGGCAGCAAGAACCCCCCTGATTTAGTCACGTATTGAATGGGCCTTATAGAGGCGGTAGTAGGTATAAAGATTCACTGGACACGACGCCGTAGTTTGAGGATATGTTTCCTAGATTGCATATGTGCGGTAGATTTCTAGGTAAGTTTCACGGATGATAGGTATCTGAAACTTTTTATGAGAATTTTTGGTGGATCGTAGGCTGACCTAGGTAGGTAGGTACGTAAGGAGGTAGAGATGAAGCATAAAATAGAGGAAGATAGGAGACTGATTTGAATCAAAATCATGACTTCATAGTTGAGATTGTAGATAAAACGAAGATGTAAAGAGAAGAGTCCAAGTATGCCGTCTTAAGAGCGAAGCGGCTGCTTCACTTCCGGGGGTTTATGCCGCTGAATGTAAAGGAGTGTGCGCCACATTGGCGTTTCTCACCCTAGCCTACGGCGTTTTCCCACTCGTCCCTCGTCATGAGAGTAAGCTTCACCTTCGCTCGATGGTCCGGATGAAGGATTGGTTCTAGAGCCACCGCTCACGACAGGACGAGGGTAAATATCAGATTCATCATCGCTACTCGGAGGGGTATCCTCCCGATCATATAGCTCGTTGGCGTTGTCATCGTCGGGCTCTTCTTTCACAGACCTGGTATCTGGCTCGGAACGAACAAAAAGCGAAGACTCCTTATCCTCATCATCTTCCTGGTCCCCTGTCAGATCTATCACCTCATGATTTGCCTGCTCGGTAGGATCGTCAATCTCCATTGGGTCTGCTGGAGGAGTACCCGAGCCTGATCCGGAGCGAACAAATAGACCGCTGGAACTGCCGTCATCATCATCAATATCTATTCTGTCTCCTTCGTTTTCGTTGTCTTGCATCTGGTTATTACGCTGTTGGGAGGCCCCGACTAACGAGATAGTGGTAGCATTTTGTGATACGCCCGGTAGACCAGAGCCACCCGCGTCATCGTCGTCATCGTCGCTATCAGGTTCAGTATCGCTATTAGGACTAGGATCTACAATTTCTGGAGCTGGAGAGTTGGGGGCATGTCGGAGATTAGGAACATGTCCGTCTTCAGAATCATTATTATCGTCCGAGTCGCTGATACTGGTGCCGTCCCATGAAGCAGTATCGCTAGATGCGCCGTTGGCTGAGCCAGTCGTTTCGGAACCACCCGCCGGACCTAGGATATGAGTCTCGTCGTAAAACGTCTTAACAATAAGCATGTCTTCTTCCGACGGGATAAAATCTTCCAAACACGTCAGCGGTGTCAGATTCTCTAGATGGCTCTTAAGGGCAAGACCATCTTGCTTCGGCAGAGTTACGACAGTGCATAGGTCTTTTAGGAACGACCAATCCCGAATTGATTGGCGGTGATCAAGGCCGTTACTCTCTTTGAAGCGGATCCAATCCATAGCTCGTAGTTGATAAAGATAATCGATCCCTTGAACTGTCCGCATTGATCGAAACCTCCGGTAATTCGGGTGTCTAAAAGTACGGCGAACCATAGTCTCGAAAGGGTCAAATTCTTTGTCCAAATCTTGATTCCCATCGGATTGGTTGCCGTCAGACTCATCTCCATCCGATTGATATTCATCAGACTGGTCCTCGATAAGCCGGCCTCTACCTTTACCGACTTGCTGACGATCCTTCGTCTGTATCTCATACTTCCGTCGTGTCCGGCTTTTCTCACATTCTGCTATGTGAACAACCAGAGTGCGAAGGCGTCTCGTTTTAGTAAACCACTTGAGACCGAGTGAACGTTGCGAGATTCTGGTCTCGTGTCTAGGCATCAAAGCTCCATGCCACATTAGTTCGACATTCACCAACCGCTGGACGCGCGCAGCGCCAATGCCATTGCAAAATCGATGCCATTCGCCAAGCGAGCTAAACGCAAAAGTATTCGCTCCGTAGAAAGCATGTACACCGATAAAGTACCAGCGTTTACAGACCAGTAAAGGCTTTAGTACGTCATTTGGTTTGCGAGCTAGAATAATTTGACATGGCGACCTGCCAAAATGGAATCTGGTTGGTAGTTGACTTTCGCCTTTGACATCCTCGACGGGGAAGCCAACGGGTGGATTTGAAGGATCTAACCGAGAGAGACAGTGGATGAGAGTACCCTTGACAAACAGTTGCTTGAATATCTTCACCTGAATCTCCAAAGGAAGCTCCTGAAATGGGAAGTAAGATGTAGGGTGGATCTCCGGCTCAATCATGTTGTTTTCATCATATGCCCGTTCCAGTGCCAGACGCCGCGCGCGCCTTTCTTCTAATACCAGTCTCTTTTCTATCGCGCGCCTCTCCTCTGAAATCGTCACCTGCTGAAGTGAAAAGTCAGGATGGAATATGTTTAGTCTCTGAGACATATTTTCCTGTTTGCAACATTCGCGATAGACCCTGCTATAATTTTCTTCGCCCCCAAAGTGTGCTCTTAGTAGAAAGCTCCATGGCTATATATAATTGTAAGTATGGTCCTTTATGACGAAGAGATCGAATGCAGGTACTCACTACACAAGGTTCACTGATCCCAGCAAGGCGATTCTCCAGTTCTTTGATTCTTTGGTTTTTTCTCCTAATTTCTCTATTTTTCTGCCGGATACAATCCACCAGCATTTGAATGCATACCTGTTGACGGTCATATGCATCTTTGAGCTTATCGTAGTCTTGATTGCGATGGACTTCGTCAAAATCCAATTCACTTAAGTCATCAAGAATACTTAGATTGACCGATATATCATCATCTGTAAAAATTAGCTTTATGTTCCTTCAAGTAATGGAACGAGCTCTTACCGTCGTCATCTTCCATTTGCTCTTCATCGTTGTTGTCCTCTGCAGTTTGGCCTTCAGCAACGTCTGGGGATGCACGTTCACTGCTAGAATCTTCCGATTCTTCCCCCAAATCATGCTCATGATCATCATTCTCGGCACTATCGCCGCGTGCGGAAGACATATTGATGTATGGATGTATGTTACTTAAGAAGTATGGGTTGTGTGTAGTAGTGAAGTAGAGAATATTTCAGTAGAGTTGAATGAAGTATCACGGGAATGCAAGGACACTTATGAATATATTTCACCCTCTTAGGATTCAAAGACTCTGGGTCCGGTTGATGATTAGTAGCAGGCCCTTCACATCAATTCGTTCATCACGAGAGAAGGCGCCAAAATTGCAAAAGATGGTGGGTAAGATTAATAAAACAGTTGGGCTTGAAATGGAAATCACGATGGAGAAAAATACCTCACGGAAGCAGAGGATTTCAATATTCAAGTCACTATTGCACGAGAGATTATGAGGCGCGGATGTTGGGTTTGTGACGATTAGACGAGTGACATTGGATACGTTAAACGTGCAATGAGGCGAGCTGACACTTTCAAGGGGAAAGAATCTGCTAACACCGATACGTGCAAGGGAACAGGTTTGAAGGTCTCACTTGGCTAGCTGTGGCTTGTGGAATTGGTTAAGAGCGCTTGGTGATGGGGGGTGAGATAAATGAATAAGATTAAGATATATGTATGCAAATAGAAGATAAGATAGAAGACAGAAAGGTATGCTCAAGCAAATAACTCACCAATTTGGTCAGGGACGAAGTGTTATAGTAGGCTAGGTGTGAAGACGATGCAAACAACCTAGTGCCAGGGTTAGGAACGTATTCAATCACGACCAGATGAGTGGTGAAAGGGTCAATATAGATGTAAGAAGGGAGAATAAAGACTTGACATCCAGATACCGAGTAAGGGAGCCGGATATGACTTGGCAGAATAGAAGAAGCAGGTATATTGTATGTGTGTTGTGTGTGTGTTGTGTGTGTGTTGTGTGTATAAGATGGGGGAGTATGTCGAAGTTTATGCGGGAGGGAAACTCGAAGGATTTATCTTTAAGTAAGAAGGCAGGTTGTGGATATAAGAAAGGAAGTAACGGGAGTATAGGTATGGGTGGTGCTGTTTAGTATGTGTTATAGAAAGAACGCACCTGACAACTAGATCTTGCCCTTCCTAGATTTGCGGGAAGGTAAAAATATCCGGGTTGAAAGGAAAAGGATAAAAGTCGGCTTGGAAAGGAATAATTTAATTACCTAGAAAGGATATGGAGATTGTCCTCCGAGTTGTGAAGTTCAAGAAAGGTAATTGTTGTGGGAGGAGATGAGATAGATCTCCTGGATACGTAGATGTGTTGTGCCCGAATGCCCGAATTTATGAGGGTTATTGTCTTGGGCTACGTTTTTCGAAAGAGGAAGTTCGTCCACTTTCATCTTTTTCTCGAAATACGTACTATTTCGAGCCCTTTTCCAGGGTGCCGAGGCCTCATTTTGGGTACCGAATCGAAGGTGAGGGTGCCGAGTCCTGGGTGCTGAGCCCTCCTTCAGGGTGCCGAGCCGTGGCTAAGGGTGCTGAGGGTGCTGGGGGGTATTAAAGGCGAGGGTGCCGGGGGTTTCGAGGGTACTAGAGATGAGGGTATTGAGGGTATTAAGGGTGCCGTTTTTTAGGGTCTCGAAGGTGCTAATACGGGGTGCTGAGGATAGCAGTATATATTCGGGCTATTGTGGCATCCCTCTGGGGTGCCCTCCAGTAGATGATGAGTTAGAGGGTAGGTCGTTTGGGGATTGGGAATGGGAAAAGGAAATTGTAATATGTGTATATGGTAGCAAGAGGTAACTGCCAATTATACGTCCGTTAGTATGATCTAAATACCTTCCATATATACCTCATACCTACTTGCGAGGTAGTAGCTTTTATCTCTTAATTGGGCTTTGAAGTAGTGACTGAGAAGCTATTCGGGCAAGGGCAATCATAAATTCACGCGGATATGTCAAGTTTTGAATGGCGTAGAAAAGTATAGTGATGATCTAAATTCTGGGGAAGACGTGTGCTAGGTATCTTGTCTGCTATCTATAGACACATGTATTGCTGCCAATATGCAAGTCGCTAATCAAACAGAGGGGTGACAATGCCTAGCTATTCCTGGTAGAGCATCGAAACTATTCCGGGGTTCTATATTTAGTTAATGGAGCGGAAGAAATCCTATTGACTTGTATTAGTGGCCGATTAAAACAAGTTGATTAGGTAGGGAACGATGAGACTTACCATAACGCTAGTGAAAACAACTAGAAGGATACCTCCTCCTGGTCCGAGTCTTAGGACTTTGGGTAGGAAACCCTTGTACAGGGCACCAAAGCCCTCCTCCTTCATCACAGTGGCGCAAGCACCCCAAGCCCAGTTATACTTCGGGGTCTGTCCGGGAATCTTGGGGCTATTTTGGATACGCGACTTGACGACATCCATTGGCGTGTTGATGATCGTACCGACAGTACCACCAATTCCTCCGGAGACTAGTCCATTGAGGATCTCACCCTTCTTGGTCTCGGCCTTGGGTAGAAGTTCTTTAACCTGGAAGATACAACCGAAGTATCCCGCATTCCATAGTATGTGACGCCACATAGTACTCTCTAGACCATTGTACATGGCCAAGACACCCTCGTTCTTGATAGTCTTGGCGACTACATCGATCATACCAGTATATTTACCCGCAGAAGCCTTGTCTTGTAGTCTGATCTTGACCAACTCGAAAGGTACAACAACGAAAGACTCGGTGGCACCGGCCGAGGCACCCGTTAAAATCGATAGTGATTGGTTCATCTTGTCAACACCGAAGGCTTTGCGGTAGAACTTGCCCCATTCATCGTTGGCAGCAAACTTGGTGGCACGCTTCGGAGCTTCCATCAGAATGGGGGCTGTGATACCTCTGTATAACCTCGAGAATCTGCGCTTCGGATGAGTCTGAGAACTATAAGTTTTGGGCGGTCACCATACCCTTCATTGCGAACGATCTTTTGGAAGCAGTCTACCATGCCAGTGTACGAGTCTGCGCCAGTTCCCTTGCCGGTTTGGAGTTGCCTGCTCTGTGGTAAGCTTCGGACATGCCAACTACAGGGTCTTACTGTTGCTCACACTCGGGTTTTCACAACATCCAGAGGGTACCTAGTCTATGTCAACGATGTGCACGCGACAGACTCAAGCGGGGTATGGCATGGTATACATGGTCAGAATCTGGAAGAGAAGAGTGTGAGATTAGCTCGCTGTTATGCGCAGAGGCTTCGAGTTCGTCACTTACCTCCGATATGCCAGCAATAGCACCTAAGTTAAGTGGTTAGTTCATGTCATGATCGTCGGTTGAACCGTTTAGGATGCGACGTACCTGCGGCAAAGGTGTATACAAAGGGAAGTGGTTTATCTTCAGACATCTTGGGCAAATTTAACCTCTGAGATTACGGTGAGCGGCTTGCGTTACAACTCAATTGAAGGTAGAAGAAAAAGTGTGTTTTGGTAAATAACACATACATTCGGGTACTGGCGGTTATTTGATCTGACAAGAAACGAATTTCGAATTATAATTTGCGATGGCGGCGCATACTTTACAACCCGCTAACCCGCTAACCCCATAACGCCGTATGCCCGCCGGATCGGCGTTATCAGTTGAACCCCACTGTGAATAACCCTAAATCTGCAGGGACTTAGGTAATCCCTTTATCTATTAATATTACGTACCTGGGTATTTATTACTTTAACGCTTAAATGCATTGCCGAAATCATGAAAGCCGATATTATGCTTGGTTGTTTTGATATTGATCCTTTGTCTTGAACGCCCGAAGCCGTATCATGTAATGCAACTGTAATCCGTAACAAGAGAACAAATTCAAAGCATATTATACATTACATTATTCTATCCATGAGTTGCCTACTATGGAGAGTTATAACTTCTATGCTGCAAGTAAAAAGACATTTCCGAGATACATGCATCGAACAGCTAGAAAGATACCTATGAAGTAAGAACTGAATGGGTTATTTACCTACCTTAAAGGTACCCAGTAAACCAGATGCCTTGGTATCTATCTAATGAGTACTTTGTTTGTGGTATTTAAACCTACAGTTGTCCCTGCGATTATCATACTATAAGATCTAATAATTTCAGGCGGGATAAGACTTACACAGATAGGAGGTAGGTACCTGTTATGCCAAGTTGATTTCTCGGCATGGATTCCTATTCGTAGCCCTATGATCCAGCTGAGACCTGTCGCTATTGCTTATCCGTTCATATGCCTAATGTAGTGAAGACCAGAGCTTACACTGGGGAATTCGTTGGGGGAGAGATGCATGTGAACTCCACATTATCCAATGGCTTGCAGAAGCGTAAGCAATGGCTATGTAGGAGCTGGCTCATACCCAGACTTTATTAGATAGGTAGATATGACTTTGCCTGTTAGTGGCTTCGAATATATCAAATATTTAAAAAGATGTGCGTGTAATGGGGATTGATTAAAGTTTGCTTTAAACGCCATACAATTGTTCAAAAAGCTCCAGGTTTATTTGTTTGAGCATTGCATGTAGGTTTAGGAGGTATTTAAGGTACGTACCTACATATGTAGGACTCGACGCCCTGAGGATTTACCATGCCCTGTCGGTTAGAGTTATGATTGGTCCATAATAAGGTTTCCGATGACCCGGCTTTTCTATGTATAGCGTGGTAGCGTCGCGGGGTTTACGCACAAACCGCAGATAGGCAAGGACCTACCCTATCTTCGTCTATGCACTTCGACTATCACTTTCCATCATTTATGATAATTTATGACACATACGCTCAACAAGACGCCATTTCCGTAATATATCATCTTGGGACCAACTACCGTAAGTGAATCTTCTATAAAGTGTACTATTCGCTGCATACCTCCTTTCAAGTGGCAACCCCTTAACGAAGCAACGCGTTATCGATCCAAGACCCTTGGCAGCTCCCGATAAGTACAATTGAACCGATACGACTCATCGCCGACTCATCTGCTACGCCTGAAGCGCAAAGCGCAATATCCATTCTTACAACGTCTTGTCCCGCATAGTCGAAACCGAAGTCGAAATCTAACGCTGTTTCCGATTCGTCCCCTCGTAGTATCCCGTATCGGTCCCTTAAGCTAGAAGAATCTGCGCATACGTTACTATAGTCTGGAGTTCTGGGGTGATCACTCGCAGTGGGATAACCCCTCCAACGTCTTGTCAATTCAAAGCGCTTCCAATCGCACCTTTAAATAGGCCGTGATCCCTCGAGACTCACAGCGAGGTGTTGTTTGAAGTGCTTTGAACGACACCTTTTAATATACACATGAGTCATCTACTTTGGAAATACTACTGGGAAAATGATGTCGACAAATTCTGTCGACTGCTGGCTCCGGCCAGCTATTCCCAGAACCCATCCAAGACTTCGGGTTCGGGAGTAGGTAGTGCCGGCGCATTCGGAAGTTCTCCACGAGGCATCACCAAGTCGCGCAAAACGACCGGCCTTGGCGTTTCCGTAATCGCGCCTAAGAATGCCGGCAGTAATCTTGGAAAGGGTGATATTAATAGTCGCGACTACTCGGGTTTAACTATTCTACTCCGAGCCGTTTCGTCAACTTCTTCGAACGCCATTACCTTTGTCGAAGCCCTTCTTGACCATCCCGCGATCGATATCTACATTCAGGACTACGAGAGTGGTTGGAATGCCCTACATAGAGCCCTATATAATGGAAATATCTCGATTGCGCGATTGCTACTTGATAAAGAACGTAAAGACTTAACAAGTTCTCTTGGGGGGGTTACTACTACTAGGGTGGGACAGCTAATCAAGACGAAGGACCATGAAGGAAATAGCCCTTTTGACGTATACAACGCTAGTATTGCTTTGCGAACTTTGAAGGTCTCAGAAGAGCGTGCGAGTCTAGAAGATGACGGTTCAGATAGTGATGAGGGTTCGGCAGGCGAAGACACTAGGTAGGAAGGATATGGGCTAATTAGGTCTGAAGTCGTGTTTTGCTAACAACTCCTATAGGCATCATAGCAGACCTGCCGCTCTGGGTGAAGAAGTATTCACCTTTGGTAGCAATAATAATTTTTCCCTTGGCCTTGGCGATGAAGATGATCGGCAATTCCCAGAGCGCATCTATTTGAAACGCCCTGACCATTTAATTCACCATTTCTACGACCAGTACCTCGAGGAAATGAAGCGCCAGTCCAACATAGAGGATTCAATATCCCGCGATTTGTCTCAGATCCCAATTTTGATTCAGAACCGCCCTTTGATGATTCAGGATGTGGTGCTCTCTAAGCTACACAGTGCTGTCCTCACGACTGATCCCGTCTCTAATTTATACATCTGCGGAATTGGGCGTGGTGGTCGTCTTGGCCTTGGCGACGAAAATACGAGGTTCAATTTTATGCCTGTCCAGGGCGGCTTGTCCGACAAAAAGGTCGTTCAGATTTCACTAGGCCAAAATCATTCATTGGCTGTAACCAACACGGGAGAACTTTGGACTTGGGGGTCAAATACGTATTCGCAGCTTGGGGTTCCTTTACCTGCACCAGTGAGACCTGATGAGGAACCAATAAGTACAACACCTCGACAAGTATTTGGTCCGTTGAAGAAGGAAATCATACTCGGGGCGGCAGCATCTGCTATTCATTCCGTGGCGCACACGGGATCGTCTTTGTTCTGCTGGGGAAAAAATATTGGTCAACTTGCCTTAATGGATGCGGATTCTAGGTCTCTTGAGGTTCAGACAGTCCCTAGAAAAGTTGCCGCGACCCTCCTCTCGAGTCACTCTTCCATCGTCATGGTCTCGGCCATCGAAAAGGCGACATCTTGTCTTTTCGAGGACCATACTGTGTGTGTCTTTACGAGTTACGGCTATAACATGATCAAGTTCCCTACTTTTGATCCTTTCACAAGTTCGCCACTCCAACGCTCAGTGCAACTCTCTATGTCCTCCCGCTATGACCCTGGCCGCCGCGAGATCCATCAGATCACATCAGGCGGGGATACCATAGCTGCGGTTACGGGCAATGGAGACCTCTTTACGATGGTAGTCAATCACAAATACGATGGCAATCAGTCTGCTGCGTCCACGACTAATCCGTCGAAGATCAAGGACGCGGTGACAATACCACAATGCATTTGGAGCTCTAAAAAAGACGGCGTTAGATCTGTTAGTGTCGGAGAGAACGGTTCGGTTATAATCTCTACACAGTCCGGGGCGGTCTGGCATCGCATCAAGCGAACAAAAGCCAAAGACACTAAAGCACCTGCAATAGCAGACTCCAAAAAGCGCAAGGATTTCAAATTCCAGCGTGTTCCCTATATTACGGATATTGTTGCGGTTAGAAGTTCTGCTTTCGGTGCGTACGCTGCGGTCCGGAAGGATTGCGATGTGACACGAGAGCAAATTGAGATTGATGACCCAACATTGTGGGAGGACATTGCCCCTTTATTTCCCTTGTCTGGATTTAGGGCTCTAAATTCTAAAGCGCGAGAGAATAAGGACACTTGGAAATTTCAGGACCCGGAGGTGCTGAAAGGTCGAGTAGACTCACTAGCATACGAGGTGTTGACGTCAACTGACCTTGAAGATGATCTTCAAGTACATCTCAAGAATTGGCATTTCCACCACGATGGTCTTGGCATGGTCGTTCGTGCCGCTGCATTTCCAGATTTGGCGATTCCCGTACACTCTTGGCTCTTGTCAGCTAGAAGTCCGTTACTTCGGGCAGGGTTACAACAATTCAGAGAAACTGGAATTTCCGAGTTTTCAGATGTTCTAACTATCAGCGAACAGGACAACGTTGTGGTTATAGAACTTACTGGCAGCGTCGATATAATCACACTGATGAATCTCATCGTTTATTTATACCGCGACAGAGTCATCCCTGCCTGGAATTTTACGCGGCAATCTAAACCCTTAGCATATAGATACCGCCAAATCCGCACAGAACTTATGAAACTGGCTACTGGACTTGGTATGACCGACTTGGAAGCTGCTGTTAGGACCCAGAGCTCTCCGCCACGTTCTATGAATAAGGACTTTAAGAAAGCTATCGAGGATGCAGCCTTTTTTGAAGATGGTGACGCCCTTTTGGAACTCGATGGCGATGAGATCCTTGTCCACAGCGACCTGCTCTGCCAAAGGTGTCCGTGGTTCCAAGGTCTTTTCAAAGGTCGTTCTCGTGGTATGTGGCTGGAGAGTCGCCGTGCAGAACAGAAAGATGACGACTACATCAAAATCGACCTGAAGCATATGGACCCGGAGGCATTCCATTACGTCCTTCAGCATCTATACGCCGATATTGGGGAAGAGCTATTCGATGATGTTGTCGCAGAGAACCTTGATGACTTTTCTGAATTAGTTATGGAAGTTATGGGCATTGCTAACGAACTCATGCTCGATCGTCTATCACAAATCTGTCAGAAAGTCATCGGCCGTTTTGGTAAGCTCTGCTCCCTTTACCACAGGAGAAATATTAATTTCAATAGTTAACACTCGGAATATTTCGAATCTACTAAATGCTATCAGTCCCTGTTCGGTTACTGAATTCAAGGATAAAGGATTGGAATACATCTGCCTCCAGATGGAATCAATGCTTGAAAATCAGTAAGTAACCCTAGCAATTGAATCAATGTTTCGAATTTCCCCCGAGGACTTTGATTCGAATATTCGACGGCATCGCTCGTTATAGAGACTGTCCTCTATGGTAAATGCGTTGCTGGGTTTTGTCATTGGCTGGATCATTGAATTCTATATTGTAGATGGGTTGTAATACTAATACATGAACAGTCTACTTGACAATCTCGACGAGGATCTTCTCTTAGAGTTAGATGAGGTCGTCAGGGATAATCAACTAGCCAGGTGTCCATTTGCGCGAAGTGGGAGAGCTGATTTACTCCTTCACGAACGCCACCCTGAACTAGCGCAAGACATTGATGAAGAGAGGCAGAGACGAGTGAAAGAGATGGCGTATAAGGTCATACAGAAAGAAGACGAGAGAAAGTTGTCAACATCGTTCAAATCTCGTATCGGGAGCTTAGATGAATCTACCGGCGTTTCGCCAATAACAGATCGAAATAGGAGAAAGTCGAAAGCAGTTCGAAATGAGCCCTTTACGCCTGAGCTTCGACCAAGAGACTCTCACACAGACCTCATCTTTGCTATGGATGAAGAGGGGTCTCCCAGCAGCACGATTCCTGTTTCTCCAAGTCCTCAACCGTTGCGATCCAGCGAGTCAAACGAATTAGACCAGTTATCAACGCTTCCTGGTCCTTGGAGGGATTCCAAAGGAAAATTTGTTGAAGATCACATTACACCAAACTCCACTACACAAGTTTCGACATCAAGATCCGGCCTACCCCCTGCAACGTTACAGAATGGTTCTACAAGGCCTGTGCCATCGGGAGGCAATCCATGGGGGCAATCATCGCTGCCAACTTCACGGTTGGATCTGCGAGAGATGTTAGCAGAGTCTCGACCAGCCCAATCAGCGTTGTCCGCCGAATTGGCGGCTGAGAGAAGAGAAGCAGGTAGCAAAATCACTCCACAAAAGATGTCTCAAAAGGAGAGAAAAAGACAATTACAACAGCAAGCGGAGCTAGCAGCGCGACAAGAGACACAATCTCAGCAATCAACATCACCGTGGACGAAGGTTGGCGAAAAGAATGAATCGCCTTGGCAAAAAACCCCGCTTGCCTCGAAGACGTCCTTGACAGACGTCTCGGAGTATTCGGCAGGTTTATCGGCAGGTCCACCGAGACCAAAGCCGCTTCTTGCTGCAGAAACATCGTCTAGCAAGTCCATACCACGGCGGACAGCATCTCCGGATACTAGGTTTTCCGGTCAAAGATCCAATAGTGCGACACAGGTACCAATGCCTGCTACTCAATCTAAATCCCAGCAACTCACTCCACACTCAAAGTCTTATATCAAACGAGCACCTAAACCGGAGCAGGAGATGGGTCTCGGCCTTGCCGATATCATTGGAGAACAGCGGCGCGAACAGGAAAGTGTACGCGAAGCAGTCGCCAAACGTAGTCTTCAGGAGATTCAACAAGAGCAGGCGTTCCAGGAGTGGTGGGATCAGGAGAGCCGGCGGATGCAAGAAGAAGAAGCAAGACGAGCTGCACGCGAAGAAGGTAAAGAAAAGAAGAAGGAGCACAATGGCAGCCGAAGAAGCAATCGTAACAATAAGTCAAAAGGGGGTAACAGTAATCGACCGAATAATAGCGGGGGCGGTAATAATGCCGCTACTAAAGCTACAGAGGCAGGACCTAGCTCCAGCTCTAGAGGGCGAGGACGAGGAAATAGAGGAAAGGCGGCATGATAGACTGTGGCGCATCGGATCAACTCGAAGTCAGAAGGCCACATATATACGGAGTTCGGTAATAGGTTGTAACGCATATCCCAAGTTGGTTTGAGCAAATGAGTTGCTTTTTGTAAGCATTGTACATAAGGGGAAGCAAGAGTCAATGGTCGTACCATCATACAACTGGTATATACTTTACGCAATTCCGCTCATCACGGACGTTATTCTCTACGAAATGCTGTGTTTAAAGCAGCCGTCGAAGACACCTCTCAAATCTAATAAATACCTAGTATTTATATAAACCGACTCGTCACTTCGATAATAGCATAGGATATATTTCAATTTTCGTCCGAACTGTTTAGGTGAGGTATCAGTAGAGCCCTATTTCAGACATTAGGTCCCTCTTACGAGATTGTTATATCCTAATATAAAGGGTACCTTAAGCCCTCGAGGTTAGCGTACTATAGCCCGAACCCGTAACCTTTGCCAATACGCTGTTACAATTGCTTATATCTCGACGCCTGTATGTGGCTGGGAGTACTTATACTTTGTATGCATTTCTTTGTTTGCTACAGTAGGGGACAATGGAGCTGGGACTTGCAATGCATAACTGGTAGTGGTTCTTACACGATGTGATATGGGGCACTGTGATTGTCAGGATTAGATGCCCTTTGAGGTGAATCATGCACAAAGTGAGTGTACAGGGTAGGTAGACCAAGTAGTGATTGTATTGAACTTAGTCACGCCTGGCCTTCTAACCTCTGACGAGGGCGCTTCGCGCCTCTTATATAGTCGTAGAGACCCCTTGTAGCCACCCTGACAGTGATCATTCTTACACAGTATAGGTAAAATTAGATGCTGTAAGGCTTAGACCAATAAAGAACATCTGGTATATTAGGACATTTCGATATTGTTTGCTCAAAAGCTACTCGCTCTAAGGTAATATTTTGCGGATTATCAGTGTTAATCTTTCTACAGTGCTTACCTCTTAGGTACAACTCAACCACTGCCTCTTTGGCTATACGTCACGAGTTTTGCAGTAACCATAAATAATGAGATTGTGATATTATTGTGATAAAGCATTTCATTGTGACGATGTTGTTTTTCGTATCTATTAATTGTGCTATGTTCACTCCAACTTCTCATTAAAAATTTCTACACATTTTTCGAGCTTTCATACTCAACACTACAATTTAAATCTTATTTTCCACCCTATGGATCTATAACTCTACCATAAGTTATTATCATTCGATATCAAACATCAATTATTTGCCATTTATCTAGCCACTTCTACCCTGATTCATTCACCGATCGTCAAAACCAATACCTAAGGAGAACCTTCCACCTAAAATGGAGCATACGAAGCTTGTTAAGAATAATTCGACAGCAGGATATTTCGGAAATTTTCCCGTTGAGTTGATTCAAGAAATTATGTGCCATCTTGACTGGAATAGCCTTAAAAAGATGATTCTGCTATCATCGACGTTCCTTTCAGTGTTCCAAGGGGCCGAAGAGACCATCCTATACCACATTGCTGCCAAGAAACTGGGCACCGATGTCCTTGAAGTTGCCCTGGTCCGGTATGCCAGTACAATTCCAGCTCTAAGGGAATCTATAGATATCCAAGTAGAGTCCCGGACGCGTCCCATTGACACTACAGTTACTTTCAACGGCACTCAAAGAACCTTCAACACTGGCAGATTTCGTATGCCCGCAAAATCATTCACGGTGGAAGTCTTCCGCGAAATTATGTCTTTCCACGAGAAAATAGCAATGCTCTTGACGGATTATGAAGACTGGCTACTGGAAACCCATGCGGCGTTCGATGCTCATTATACTGATTGGCTCACCCATCGTACGCCTCGAGAGAAAGACCATGTGGACATAGCTCTATATACGGCGGAGATAGCTAGGCTCCTTTACCCGAACGACTACAATGAAACATTTAAGACTCCGTTCATAGTGAGATTCGGAGTCGTCTCGGCAGAATGGGTAATTATAGAACATGAACCAAAAGACGACCCTCCTTTTGCAGTCACCGGTCAAAGTTTAGGAGAATCTGAGCGCTTACTTGCACGCATGGTGGGCTCTTTAGGATGGGCCTTTTAGAAATATGAATAATAACAAAGTTTGCAGCTTTCTAGAGTTGGCTTTGTAGCATGCCATATACAGGTTATTGCTCTTACCATCGCGTCAGATCGTGGGAGTAATAGAGCTTCAGAATTTGAGCACAATAGCGATAAAGACCTAGTATAGCAAAGACAACAGATAATATAACTTATTCTACTTTACATAAATACTACGTTTCCCTTAAGTTAGGTTGAACACCCAAGTATCTGTCAACATTACCTAGAGGGTAGACATACATTGGAATGCCACCCTCTCCTATGCAACGGGTTGTACTATGGCAATGCCTATGTCATAACACATAATTAATTTTATTGCCGTATGTACCTTATAATAATATATTTTGAGCTATTTTGCGGAATGCTTCGTCTGTAGTGAAACCCAAGTTTAGGATAGCTGCCAATTGTTGTGTGATCATAGGAACGGCGATTGCAGCGGAGTCGTTGGGAAGACGCCCCTCTCGGGAACCTACCTACCTATGAGGATGAATTGTGCCCCTCTTAGCCCACGACCATGAACGATGTGGTGGGCGAGTGGTAATAATCATCACAGGCTCTGTTACTCAGCGCTATATGCGCCATGTGACATATTTCAAATGAAGACGTGATATATCAATTAATTTGACCAAAATTACCTAATTGGGCTGCTTCCAATGGCGGCATAAGTTTCGATCATGCTAGCCACCTTGATAGACCTATGGACTTGCCGGATTCCGGAGCGGTCGCTACTTAGTCCTGGATAGGGCGACTAGTTACTGAAATATAACATGTTAAGAATTACCTGATATCCATTTTCTTTCGTTTCGTCCCTTTTTAATACATAGCGGTGTGTCAGAACTCTGAACAAACTATCCAATGAGCTCTCATTATAAGTGCCCCTGAGAATAGAGTATTCCATCGAAACATTAATGGATTAATATATAGAACTAAGATGGAACTTGCGCTAGTCTAGCCCATCCGATGGTCTGGGACTCGGGGATATGTATTTGTCGTATTCCAGCTGAGTAACCTGGTATTAACATGTTGCGAATACAACTGCATTGGGTACCTAGGTACGTAAATCAAACTCTCATATTTTATTTTATTTTATTTTTTGAATGTCCGAGAATTGGGTCTAGCTTAGGTACGTGTTGTAATAGCCTATCTGGAGACCCATCCCTTAGATCAGAGAAGTATTATTAAAGAAATTGATCAGCTTAACGCTACCGGTTTGCCGTTTGGAAAAGGAGGTATTTTCACGAGCTCCCACCCCCGTAACGCAACTAGTACGACTCTAGTGCACATCAGGCATCAATATTGAAGTCTCGAGCTTTCTCTAGCCACAATTTTCATTTAGTCTGAATTTCGTGAATTTCGTACGTCCAGTCACGAATAAATGCCAAGACCCGCACAGCCACATCGCTGGCTACTCGCATTGCAGCTTTGTGCCGAGTATCCGTATTATATCCACCGCCAGTCAAATCATGTTCTTGTACCAACGTGTGCCAACGTGTGCCGGCACGTACGGTGAGTGTAGTGTGATTCAGGTTCCATGGGACTAAGTATGGACAAAGACTTAATCATTCCGACCAGAGGCTGTGTATGCACACGTCAGACCAAGTGGCACAGCCGAATCAGCTAGAAGTTAGAGGGTAGGTGTTTGCTAACATTAAGAAGACGTTAATATATTAATATCTACCTACCTGCCTGCCTACCTATGCTCTATCTCCCTTCTCCCTTAGACTTCATCACATCTACCACACCAACCCTATTAACAACATTTCCGTTTTTGTCAAAAGTTAACCGGATCGACTGGATCTCCACATCAATATGGATCCGCGTTACGGCAATCAAGGTTACGGAGGTGAGCGCCAGCAGGGTGAGGCCTCTTCCTACTATGGCGGCCAACCCAACTCTCAATATCCCCCCTATTCTGGCGGTCCAGAGGGACAGCAAGGATATGGTCAACAAGGATATGGACAACAAGGATACGGACAGCAAGGGTACGGACAACCTAACAACCCTCAATACGGCAACACATATGGCTCCGGTCCCGGAGATCGATACGGCGAACGCCAGAACGAAGGGCCTTATCAGTCCGGACCTCCAAATGCCGGTCCAGGAGAAGAGGGGGACCGTGGTCTGATGGGAGGACTTGCTGGTGCCGCCGCCGGTGCTTATGGTGGACATAAAATGGGCCATGGAATCATCGGAGCTATCGGTGGCGCTATAGCTGGCCACAAGCTGGAGGACTTTGTCAGTGATCGCAAGGAAAAGAAGGAGGAAAAAGAAAAGCTACAACACCAGGTTTCATCGCCGCCCCCTGCTTATTCGGATTCTCACCACCATGGTCATCACGAAGGACGTCATTCTCCAAGCCGAGACAGGTCGATTGGAAACTATGACGGCAACTTTTCCGCCTCGTCGCGTGATATCCATCTTGAAGGAGACTACGACCTTCGCGCAACTTGTTCACGTCGACAAGGGGGAACCCACGTGAGCACCCTAAACCTCAACGAAATCCTTAGCAATGACGACGGTCATTTCCGCTGGGTAAGTGGGGGGTCTGGTTCCAGCACCGTCACGGTACAGCAGGGCGATACCTTGAGAGAAATTGCCCGACGATGCAACTGTAGCTTCGAGGATATCGCTAAGAGGAATAACATCGCCAACCCGGACATGATCTACCCGGGACAAACCCTGCAAGTGCCGGGCCGGGCAACCGGAAATTTTAGCGCTTCGGCTCGGGACATCCGTCTCGTCGACGGCGGACGGGTCCTAGAGGCGGAATTGGTCGATACAAGAGGCCAGTGGCACCGACGCCGGATTAATTTAGACGAGCGCATCGGAAACTCGGATGGACACTTGCGCTTCGTCTAAGAGGCATGACTGGATTGGAGATTGTGCCAAAGTGAACTAGAAGACTTATAATGAAGAAGATTAGTATGTTTATACTATGGCAATGAAACTAGATAGCTAGAGAATTTACTGCTATTAATATTTAATCGTTAATGGTGTCTCTTGTGTTTGACATGGTTTAATAGGAACCCCTCTTTCGACCCCTGACAGCCCCTTTTTGTGAAATAGCTTTAGTCCATCTTACGCCAGTCATTGAGACAGCAATTAAGGGATGATCCAGAGCAGTCCTTGATTTATAAAAAAAAAAAGAAAAAAAAAAAAAAAAAAAAATACAGGCATGCAAGATGAATGCTAGAGTTTATGTTAGTTACCTCTTAAGTGGTAGTCATTGAATGAAGCCTCGCCAAGACTAACCTGCATCACTACGATCTATAGAACTATTTACCCCTGTGAGACAAGCCAGCAGGCAAACCAATAGATCAGCCCAGCAGGTGACCCGTAAATGATTACCCAAATAAGCTACCAACAAGTTATAACTTCCATTCCTTCAACTTCACAACCCCCGCATGCACCAGATGTTTCAATATGACTTCAGAAGTTCAGCCCATCCCCTATATTCACCTCCTTTGCATGCTCGAATCGGCCTCCGATGCCTTCACTCGAGCGCTAGGAGAGTATGGAATTGACCAGTCTTTGCTTAACTTCACAATCCACAACACGTTCCTGTCTGACCTGCCACCATCCTTGAATTTCGATTTGGTAGTGTCGCCAGCAAATTCATATGGCATTCTAGACGGCGGTTTCGATGATGCGATATCGCGGGCCTTTAGCCCAAAGACGGAATATGACGCTCTTACACGCGTTGCGCAGAAAGAGCTGTATCGTCTGCATAGCGGCTATCTCCCACCAGGCTCATGCTGCATCGTCAAAATACCAGAGTCGTTTCGGGGAACGTTGCGGTATAACGACGGGAATGGATGGGGCTGTCGCTATCTGGCTCTGTGTCCTACCATGCGTGTTCCTAGTCCCTGCGATTGGGACAGAGACGTTGTGTACGAATGTATCTGGAGCTTATTGAATGCGATCGAGCAGCATAATAATAAATCCGCAGCGGAGGAGGGCAGTAGTAGTAGTAGTGCCGGCTCAGCGAAGATAGAATCTATCTTGATGACGCCGTTGGGCACTGGTACGGGAGGTATCAGCGACGACAAATGGGCAAAGCAGACGGTCCTGGCTATCAAACATTTCATCGATGCGAAGCAGCATCCGGAGAAATGGTCCGCGATGAACTGGAGAGACACCGGGAAGATTGATATCCAGTTATTAAAAACTCAGAATCCGAAGGTAATAGCACAGTACTACCAGCGCTAGGCTCATGGCTACCTATCAATATGCGTTGTAGACTTGCTTGTTAGACTGAAGTATCTAGGGAAATATACGAGCGGTAGCTAAACGTCGAGAGGTAACCCTGCCATGTCTATAAAGCCATTTTGCTAGCGACAAGGGTGATATACTATATACTATAACATCTATTCAAATTGCCTTAACCTGCCTCTGGAACCTGGGGATCTGTTTCGTGAACTTTGCAGGGTCATCCCTGGCACCCTCTTTCCAGTACTCGTACTCGATCCACTGCGATATCAAGAATTAGCATTTTCCTTTAGAACTCTCGATATACAATGAAGCGCTCGAACTTATGTTTAAGTGGAGGATACTCCGAAAAGCGCTGAAAAGGGATGAGTGGCTCTAGATGCTATGTACTTACCGCATTCTCGGGCATTTGCTCCTCCATAGCGGCCATCCAATTTCCCAAGTCTGGGGAAAGCGGTATCACACCCGTTTCTAAAACATATTCATCCCAAAGCTTGACTAACTCCTTTAGCCTTTCGGGCTCTTGTTCCGCAAGATCATGCACTTCGCCGGGGTCCTTCGCAAGATTGTACAGTTGCCATCGCTCCGGGCCTTTAGGCTTGGGGATGAAGACGATCTTCCAGTCTCCCTTGCGGCAGGCTGCTCGTCCGCACGTCTCCCACCCGTTGATAAAGTCCTTCTCGTGGATCGTCTCGGCCTTCTTTTGCAAATATGGAACCATTGATTTACCTCGCATGGAGACGACCTCTCGGCCTTGATAAGTTGGCGCCGGGTGCTTGACGCCGGCCATCTCAAGGATCGTTGGTGCAAGGTCCATCACGGTCGCAAACTGGTTCGTTATACTGCCAGCTTCAAATTGGCCGTTGAAGCTCGCCGGCGGCTTCATCAAATATGGAACACGAACGCCACCTTCGGTTGTGTACGCCTTGTATAACCTACTGGGTGCGGTGGAGGCCTGTGCCCAGCGAGGACCGTACCTATATTTTATAAGAAGTTATTATAAGTTCACTTATCGAAACGACGGATTTAAAAAAGAAAAACTAAAAATAAAATAAAATAAAATAAAAATACCATATGAACGAGTCGCCGTTTCCAAGGTTATCAATGTGATTGTTGTAGTATTTCTTCAGATGTTGAAGCATGGTGCTTTGGACGATGGGGTAAGCTTCGTAGGCGGCGCCCTCAGCACCATTATCAGAGAGGAAGCAGATGAAGGTGTTATCCAGTTCGCCAATTTCCTCGAGATAATCGACAACTTTCCCGACATTGGCGTCGATACACTCAACCATACCGGCGAAACATTCCATCGCTCGACAAGAGTTGGCCCGTTCTTCCTCGCTCATTTCTTTCCACTCTTTGACCTCGTCGGCTACAACTGGGTGAGGCTCGACGTCTTGCGGGACCATACCGAGATCCTTGAGGCGCTGAAGCCGTTTTTCACGGAGAGCATCAGGGCCGTCGTCATATACACCACGGTACTTCTTAATGTATTCCTGGGGAGCCTGGAGAGGCCAGTGAGGGGCAGTGAAAGGTAGATATGCGAAGAATGGTCGCTCGTCCTCGGTCTCTTTCCAATCTTTTAGGTATCGTACCATCTTGTCGCCGTAACCGTTAGAAGAGTACCACCCTTCAGGTAGTTTCTTCACATACTCGCCATCCTCACTGTGGAGGGCGATAAAGCTCATCGTCATGAACTCCGGTATCTGATCCATGCCCTCTAGCTGAGGCTCATATCCATAATGATTACTGCACGCTGGTAGATGTGCGAAGCTCCTTTCGAAGCCTCGAGCTTTTGGGCTCCGCTCCGGTGTCAACCCGAGATGCCATTTACCTGACATGAGAGTCAGGTAGCCCGCATCACGGAGTAGCTCAGGTAGTGCAGCAACTCGTTCATTGAGATATCCTTCGTAACCGGGCATACCACGCTGAACCGACGTTGACATGGTGCCACTAGGGTCGTTCTGACCAGAGATGTTAGTCCATTCGATCAGATTTCCAAGGCCGGCGATGTGGTGATCCGTGCCGGTCATGATCATAGCCCGGGATGGTGAACACGCCGCGGCGGCATGGAAATCCGTAAACCGTATTCCATTCTTGGCGAGTTTATCAATGTTAGGCGTATTTATTTCACCACCGAATGCCCCAACATCCGAAAAGCCTAGGTCATCAGCCAAGGCAATAAGAAAGTTGGGTCTTTTCCCCAGCGCCATAGTAAAGGTATGTAAGGTTTAAATCGTATTTGTCTAAGTCTAAACCACGAATATAGAAGGGGGTTTAGTGTCCCCTTACTTCGTTGATAACTGACAACCAAAAATAATGATAGCTACACTAGAATAAGAGCGGTAAACCGTTCTACAGAGTGTTAGGTAACTACCTGTTATAACAACTGCTTGAATGACAACACCTTTCCGATGTCGTCGCTCCCCACAGCGATGTCGCAATTATCTATAAATGCCTTGAAATGAAGAGGTCACATGTAAAGCCCATAATTTCTAATACAAGTGATGATAATGAGCTGACGAGGAATAGTAGTTGGTGCCGCTACTGTAGGTAGCAGTGACACTACGGTCTCCGAGATGTTCGGTTGCTCGGTCCATATCAACTCTTATTGGCTATCATCTATAAGATCCCGCTTAATAACCGAAATAGATTCGGCCCCATGTTCTAGTCTGGATCCCTTGAAGCTTCTCCGCAAACTCTATGTAAGACCAGGGGTCTTCTCGGACGCTCGGCTGTCGGTCGCCCAAGGCCTTGAGTGGATTCGGAGAGCCCCTGGATGGTACCATTTGGCTGATCGATCGCGGCTGATGTTCCAACCTCCTGGTCACGTCATTTTCCCAACTCCTCGAGGTTCAGATCTCGCGTAGTTGTAATCTTATAACAGCTAGGTTTATTAACCGAGGAAGCCCAGTACTGTTCTTGAATGGAGTTGGGGTTAAAAAGGCGAAAAGTCTTTAGGATATCATGGATGAAATACAGCCCTTACTTCGAAGATCTAGTGAAGACGAGCGGCCGCCATCTATCACGATAAAGATGACAGGTACGACTTTAGGGAAGATCAGGGCCTATTGGCTGGGTTCGGTAGTCTGTATGGGTGGATTTCTGTTCGGATATGACAGTGGAATGTAAGTGCAAGCTTTACACTAATGATAACTTCATCATACACTAACATCAAGTAAAGTGTTGGTTAGTGATCGGATTGTTATACCTAACGCGCGGGACAATAATTAGTATTAACTAGAAAAACACTATAGGCGGTGTTCTAACGATGGCCTCTTTTCAGTCCGACTATCGGTACGAAAGCGGTGACAAGACACATACGAATTCGCTTTCAGTGGGCCTTCAACAACTGGGTGGCTTCTTGGCTTGCTTTATTGCTTGGCCTCTAACTGACAAACTTGGACGGAAGAAATCGCTAATGATATCTTCGTTCGTATTCTGCATCGGTGCTGTAATTCAGACTATCAATACGCACTCGCTTGCGGCGTTCTACGTTGCAAGAGTGATCGCTGGGCTTGGACTTGGCGCAGCGACAGTCGCCGTACCAATGTTCAATAGTGAAATGATGCCGAAAGAGATGCGTGGTCAGGTCGGATCATTCTTCCAGTGGTTCTATACATTTGTAAGTGCCCTCGCATATGCTAAAGAAACATCTATCTGATGCCTATTCATAGGGGATATTCGTATCGTATTGGGTGGATTATGGTGTAGCCAGAGGCATCTCGTCAACCAATCCATCCCAATGGCAAATCCCAATTGGCCTTCAACTTGCGCCCGCCGTCTTCCTTGGCCTAGGGATGTTGACAGTCCCCGAAAGTACACGGTGGCTTACCAAAAAGGGTAGACATGAAGAGGCTTGGAAAAGTCTCCAGTGGATCCGAGCTGATGATTCTCAAGCGACCGCTGATGAGATGGAAGAGATTCGCTCTGGTGTTACTGCAGAGACCACTGCCACCGAAGGTTTTCACATACGAGGTAGGACTCTATACTTATACATACCAGGTAGGCTTACGAGACTAGCAAATTCTGATGTACCTTCAATATAGAACTCCTAGAGGGAGAAAACTTCAAGCGAGTATTTGCCGCTTTTGCTATATTTACAGCGCAACAAGCGACTGGAGCGACGGCTTTTGCCTACTTCGGACCCCAATACTTTAATCTCATCGTTGGCAACGGTGAGCAAAGCCTCCTACTAACGGCTATATTTGGAGCGGTGAAAGTTGTAGCCTGTGGCATCTTTGTCTTATTCTTCTCGGAGCGTCTTTCTCGACGTCAGGTCTTGATTGGCGGTGCTGCCTTCATGGCTGCTTGCCAAATCACCACAGCCGCCGTCGTTAAGTCCTTCCCGGCCCCGAAAGAAGGGGGGAATTCTGTAGCCCCATCCGGCATTGCTACCATCGCTCTCATTTACTTATTTGTTATTGCATATAACTTCAGCTGGGGACCAATGCCCTGGCCATATGTTTCTGAGTGAGTACCTACATACCTCTCTAACAACTCCTTATTATGGATCATGACAAGTTCGCTAATATTCAAAAGGATTTTCCCCGCGAGAATCCGAGAGCCTGGTGTGGCTGTTGGCGTCGCCTCTCAGTGGCTATTCAATTTCGTCTTCTCATTAACAACCCCTTACATGATTTCTTCTCTGGGCTGGGGGACATTCTTGCTATGGGGTAATTACCTAGAGAGATCCGATAATATCTGATACGCGCTGATTGTTTTTCAGGCATTTTCGACGCCGTTATCTCGGTTCTTGCTTTCGCGTTTCTTAAAGAGACTAGGGGGCTATCACTTGAGGTGATTGCGCAGCAACGATTCAAGGGGGGTAGTGCGCCCAACAATACGGCGGACAAGACTAAAGACGTGTACGCGGAACATGACGAAGGTTAAGCAAACTACCCTAAGATATCTCAGGAGGGCCATCCTATAAAGCGTACCATACCTATCAAGTTTCAATCACTGCCAAGTCTTTAGCAAGTTCTATTTAATACTACCTAGTCACCAATAGGCCATTTCGGCTCATCACTTACCGAATATTACCTGAATCCAAGCTTTGGGGTTTACCCATTCATTTTAACCGGGAGTGTTTCTCGGGGTAGAAGATGCGGGGGATCGTGCTAGGTAACATAATAAGTATCTCCGAATGTTAATCATGTTCCCATATGGATAGTGAAACCCTCCTAAGTGAAGTCAATCTATAGAGTGCGTCCGGTTGGAGTATAGAATGTTTACATATACACCCAATACCAACAAGATGATGGCTCGCGTGACTAAAGCCGTCGTAATGTGTGCACTTGCCTCACTTTCTTTAGGGGCCCAGCTGCATGCACACAATTCAACATATTACAATCCCATCCTACCCGGATTCCACCCGGATCCGAGTTGCATATTTGTTCCTGAATGGGATGATACATTCTTCTGTGCATCTTCAAGTTTCAACGCGTTCCCTGGTATTCCCATACACGCAAGTAAAGATCTTCAACACTGGAAACTTGTTGGTAAGCTAGGTATTTACTAGGCTTTGGTGAACTAGACGGAAATAACTATTATAGGTCACGTCTTAAACAGACGAGAGCAACTACCTCGCCTAGCGGAAACAAACAGATCAACAAGGTGAGAGACTGAACGGACAGTATAGAGCTCGAATTTAACCTGTCACAGTGGTATTTGGGCGCCGACCCTGAGATTCAACGAGGGCATATTTTGGCTAGTAACAACTCTCGTAGACGACGACCGCGCCGCAGAAGATGCATCAAGATGGGACAACGTATGGCTTACTCTTAGGTTCCTCAAGGCGGTAGCTGAGATCATTCTAGGTAATATTCAAGTCCGAAAACCCGTATGATCCTTCTACATGGTCAGAGGCCGTCCATTTTGACTTTGAAGGCTACGATACTTCACCTGTATGGGACACGGACGGAAAAGTGTACATCGTTGGTGGACATGCCTGGAAAGTCTTGTACGTGCGAGAAACTTCTGGCTGTGGGAAAAACTAACACGAAATACGGTAGTCCTGGTATTCTCTTAGCTGAGGCTAACTTGGAGACTGGTGAAGTGGGACGATGGGAGACTATATGGAATGGCACTGGTGGCACGGTAAGTTCAGTCCCTTTGAAAAAGAATACCTTAGAAGCAAGCATTAATGACGAGACTAGGCACCAGAGGGCCCTCACATATACCTCAAAGACGGGTGGTATTATTTACTAGCTGCTGAAGGTCAGTATTTAGGGGGCATGACGCATCTGATGGATTGAATACTGACATCCCATGATGTTAACAGGGGGTACGGGTGTAGATCATATGGTTACAATGGCAAGATCTAAAAGCATTCGTGGGCCCTATGAAGTAAACCCTTCGAACCCAGTGCTCACGAATGCCAATACAACGAATTATTGTAAGTAGGACATAAGACATATAAAATATCTCTAACATTCTAACATCCTTAGTTCAAACTGTTGGCCACGCAGATTTATTCCAAGATGGTACCGGGAATTGGTAAGTGACTACATCCAGTATATCTGGGGGGTAAAAGCTTTGAGGCTTACTGTTGATTCGAGGTGGGGCGTTGCACTTTCAACTCGATCCGGCCCCGAATACCTTTACTATCCAAGTATGTCACATCAAGAGTTACTTTCCCCCTTTTAACTCGCCTCTTGTGGCAGTATTATTATAAGAGGTAATAATTGATCCTCGTTATTCCAGTGGGTCGAGAAACTATTATGGTGCCAATCACCTGGCCTGATAACGAGTTTCCGGTTTGGTCTCATTTGAATGGTGAGATGAATGGATGGGCACTTCCCGAGGAAAATACCGGAATTGATGGACCTGGGTGAGTGTCCGGTTTCTTTGGCTACGAATTTCACCATTAACAATCATAGGCCGATTATCACGGAAGGGGATGCCGTCGACTTCGAGCCGGAATCAACACTACCTGCTCACTTCACGCATTGGAGATTCCCTATTCCCGAGTCATATACTATATCGCCCCAAGGTCATCCAAATACTCTGCGATTGAACCCCTCTAAGCTAAACCTTACGGCAATTAACGGGAACTACGCTGGTCCTAACGGCCAGACATTTGTTGGGCGGCGTCAACAAGATACACTATTTACGTATAGCGTTAATGTTGACTTCTCCCCGACGTCTCTTGAGGAAGAGGCAGGCGTCTCGGTTTTCTTAACACAAAACCATCATCTAGACCTCGGTATCGTCATGCTTCCAGCAAATAACAAGACTGCAACATTCCCCGGCGTAACTCATTCGACGAACTCATCGGGACTAATACCTCACCTGAGGTATCGTGGTATTTCCTACGTACCGGTGCCAGACGAAGTTGTAATCCCAGTACCAGAGACCTGGTCTGGAAAGGAGTTGAGGTTAGAGATAAAAGCGCACAACATGACCCATTACTCTATGTCAGCCGGACCAGCCGATGCGCTTTCAGAGACGCGAACTGTTCTTGATGTATCAAATGCTGCTGTTAGCTGGGGGTTTACAGGTAAGATTAGTAATCACCCCCTTTTTTTCCTACTCGGTGCTGATGGTGTATAGGTGTCATCCTTGGTATTTACTGTACTAGCAACGGCTACGAGGGAGACACACCGGCATATTTTTCCAAGTGGAGATACATTCCTCAGGGGCAATTCAGGAATTAAGCGGGCGTAAAAACCCCCGAAGAATGAACTAAAACTCATGTCGGCAATCAATGGAAGAAGATAAACTGTGCCTCCAAACTTCAATGCTTTCGGAATTGAATCGCTATATAATAACGTAGAAGATACAAGGGGCTGTTTCAGGGATGATTATACACTTACTTATTAAAGATTCTAGCATACAGATAAACTCCTGTAGACCAAACGGGTTTACACGCAGAGTGTTAAAAGTAAAAATTAATATAATAATTACGAGTCTTAAAAGTTATTGTTATTACCTTACCGTTTTAAAGGGGGTTTATTAAACGGTATATATTTAGTTTAATATTTTAAGTTATATATATACCGTTTAATATAATAATGGGTTAAATTTATGTATATATCCCCCATTAAACCATTTATTTAATTAAATAATATATATACCGCTTTTTCGCCGTACGTGTTAAAAATTTAAAATGTATACCTTTTAAAGTTATATATATACCGTTTAATTTAATAAGCGGTATAAATACTGCTTAATTAAAATAAATTGTTTAAAAAATTAAACCGTTTAAAAATTTAAGCCGTTTAAAGATTTAAACCGTTTAATTAAATAAGTCGTATACGTATAGTTTAATATTATACGTATAATTTAATATTATACGTATAATTTAATATTATATATATAATTTAATACTTTATAATGGTTAAATTTAATTAAGTTTAATTAATTAAGTTTAATTAATTAAGTTTAATTAATTAAATTAAATTAATTAAATTTAATTAATTAAATTTAATTAATATATAACTTTATATATGGTATATGTGGTATATAATATGTATAATGTAAATAATAAGTACGCATTTACTTTATTACGTGTATATATATTATATTAAAAATATTATATACGTACGCGCGTAACGTGATTATTTATATTTATTAATTTATTTAAATGATGTTTATAATTTAATTAATTAAAAAATAAAATTTTATAATTTAAACCTTGTAATAATAATTATAATATTATAAATATATAATAAATAAAAGATAAAAATATAATATTATATAATTAATATAATAATGTTATATAATTAATATAATATTATACACTTTTTTTTTACCGTATATATTTATATATTATATAAACCGTTCGAAATTTTAAGCCGTTTAAACTTTTAAACGGTTTAATTATAATAAGTTATAATAATATAATTTAATTTAATTTAAACGGTTTTATTATATAAGCGGTTTAATTTAATTTAACGGGTTTTATTTTAACATTTTTATATTTATTTAAATTGTTTAATTAAATTTAACGTATTAAAATTTAAACTAAAACCTTTCCTTTTAAATATTAAAGCGGTTTAATTTTTTGAATAATATATATGCAATATATATACCGTTTAATAGACCCCCCTATATACGGTAAAGTAGCTAATGGTCTGAAGTATACGTGGATTACTTACACGCCAAACCCCTATACCTAGTACAAAGTACCTAACTCAATGCAGGGTAAGCAGCACGTGTTGTCATCAATCTCATGCAGCATAAGCTTTCGCGCTACTGCATGGTAATCCCTCTTGCATTAGCGTAGCCTAAATGCGTAATTTGCTAGACGAGACCTTTGTGTGATTGGATGGAAGTGGAACGTCGTTATTATAGGCCTCTAATACATACATGAGGGATAACATCGCGAGTCTTAATTATCTACCTAATCAACAATTTCCCGATTCATGAAGTAATCGATTGAAATTGGTTTAACTAGAAGGAATACTTTTATATAGGCGAATATATATGTTTATCATTTTAAGCCTTCAAAATTTAGACACAGTCATTCCGTTTCGTTTTAAAAGGATCAAGATATTGTTATGTAAATTTCGCTAGCTGGCACAATAATTTACCATGACACTTCTTCGCCATCATATCGCCACATTTTCCCGCTATGCGTATCTCTAATTGCAGTGTCAGCCACCTTTACAATTCCCGTAATGCTCTCCTCTACAGTAATTGCAGCTTTCTCCCTTCCTAGAGTCTGAGCAGCAAAATTACCCATGTCAGACTGAACGAATCTACGGGAGATGTTAACCGAGATCAATATTTCTGTTGTCGATATATATAAACTTACCCTGGGTCGATGGGGAACGCGGTAAGCCACGGCTCTTGGATATGAATCGACTTGGTGTACCAATGAACCATTAATTTTGTTGGAGCATAAGCGGCATTCTGTATTGGGATCATGTTCCTACACATAGAATTAGAACTATTATGATACTAATACAGGACTACAGTGTATTCACTAGATTGAGGATTAGCTATTAATTTGCCTATAAACGAATGCCACGGATTTTAAGCTTACCGTGATAAATGCGGCGCTGGAGCCGATCGTCACCCACATTGGATCTCTCGCAGCTTTCAACAGGGGACGAAAGGCTTGGAAGAGCCATAGGAAGCCGTACACATTGGTAACTATGTGCTTTTGGATTTCGTCGGTGTCGACATCCCGAACCTTGGGAAAGGAGAGTGCAATGGCGGCATTCGCAATTAGAATATCAATGTGGTTAATGCCTTGGGAATGGAGTGCCTTCACAGCATCCAGTGGATCCGTGCGAACTGTAGCATCGATCTTAATCACAACAAGTGATGTTCCTTCGGCCTTGGGAAGCTCCAAAAGGGCCTTAGAACTTGGGTGATCAGGGTCACGGTTAGCAGCAATGACGGTATGATTAGGCTTAGCAAGGTAAAGGCCAAGGAGACCTTTCCCGATACCTCTGTTAGCACCGGTGATTAACACAATAATTGGCGCCATCATAAAACCGATAGTAACTGATATTTAAGTAAGAGTACCTAGATAATTGGTATAAGAAAAAAAATAGAAGTGAAGAGAATGAATGGGATTGAGAGTGCTCACGTATGATCTTTATAATGATTCAAATAGCCCTGAGCAATTAGGAGTATCATAGTTCGTTATGACACCATATGCGAATTGATTACTTTGCATGGGCCCACCAACGTTTGAGTATTAGTCGTGAAGTAGTAGAGTATTAAGTCGTATGTAGAGGAATAGCCCATGATACTGAATAACCTAATAGTTAATATCATTAAGCTCTGCATAATCTGCTTATTGTCCCATAGGCTTTAACATTTATACAGCATTGGCTCAGGCGTATCCATTATCCAAACCCTTAGCTGGAAAGGGGAAAGGAGGCATTTCGAGATTATGAACGAGAATCTTATAAATAGGTCATCAAATTCTAGAACATAATACGTAATATATTAGGTATCTACTCGTAATAAAAGAAATATGAATTTCTAATAGGGTACCTAATTCTTAAACCTTTGACTTTCGAATGTATGCTGTTCAAACCTCGTTTCTTCGGCCTGGTAAAGCAATATACCTTTTAATATGATTCGTGATACATAGATATCCTTATAATAGGTGATTATAATATCCGATGTAAAGGTTTGCGCTGTACAACAAAGGATTCACGTGCTCGGAAACTATGGCCCCCACTGTGATTACTTAATTGACGTTTAGCCTCACTTGCCTTTTCCTTCGACATGTCCGTCAATGTGGAGACCCTCTTCCATTGTCCAAACTCAAGCAATCAACCACCATATCTAATTATAAACAATTCACGTCATTCTTCTATCTTTTCTTATCTAGTTAATCCGAGAAGTTTTAAGGCTCGTGCCCCTGCCACGAAACTCTAATATTATTTCGCCTTTCGAGTTCGGAGTTATTCGAGCCGTACCGTCGCAATGGCCGACATCGCCAGCCTCGAAGAAGACATCAAGCAATACCGAGAACAGGTAAGTTAGCTAATGCAAACTGTCGCCTACACTACTTCACACGCAGACGTAACTGACTAGATCAACAGCTTGATGTCGTATATGCTGGTTTAAAAGATGATCCTAGTAACGCAGAGCTCCTTGCTCTCAAGTCTGAGTTAGATGATGCGCTCGCGCTATTGAACGAAACCCTTGCTGAATTAAAGCCGACCAAGGCACCTCCGCAGCCGAAAGATCCATCCCCACCACCGGCCCAGGAGAAATGGTCGCGAGAGAATCATCCGGCATTTAAAAAGAGCGCCCCACCCGAGGAGAAGGAAGGCGACACGAGTTTGGTGAACTATAAGGTCAATGATACCGTAATGGCGAAATGGGTATCCGGTGACAAAGCATTCTATCCTGCGCGCATCACGTCTATCACTGGTTCCTCTACAGCCCCGATATACGTCGTCAAGTTCAAGAGCTACGATACCACCGAGCAGTTACGCGCCAAGGACATACGGCCCGTTACACAGAAGAGGAAGGCCGACGGTACTCCCGTCAACAACGCCAGCCCGTTCCCGGCCCCATCCCAGCCAGCAGCACCCTCAACCTCGTCCAACCCCGGAGTCATATCCGCTGCCGCTAGCATAAATCCCGACCTGGCACAAAAGAATCGGGAGGAAGCGTCGAAGAATGCCGGCGACGGGAAGCCCAAAGCCAAAAAGATCAAGGCGACCAAAGAGCTCGAGGCTGGCAAGAGCAAGTGGCAAGAGTTTAATACAAAGTCGAAATTCGCCAAATCACACAAAACTAAGAAGGACAGCATGTTTCGTACGCCTGAAGGTGTTCACGGTAGAGGTCAGTTGATCGATTAGAGTTAGATTAATCCGAAAGCTAACTTCTTTTATAGTCGGTTTCACCGGCTCGGGCCAGGCTATGCGGAAAGATCCTACAAGGAGCCGCCACATCTACCAAGCCAATGAGGAATTGGACTAATATCAGTTACAGGTGGCCATCATTACGTAGAATGTTGCATGGTTTACGTCTCCTCTGGAAAAGTCGGAATTCGGAATTAGGAATGGAGGTTCTACAGGCTTTGATCCCCTTTGTCCCTAATTAGGTTCTATGGATGCTAACATAGCCCCTGGACTAGACGCTCTATTTAGCGCATCGGCTCCTATAACCGAGCATTGAGCATCAATATACCAACTTTTATATGGAGAGTTTTTCTTGCTACCGCAATGACCCCAATACTAAATTGTGGACTGATTTGCTAAATTTTCGTAATGGCAGGAACCGAAACGGCCACTGTAGTCAAGTGTTATAAGCCCACCTTCGACCCTACTAGCTTAGCAATATCCATGAAGGCCTGTGCTCTACCACTGTCAGGCTCGGAGACCACGGTTGGCTTCCCCTTCTGGCCGTCATCTCCGACGTTCTGATGCAATGGAATATCACCGAGTAGATCGATGGCATATTCTGTGCAAACTTCCTTAACACGTTCGCCGGATCCGAAGATTGCCGTATCATGATGGCAGTGTGGGCAGTTAAATAGTGACATATTTTGTACCAAGCCGAGCAGGGGCACATTCACCTTTTTAAACATGTTGATCCCCTTTACCGCGTCCTTTACTGCCAGAGTATGCGGCGTGGTTACAATGATAGAGCCTAGACATAGTCTTAACAAATCTTGATCTCCCAGGTATTATGGTATTATATAGAAACTTTATATGCTCACCGTCAAGTATGATTTGTTGTGTGATACTGAGTTGTGTATCTCCTGTCCCAGGTGGTAGATCGAGTACTAGGACGTCTAGACCACCCCAGTCGACCTCGTGAAGGAGCTGTTGTAGGGCCTTCATTACCATAAGGCCCCGCCACACGACAGGCGCATCCTCACCAACTAGATAGCCCATAGACATAGTCTTGACACCGTAATTGGACAAGGGTAATAATTGGTTATCTATATTTCTAGAAGTTAATGTTCCCCTGAACTAGGTAATGAAAGGAACGGTGAAGAGTTGAGACTAGGATTACATACTAGATGATAACCGCGGTTCTCCGCTCAAGTCGAAAAGCGTAGGTATAGAGGGCCCAAAGATATCGGTGTCGAGGATACCGGAGCGGTAACCCATCCTTGCGAAAGCTAGAGATAAATTCGCTGCCAGGGATATATATAGTCAGCGGATGCTAAACTCTGATTACGAGGACGTCGAGGACTAACCGGCGACGGTGCTCTTGCCTACACCACCCTTGGCAGATGATACGGCGACCACTTTTGCGACGTCTTTGATCTTGCGGCGCTCTGGGAGCCCGCGCTGCATGCGAGGGATTGAGCCCGTTCGGGGTAGACCCTGAGACTTATGATAAGCATACTTATCGACGATATAGGAAAGGGGGGTTGGGGAATCCTCACGAGGGGATTCTCATGGCTGAGATAGCGGAGGGTCTGGTGAAAAAAGCGGCGTTGGATAGTCGCCATTATATAAAATGGGTTTTATACTTGTCTTAAGTGCTGGACTAAGTATTCCGTAGTTCAAATAAGACAACTGCACATTGTGGGAAATGTGAAGAGTGAAGAGGTACAATATCAATTATATTGATAACGTACTTGTTTACTCATTAATGATGTATGAGGGATAAGTCTCATTAATAAGTCTCATTGAAGAAGAATAAGGTTTACATTACGTGACTGACTTCCAATTCTTTATGTTATTTGGTGTGATTTTATAAGATTATCTTAAGTGACCTCAGAAGCTTGGAATTGAAAGTGATTATCGATTACCTGAATCCCTATTAGCTAAGATCTTGGTTACCTGTAGCAGTGGGTACCCAAAGTTTCAGGGGATCTTCGGACCCGCTAGCCCACTAGGTTAGGTACCTGTCCACTAAATGGATACTGCCGGCTCCCACCGCTAAAATTTTCAGAACTTTCTTGTCGCAGTCGTGGGGCCGACGTACAAACGCCTTTCTTTACTCACTATTAACAGGTAGACAAGCTATTGTTGCTAATAGTGCAATGTCCAAGACAAAGGGGCGCGCACGGCAGTTTGCCGAATGGGCAGAGCAACCAGTCAAAGGTATGATATGATATGAGAATATCTATGTTTAATTCAGTCGCTACGTATTAAATAAAGCTAACACTTGCTGCTTCACAATAGACTTCGATCCCGAAGTAGAAGTCCCAGATGAGGACGACGTCAGCGGAAGCGAAGATAGCGTAGATGAAAACGCTGGTACAGAACATTATGTCGCCGTAAGGTACGATAGTTTATGAAAATGGATAATGGATATTTTATTCGATCTAAGCTAAATTGATTTGCAGCAAAAGCAAGCTTCGCCGCAGAGACCCCGTCGCGCTAGGACCCCAATACCGGGGTGCTCCCGTAAGCCGAGAAGCCCTCGATGACGAAGAGGATAACGACGAGAGCGAAGAGGATGATGATCCCGACGCGGCCGATCTCGAAGCCGATCAAGACGGTCAAGTCGATGCAGAGATCGCTCAGGCTATGCCAAAGAAAGGCAAGAGAGTCGCAAGGCCTACTGCTGCGGACTACATGCTATCCGACGAGGAAGATGATGACAGTGATGGGGCAGAACTTGATGGGGAAGACTCTGAGGATATCGATGATGACGAAGATGCTTCCGATGAGGAAGGAATTGGAGGCTTTATAGATGACGAGGCGGAAGAGGATGAGGATGAGGACGAGAGTGAAGATGAAGACGAAATGGACCAAGACATGGAGGATAGCGACGAAGAATTGGATGAGCAGGAAGAAGATGACGATGCTAAAGATGCAGCGCAGGCCAATGGAGCGAGTCGTGCAACAATTCAAGAGATGATGAATGCTGGCCAGCGCAGTGTGGCTAGTACTTTATCAACAGCGGCTCAAAAAGACGTGGCAAAAGGGAAGGCAGTTCGACAACAGCGAAAGGCCTTCGATGCACTTCTCAACATCCGTATACGACTACAAAAGTCACTCGTCGCAGTCAACTCCTTCAGTACCATTGAGGAACTAGGGGGCCAATCAGAACCCTACGAAGCAGCTGAAGCGGCCGCGCTAAAGCTATGGAATACAATTGATGGGTTCCGCACGAGTATACAGTCCGACTCGTCAGGAAAGACAGGCCAAAAGAGGAAGCGAGTTGCCGATACAGATACGTCTAGTCAAGACATGTGGGAAAATATGGAGATTATTGAGCAGCGGGCAATCATTCGACGCAGGGCGGTTCTGGAGAAGTGGTCGCATAGCGCCCGGAATATAAGGATGATGGATAGGTCGTCGCGCAAATTTTCTAATGCGGTAGAAAAATCGCTGACTACGAGGTTGGATGAAGAGCTTGATGCACCGGAACGGCTTATCAAACGGACCCGGACGCCACGATCATGCGCTCCGGCACAAATCGCAAAAAAAATCAATGAAGATGCGGCTATCTACGATGATGCCGATTTCTACCAGCTGCTATTAAAGGAGCTCGTTGACCAACGTTCCGGCGATACGTCGGGCGCCCCGGGTGGCCCCGCAGCGACAATCCGGTTTGCCGCCGTAAAGGAAGCGAAGGCGAAGCGGCATGTGGATACCAAGGCCAGCAAGGGCCGAAAGATGCGCTTCAACGTTCACGATAAACTACAGAATTTCATGGCACCAGAAGATCGCCGAAGCTGGGAGCAGAGTGCCATCGATCGCTTCTTCGGGACTCTATTCGGTCAAAAACTGGTGCTGAACGAAGACGAAGACGAAGACGATGATAAGGAGGCATCTGATGAAGAAATGGGCGGTGCGCCGATTAACGATGGAGGCATCCGATTATTTAGAGACTAATTTGAAACATTCTGTTACCTATCTCAACTATCTGATGATTCGTAGTGTAGAAAAAAGGGAAAAAGGCAGAATTAGGTAGGTACCTAATTATTGAAATAAGTATCGTCGCGCATGTTTCCAAAAAAGAAAGGATTTTCAGAAGCTCGTATTGGTATTGGGTTCTTTAAGAGTAAGCCGACGATGCGCCAAGATGGACATCCAACCCCGTATTCTAACAATACGAAGATTGCGCGAACTAGGGTACTGATAAAAATCATAAATAATCTTTTCTGCCTCTTATAACTGCTTCTTTCTGCTTCACTTTTCTATAGTTTGATGTGGTCCTAAATTGATATCCCTAGGTATGCATAGTCGATAATTTGGTTTCGAAGCCCAAGAGAACGGCCTCTAGCTATCCACCGTCACAGTTACATGCAGGAAAGTCTAGCATGAAGATGGATATATATGTAGTCTCCAACTTCACTTGGAGGACAAAATGGCGCGGATGAAGGGAGTTCAAGTTACAATTCACTAATTCTTTTCCCTAGGTGCATCTCCTCCTCGGTCTGACAAGCACTGTCGATTTCGAAACTATCTTGATCGTGCCGATTGCGGTAAAGCGCCAGTTACGCTAAAGAATCCCAGAATCCCAAAATCCCAACACGGGCAACGTTGGATGTATCGTTACACCACGGACGACGAAGAAGCTAATCGCAACCCAGGCCTATTAACACTCGTGCTGGCTCTAGTCGCTTTAGCAAGACGTCGATGGTTACTTCTCATGTCCAGGGCCCTTCCTTCATATGAGCACGACATGTCTCCGGAGCATGGTTCCATCACCCCTTCTACATACTTCACTCTACGTATGCATCGGCACCGGGCACGTGCAGTGCATATACAACGCGTTACGCCATGTTTCGTCGAAATAACCAGTGCATTTCACGTCACGAAGCCAAGGTGCTAAAAGAAAGATTAACGGGGGCTTCTTTCTAAGCTTGCAATGCAAAGTGCTTGGCTGGCTAGGCTATACTACATAACTACCTTAATTAAGCATGTAAAAGTACTAATGGAGATATGTATATAGGGGTGGACGTCGCGTAAGAACAAGCAAGCTTCGCGCGGAACCGGAGATTACATAGTACTCACCGCGTAGCCCTGCGACGATGGATTCGAATACCGAGAAGGGTTGATAAGCCTGGATACACTACGTTACGTGGTTTAGTTACCTGGTTCAAGCATAGGTAAGGAGGTAGGTAGGTAGGTAGGTATGCAGCTATCACCCGCATATTGGCCTTCCTGTAGGCTGTATGTATGGCCAGCATATGGTGATGAGAATTGGAGTCAAGTTTCGTGGCCCGAATCAGCAGCTTTTCCGAAGAGCTTCAATTTTTGGCCTTTCGCCAGAATCTCGCAAAATTCCTTGAGATGGTTTACAACATTTTTTATCAAGTCAAGTCAAGTCAAGTCAAGTCAAGTCCCTGGCCGGCGGCGCTTCTTCGGCGTCGACGAGCTTCCCGTTTCGGATAAAAATAAAAATAAATATACTCAAGGTAAAAACAGGCTTGAGCTTGCGCATATGTATGTATTCCTCCAATCACAATCCCTTCGCATCCTTATTCGTACATAATAGGAAAATATTTCATCTGAAGTCGGTTCAAGGAAGTCAGTGTCAAGGATCCCATCCCTGTTGAATTAAGCACGCGGTCCGGCGCAGGTACAAACCTCAAGCATGAGGTCATTCAATCAGCTGCTCGGTTGGAGATCCAAGACATGGTAAAGACATGGTAAATAATGTTAAAATCGGCCCACACGGAATCTAGATCGCACCGCATGTGCATTCAACCACGGGGGCTTGGAGCACAAAGACCTCATTCAAAGACCTCATTCTCCGGTAAGGATACCTACAGGCTACACTAAGTCAATATCATCTATCATCTGCCTATATTCTCCTTGGCCTAATCTTTAATGTTCATGATATCGTCCAAGCTGACCCGATACTTAATGACTTGGTCTTAGCCGGGATGAGAATAACTAATACCTATACGTAATAGAAAATATAATAATATGTCCCGCCTCCAAATGTTTGACTTCTCTTTTAAGACTTCTCTTTAAGCATGCGGGGCATCCGTCTGGGGATCAGGATCTACAACCAGTACCGATCTGGCAACGCCATCTGCGATTTGGGGACCTTGCGCCGCCATCATGTCGGACTTTTTATCCTTCATTGGAATGTGGTTTACCATGGTATATTTGACACATCCCGGCGTCCAATCACCTCCGTCCGCGTTACCGGGCAGCTTTTTTGTGTAATCCCATGTTTATAAGTTCGAATATACTATCCAATCCTATATCCCCTATACCCTCATACCCCTTAATCATCCCCCATAAACCCCATGGGTCACGTCGACGTACCAATAAGCCACGCGCCTCAACTTTAAACTTACCTACCTACTACCTTACGTGCGTACTTGTAGCCCGCTACCTCTTACCGACCACTGTTCCTGCTGCTTTTTTTTTTAAGATCGCATAGTAAGGCCTAGGGGGTCCGAGAATGCAACCCGAGCGTGTAACTCGACCGCTGCCGGACTATTCTGTGCTACTATCCCGGCCCCGTCAGTGCAATCTTACTTCCACATCGCCGTTACTCGTTCCAGATCCATACTTGTGGTCTAGACGCGTGTATAGATCTCTACCTCCTATCCGTGCTCTGGTGATGATACCATGGGCGCTCGAGATCCTGGTCACCTTCCCTTTCCAAGCCTTTCCAAGCTCACGAGAACTTCAGTTCTTCACGCAGGTTGGCGCTAGACCTCTCATTCTTCGACTCGGCCGGTGCGGTTCCCTTCCCACTCGCTTCTGCCCTTACCCCTCCCCGATCACGCTCATATTAACTATTCTATACCTTATGTTAAGTTAGTATATATAGAATAGGAGATCTACCTTCATCTAGCGATGTAGGACGATCATCGCCCTAAGTACACCGCAGTCTCTACAGCTGGTCTATGACTTACACTCCTTATTACCAATTTCGATTCTACTACAAGTGTACATATTCCTACAACGTCATTGCGACTACTTTACTACTTATATATATATAAGCCGATCCTTACCTCAATAACAAACAACATGTTCGTGAAAGTACTTACTACCGTACTAGCCCTAGCGGCATCAACCGTATCGGCCGAGAGCGCACCTGGTTACTCAGGCTTCAACCTGGTCTGGGCAGATACCTTCGACGGCGCGGCCGGATCTACGGTCAACAGCAACAACTGGAACATCATCACGGGTCTCAACGTCAACAATGAATGGCAGACTTACACGACGTCCAACCAGAACCTCCAACTTAGCGGCGGTGCCACCGTGCAGATCGTGCCGCGCAAGGACAGCAGTGGTGCGTGGACTTCGGCACGTATCGAGTCCAAATATACATTCACGCCGCCAGCGGGCACGCAGACGATGGCCGAGGCGAAACTTCGATTCGGCGACAACGCCATCGCGAACAAGCAGGGCCTCTGGCCGGCATTCTGGCTCCTGGGCGACTCGATCCACAATGGTGTAGCATGGCCGACGTGCGGCGAGCTGGACGTCATGGAGACGGTCAACGGACAGCTGACGGGCTACGGCACGGTCCACTGCGACGTGTACCCCGGCGGCGTGTGCAACGAGCCCAGCGGCCTCGGCGCTTCTATCGCCATCCCCGACCAGAGCTGGCACAACTGGCGTATCGTCTGGGACCGTCGCGCCAACACCTGGACCGGCGAGACAATCACGTGGTACATGGACGGCCAGCAGTTCCAGCAGATCTCGGGCTCTAGCATCAACAACCAGGGCGTCTGGAACTCGCTTGCCAACTCGGCCGTGTACTTTATTCTCAACGTCGCTGTCGGCGGTGACTGGGTGAGTTTATCCTCTCTTATTTTTCTTTTTCTTCTTGTTCCTACCTACCTCCTAGAAATGTCGAGACCTAGGTTACCTACCAGTTTGCTAACGAAGGTATGTCCTACCTACAGCCCGGCGCGCCCAACGATGCCACTCTGGACGGGTACGGCAGCATGATGGAGGTTGCGTACGTCGCGCAATACCTCGCCGCCTAATGAATTATAAATCAGTACTATCATCGAAACGGAAGGGTGACAGGTGACGGGGCTGGGGCTGGGGCCGAAGGAGTTTGGGTTGATAACTTGGGTCAGGTGGGAATATTCTTGCATTCTTCGTCCTTCGCTCCTGAACATATTTGAACTTTTTTGCATATGCATATACATTCGCTTCTTGTATATACTTGCGGAGGATTTGTATATACCTACATGCCTTCTTACCTGTTTTTACCAATCAAGAACAATTACAAGCTAGCTCCGATATTGTTGCGTGTAAATAGCCCCTTAATACCGCCCCTGGTCTGCTTGCTTCGCATTGGATACTCATGGCGGTTAATCATGCCGGCTAATTCCCACTGATGGATTAGATAGCTGGCCGTCGTCATGGGGTAAGGTTTCTATATACTGCTTATAGAGCCGCACTGTAGATAAAGGGTAGTCACCTTGGCCAATAAATTTATCTGTCTAACCTGCCTATCTGAGGCGTTCTCGTGAGCCTTTTCTCAAGTCCTGTGGGGATTCGTTACGTTGAGCCATCAATATATATCCCTGTCGCTTCCGTGGTGGTGCAATAAGCTTATCTTGCCGTGTGCCGAGTAGTGAAAGCATATCTTAAAGCAAAGGACCGAAAGGGATAGCACATGCATCTAGTTTATATCAGATTGTTAGGTAGTATATAGGATTCGTTGTGCGCTATAAAGAGGAGAGCGGACGGTATTCTCATATGCCAATGCTGTCCATCCGTAACCCTCTGAAATAATCTACATACTATTGCGAGTATGAGCCTCAAGATCATCCAAGGACTGGCTTTCGCCATGTGCGTGGCCGCTGCTACAGAGAGCTCACCCGGTGATCCTGATTTTTACAACACTGTTGCTGAGATATTCTCGGGGCCCGACTGTAGCGAAGAAAGCTTTGTTTGGGCGGATCCCATATTCGGGAGCGGCGGGAGTTGTCAACCTCTCGATAGACACGGGAATACCCCTGACATCCTCAGCTACAAACCTACCGATATCTATCCTGACTGCATTGGTGTGTTATGAGTTTCCGTTTACTACCTCTTTTATCACTAAGATAATACATAAGTTACACTTTACACGGATACCGAATGCAATAGCACACCGTACTCGGCGGAGGTAAACCAATGTGTTCAAGCGGGTATTCCTTTCGTCAGTGCCTTCGTGCAGTGCCCGTTCTCGATTAAACCGGAAAGTGCCTAGAACGAAGCTGCTCTGGGACTGTTAGCCGGTTTACTTATCAAGATGGGGTCACTTCTGGCTTTCAGCTAGAACTAAGTTCATATTCCTGTCGCTGAGATATAGGGAGAAGTTATGACTGAAGGATATCTCAGGGGGGACGGCGGGGCCCGAAACATCGGGCTAGGCAATATTATTATAACCCTGGTATAGAGCTATAATGGATAAAAGGGTGTTTTAATCCACGTTATATGCATATATACTAATGAGAGGTAGTCAACATATTCCGGAGCGTGGGAATAAATAAATGATAATAAATTCGGCTTCATTGTCGTAGGTATATCAGGAAATAAATGGTTGCTATAAGGGGAAACTTATGTCTCATAAAACCACAGCGCTGTTTTACCGAATCTCCTAAACCCCACTCCCCGGAGCGGAATCCTAAAGATGCAATCAGGTAAGTTGTTGGAGGAAGCCGAGTATGGAAGCCGAGTATGGCAAGCTCCCGTTCGATATTTTTGTCTGTATAAGCATTCAACCCAGCTAACACGTCGTCTGTGAGGACCCATCTCGGGAGGTATGCGCCTGTCTGGCTGCGCACATGCTACTCCCCCGAGCTAGCGGAAACGTATGCCGACTGGTGTAAAGAAGACTTCAAGCGTCCTGGCCCTTGATAATAGGGTCCTTAGCTCGACGCTTTTTAGAACAGAAGGTGTGGTTGTATTCGAAGTTTTCAATTATTTTTGTAACGATCTGGCGCTTGCAGTTGAACGCCTCGGCAACAGCGGTCCTAGTTGCACCCCCCGTTACAGCCCCGACCATAAAAGCCCTGGCCTCAGGAGTAAACTGTTGGTGTTTGAGGCGATTGCCGCTTAATATGCGACCAAATTCATGTAATTTGGATGATATTTTGGATGACATTTGGGCTTATAATTACTACTTGAAGTTGTTATGTTAGGTAGGTATGTTGTTGTCACAGAGTAGATGGGTACGAAATACACCTAATAAAGGGTCTGAAACGAGTGTCTGAATCGTGTGTGTATTGAGGTGAAATCCAACGTGAGTGGAGATACGAGAAATTACTGGTGGTTGGGGCTATTCCCAGATCACGTGGTATTACGTGGTGCTGACTAATCTGACACCTTCCCACTCAACTACGGCTACCTACAAGAGCTACGGGTGTTATGACTCTGCCCCTCCAAATCCTTATAGGTGCCCCTCACCCAATGACGTTATGACTCCGTTTGTTGCTGCAGGTACAAACGAAGTCGAAGTTTCACTGCTTCGCTGCTTCTGGGGAAAGTTATCAATGTAATTAAAACATCATAGCTTCCCAAATTTCAATTTCCAATCTTACATTTTCATCTTCTAACTGCTTTCGCCCAATTGTCCCAATTGTCCCAATCATAATCCGTCATCTTCCAACTAAAAACAATAAGTCAAAGTCGCAAGTCTAACAGTTATCATGTCGATCCCAACCTCTACGTCTGTTGTCGAGTCCGCCGTCATCAAGGCGCCACTCAGCCACGTCTGGCATCATATCAAGCGTAAGTTAAATACCTAATACCTCTGGGTACCTTGGCTTCGGTTGGTCATGATTAGGTATCTAATGAAATTCCTCCTTAGTCCAGGATTTCAGCAACTTCTGGTCCGCCCTCAAGTCGAGTCAGTATGTTAAGGGTACTAGCGATGAGACGGATGTTGTGAAGTGGACATTCCAAGATGGCACCGAGCTCGAAGTGAAGCAAGAAGAGCACAGCGTACGTTGATTTCATCCACCTCGTGACAGGCAGCTTCTAACTATATTATAAGACTATCAATCACTACATTACTTACAGTGTCATCACCGCCAAACCTGAGCTGACCTACTCTTCCGTCCTTTCTACCATTCGCTGTTACGCTGTTACTTCGGGCGAGTTGGAGGGCAGCACCTTTGTAGAATGGACTGGAAACTTCTCCAGCGATGCTGATGCAGGTGCGTATCACATTCCTACTCATCTATACAGTTCCACTCTAGTTTGTGCCGCGAATGAGCTGACAATTTTGCGGTAGGTGTTATTCAGGATGCTAAATTCAAACGTCGCGATGCCCTGGCCGACTTGGCCAAGGCGGCGACGAGCAAATAGACTGGCGGTATTCCTAGCAGTAGACTAGGTACCTAATCTTTAGGGGATTATTGGGGGAAGGGTGAAAAAGTCGCTTCGCGAGTGTCCATGTATAATTAAGTAGCCATGGCTGACAGAAAAAGGTATGATATGCAACGAAACACTGGTACTAGTGGAAGACAATCAGAATTCTCGATGAACAATCCATAATACTTTTAAATAAGGCGCATCTATATACTATTTCCGCCTATCCCATCCATTTCCTTGTGAATGCCTAAGCCAAGTCATCAGCCATAGTCAGCATATTGAAATGACCACCTCCTACGTTGATATTATATATTAAACCAGCCTAGACGACGATACTTCATACCCCTTTCATAGCAGCAAATGACTAGATTAGATACTTATGTTTAGGTTCATAGTTATCATATCGTTGCACAGTTGCTTTGTGCAAAAGTTGGAGGGCTCCCTAATGTTCATCAACCTTACCCATGTTTATCAACTATAAAATTCAATAATTTAGTTTCATTACAATGAAAATCAAAAACTTATTCGTAAAGTGATATAACAAGTTTCTTGCCCTCGCCTCCGTACCCTTCCATAGCTTGCACCTTAAGATTTTCAATCTAGTAAGTTTAAGACGACGATCAAACAGTAAGAAAAGAGTATCATTATCTATCATTGCCTATTTTAGAAATATCAATCACTCACAATGACAACACACAAAACTCCCGAGCAAATCCTTGAACCTATATACAGAAAAGAGGACTTGATCAAAATAGAGGAAGAACTAAAAAAAGATGATCTGTTTATTGAATACAGAGGCCGCGGTGGTTCGCTTTTTAAAAAGCTGAACCCCTTGCCCCGTCAAGGTTTGGTTGAAGCACCACCCAACTATCAGGTAACCCGGAATTTTATAGAATTCGAAGGTGAAAGAGCTCTTGATTTCGCCATCAAACAAGGAAAGGAACAATGGTTTACGCCTTTGCTAGTTTCGACAAGGCCGTTTCGTGGGCCAACCCTGTCCTCGGATGAAGTGATAACGCACATGACGAGGGAAATAGAGAGTTGGGAGTCCAATCCAATGTGTAAAACCCTTTTCGAAACATTACAGAAGACATTGCCTGACAATATCGATAAGATCATTGCATTTGGCTCGGGATCAATTGGGAATCTAGATTTGATAAGCCCACACAGAATAGCTGATGTTCAAAGTTGTAGGGAGCACGCATTACTGTTGACTGTAGCCAGGGCTTTGAATGAAAGGAATGGTATTACGAACCAAAAGGATGGTGTAGCCATCTATCTTCAGGATCCTAGTTACACAAGTGTATGCAAAAGCGCCCTTAAGACATACGGATTCCAGATTGTCGACGGGTTTGGTGCCCGTGGCTTCACAATGGTCGATGAAAATACTCTCGTCGTCGGCCACCATCCCAACTATCCTCTCCGAGAGATTATCGCAGATCTTGCCCGGCCTGCCGCTATGTGTTGGTCACCTCCAACTGAGCCGCGATTCGAGAACGCACCCCCACGCCGCAAAGTATATGCCACGGACGTTGATTCTGTCCGTATTAGCAAGATGTTACAAGAGTACAAAGTGATTCCTATTCCCGGCTTTCGTTCTAAGATTCCTATCCCCAACCATGACGACTTTCAGATAGAGTGGATGGAGGAACCATGTTACGACAACGTATGGTATGTCCGAAGTTTATAGACCTGATAACTACCTCCTATCCTTAACCTAAGTAGACTTTTGTAGCCTTTGTTAATAAGAATGAATAATGAGACTATAAAGGAGCAATTATAAGAAAAAGCCCTTGATATAACAGACTCTTTAAGTAATTAATCCAATGATAAACCTGCCAAGGCACATTTTTTTGGTCGTGTAGCATTTCATCACTGCCGCTAACCATAGGCAATGCCATAAATCGTAGGCATAATGTGACATGGCTCGTCTAAACCCCGCTTGAGCTATTGCATTTTGTGGATTCCGCAGATTCCTTTGAATCAAACCCTTGCTGAACCTATCAGGTATTTAATACTGAAGTGAGGAGAAATGGTTCTATAGCATCAGGGTAGATCAATAGAATAATGCGGAGTGCCTATTATATATCATTTGCTATTGGCTATCGTTTTCGGTTTGTGACTTCTTCAAGTATCACTGGAAGAAAAACAATGTTCCCTCGCGTAATACTTCATGCTACCTATTCAAAGATCAGTATTAACTTCAAAGGCAAAAAGTGGAAGAACAGGTAGCTTAATAAAATAACATAAAATGGCGCCTCCTTTTAGAGCTGATCATATAGGGTCATTGCTAAGACCCAAATCACTTCTAGAAGCTCGCTCGGGACTCTCATCCCCCTCCCAAATGTATTCGCTTGACATCCCACAATCGGTCAGAGATGCGGAGGCGCAAGCAATTCGTGAGGTAGTTCAACTACAGTTGCAGAAGGGGGTCCGACCCATTACAGACGGGGAATACGCTCGCCACATATATTATGGCGGCTTTTTCGAAAAGCTCTTTGGCTTTGAAGCCAAGCCAGATCTTCCCATCCCAGATGCGTTCAGAACTGACTTTCCAACAACTGCCGGTCTTGCAAAGATGGGAGCGAAGACCCGGGCCGCAGTTATTTGCACAAGTAAAATCGGATATAAAGATTCACCCTACCTTTCAGAATGGCTTATGCTTCGAGACAATCTACCTGAGCATCTATGGCACGAGGCTAAGTTCACTATTCCAGCGCCGAACTATCAGCACATTCAGCTTAAGCCTGGCACGGCATGGACTCAAGAATCAGGGTACACTTCCGAACAAGAGTACTTTAACGACCTCGCCAAGTGTTACTCCGCTGAGCTTCGCACACTCTACGATGCAGGTCTCCGTAATATCCAGGTGGACGACCCACACCTGACCTACTTCTGCTCCTCCCAGTTTATCGAAGGGTGCAAGAAAGACGGCACCGATCCAGACGAGCTTCTTGACTTATATACTCGGACTTACAACCGGATATTAGCGAACAAGCCGGCAGATCTGCACGCGGGGATGCATCTGTGTCGAGGCAACATGTCTGGGTCTACACATTGGGTCTCGGGTTCGTACGAGAAGATCGCGTACAAGCTCTTCAACGAAACAGATTACCAGACCTACTACCTAGAGTTTGACGATGTCGAGCGGGCGGGCGGCTTCGAGCCTTTGAGGTTCCTACCTAAAGGAAAGAACGTAGTATTGGGCTTTATATCGACGAAGACACCGGAGCTAGAGGATCCGAACATTGTTAAAGAGAAGATCTATGCCGCTGCCACCATAATATCCGGTGCGCAGGGGATAAGCAAAGACGAGGCAATGGAATGCCTTGCCGTTAGTCCTCAGTGTGGGTTCAGTAGTAGCAGCCTGGCTGGCGGTTTGGGTATGACGATGGAAATAATGTGGGAAAAGTTGCAATTCGTGCGGGACATCGCTCAAGAAGTATGGAAATAATAAGGGGTGTTATCTTTCTATTAGTTCATCTTCTTTTTTACAATATGTACCTAAGCTTAGGTACTTACTTTCGAATAACAATGGTATAGTTGACGGAAGATCAGTTAAAGGGTAGGTACCTTATAAAAAACTTTCATATCTTTACCGACGTCGTTTCTCTATTATCTCTGCACATGTTCCTCGTACGAGGGGTATTATTTATATATAAAAACTTAGTTTATTTATTACAAGACCTGGTAATTTCCGATATCTAGCCTATCAAGCCCGAGGCATTCATTATCTAGAATCTATTTAATAAATAACATATTTTAGGATATGCTAATACCAGACTCCAGTGGTTCTGTCGCGCTGCGAGAAGCGCTGGGGCTCTCATCTCTAAATACCTAGTTTATACCTGCTCGGGTAATATATCAATTACTAAGTAAATATTCCAATAGTAGGCGTCTGAAACAAAGAGAGCATATAGACACCATCTTGTGAAATAGTCCAAACGCAAGCCAATAATCATACAACAGAGAATGGAGATACAAGCCAAAAAGCCGAAGTGGCAGCACCAAGTGAGGTACCTGAGCACACGGCGCCATGTATTTAGCCTTATCCAGTCGCGCGGTGCCGTCCTGCGACTACCTCCTAGAAGCAAGTAATACGTGAAATACATGAAAAGCATTGCTTGCATACAACGGAAGGCGTCTGTGAGTGATCGATGGATTCGATAGCGGGTCGATAAGGTTACTATGAGAGTAGAAAGGCCCAACATTGTGCTCGTTGACATATGTATAGCCGGATCAAAGAAGGGTATTGGGGGGTAAAGGATAATAAGTACCAAGGGTATTATGACGAGTTTGACTGCAAATCTTGGGAGGTAACTAATAAGCACCCAGGGCATTTTGACGAGTGTGATTGTAAATCGAATTATGGGCCATAGCCAATATAAAAGGAGTGCCCAGGGTATTATGATGAGTTTGATTGTAAATCTTGGTAGGTAACCGATAAGTACCCAGGACAATTTGGCGAGTTTGGTTGTAAATCGAATTACGGGCCATAGCCAATTCACAAGGAGTGCCCAGGGTACTCTGACGAGTTGGATTGTAAATCCAATTACGGGCCATAGCCAATTTAAAAGGGGATCGGAAAAATAAATAACCTGCTCACATAGGAACCACACTACGAAGAGTGTCTGAATCAGGTTCCATATATGGGTCAATATACGGTATACTCTGGCCGAGAATATCTGTCCTTCGGCGTTGGCATTAGCATTGGCGCTACTGCGTGTAGGATGAACGATAACGGTGTCCATTTCTAAAAGAGGATGGATAAATAAGTCGATTAAGAATATTGATCAAATGGATACCTAGGTAGTTAATTCGTTATATTTTAGTATACTTATATTTCAAGGCACAATGTACGAACATGCTTTGTTAGGTAATAACATCAAAGTAAGTGACTCTTGCACGAATTGGATCACAAAGAACCTTGTTTCTATACAATATAAGGTAATTGTTGATAAAGTACATGTAGGGAGGCTCCCGGGTTTTCATCCATGAGTATATCAGGATACAAAGGGTCGTTTCCAAGGAAATCTATATTTAGGTTCCGGGGTTTCTTTGGGTACGAATTCTCGGGACTGGGCCCCTTTCTAAGTTCTCGACTGTCTACCTACCTAGGTAGGTAGGTATCCTAGGTTAGGTTTCCAAAAGAATATCTACGTAGGTACATATTTAAACTAACTTTACTTACCCTGCGAGCGGTAAAGTACACATTATTCTTTCCTCGTCCATATCTCTAACAATGATAGAAGGTGGCGGCTCGTTGTCACGGCAGGATAGACACGTAAGTTTTCACTTCCATTAGCCAAGACATATTTCGAATGATGATACTTGTTAGATTCCCAGTAACTATCTTAAATCTACCTATCCCAGGAGAAGCCCCTGATAAAAGCAGCTATAGATACGATTCATAACACTTCCCATTAAGTATCTCCCAACAGTTCACCTGCTAGCTTATTTACAGCAATGGATCCCTCTCCAGCAGAGTATCTCTCCCCGGCAATCGTATCTACCTCTCTCGGAGCTCCCGATATGTATAGCATAAGAGAAAAACTCGAACAGGCTGCCGAAAACTATTTCGCGGGCGTCGAAATATCCTTCGATGAGGTGATAGTTGAAGCAAAGATGGATTCATAGGTTGATTACCCCTCCGAAAAAGATTTATTCGCTGCGGCAGAGCGCATTGCGAGCCTATGCCGATCCCTTGGCCTTGAAATCGTAGCCTTTGGGCCGTTTCAACGCTACGAAGGATTACGGGATCGAGTGCGGCACAATGCCATGATAGATATACTCCAAACCCAGTTTTCGATTGCGATGGCGCTTGGCGCCCGCATGATTATAATCACAGCTAACCATCTCCCACAACACGAGCTGTCGGAAGAATTTATTCTCGAAGACCTCAAACTGATTTCACAATGGGGAGTGGATATGGGTATCAGCATTGCGTACTCTTTTACGTGCTACAGTACCATTATCAACAGATGGTGGAAAGCGTGGGAAGTTGTCAAGTTGATCGACAGCCCCAACTTCGGTCTTTGTCTGGATACCTTCCAAATAGCTGGTGGTTTAGGTGACGATACGTCAGCCTTGTCTTACAACGGAACGGAAGAGAGCATTAGGCGCACGAATAGCCTCAATCGTATGATTGAAGTAGTACCGCCAAACAGGATATTCCATCTCCAAGTTTCCAGTGCCGTCCCCTTCGTCGATGCGTCAAGCCCGAGTCATCCTTGGTATGTGTTATTAGCGAGTTTCCCACACTTCTTTCTTGACCTATATCGCTAAATTAACGCCCCCAAGCCGAACCAAGGGGTATTACCTACCACCAGAACCCTGCTCTAAGCCCCCTCACTACTATTTTTCATGGAATAAATTGCTAACTACCCATATCCTAAAGGTACACGCCTCGTGAGACTCCCCTCATGAGCTGGTCACGACACGGCAAAGGTTTCCTGTTCGAGAATCCCTTAGGCGGTGATTATTCGATGGAGGACTTGGCAAAATATATCGTTCTTGGCTCGAGGTACAAAGGTTATATTTCGATGGAAGCATCCATCCCGGCTTACGAGAAGGGACTAGACGTACCAAATTATTATGCCTCTCGTGCAAGGGCGGCTTGGGCGAGGTTTCTGGGCATGCTCGAGTTAACTGAAAAGCCAAACACATAGTTGCCGTATCTTAACCATGTATGCGACGAGCATGTTTATAGCGATAACCTCTAACAACCGTGTATATACCACTGGTAAGAAGGATCCTCGAAAGGTCATAAGGGTCTCGCATCTCCTGTCAAATAATTCTATAGGATCCCGTGACCCTTACAATCAACTCCCTGTCGATGAAAAGTCCATGGGAAAGAGTAGGTAGTCATAGGGATGCGGACGAGTGAGGTTGCATGTTAGAATCATTCACCTTAATGTAAATAACTTAGCGAATTTATAGCGTTCTCGTCTCGTAACCGCTGGGCACCGAGCACAATGTCAAAAGCGGTAATTATGGTAAGACCATCTCTGCAACGTCAAAACATCCAGCCCGAATCGCACAAACCATACTTACATATTCTGATCTACAGCTTAATCTACCACTACCGTGCTATATACTACGTATTTCGGATATCTCAGCTAGCATCGCTTTTTTAATCGGCTATTAGGCGCTTGGCGACGAAATACGAAGGCGAGGCAGAAGCTTAACGCGACTTCGCTCGTATAGGATCGCCAATCAATATGCCAAGGGAAAACCCGTACTGCTAGCCCCCCGGGATATGATCATGGAACTAGGATTACGTGAGCTTATACTAGGATAGTAGATGCACGGTAGATCATTTTGTGGTATAACGTTAGGTACATGTGTGGGCGTTATTTACCTGCCTATAAATTGTGACATGAACTTGGCAATGACATTCTGCTCCCCAAGTCCAAAATCCCCCAGTTCTTTTTGGAGGCAGCGGTAAAATGATACTATTTCTTCCGATAATTTCGAGCTGGTATAAGTATCCACCCTACGTTGAACTCTATATATCCCGGCTGATCTGATCTTAAGTAATTGAGCAGACAGCAAAACGTTGGTTTATAAAATGTTCATATAGAATTAACTATCATGTCACCATTATCGAACGAAAATGCCGTGAGCAGTTCATAAGTCGTCGTTAGCATTGAATGAGTTCTACATACAACGAAGATACGGTCTGGATTTATTCCATAACCGGATCGGTCCGGCTGCAACATGTGAGTTTGTAAGCAACTGTTCCCAACCTTAAGAACCTAGGGCAAGGCGCTCGGTTTTGAGCTTCACCCTCTTGACTTGATGCGAAAAAGTGAAACATCATATAAGAAATGTGAGGTACAAGAAGTGAAGACGAGTTTGTTGTTAAATAGTTCAGACTTAATTGAATGCACTGTGGGGGTAACCCATCAACTCCACGGGGGCAATGCAAGGTCATATTCTGGGGAAATGACAAGTCTGATAAAAAAAAAGGGATAAAAGTGTAATGGCTCAGGGCCCAACAACGAATCGAAGAAATGCTAAAAAAAAATCCAGGACCATCCTTTCCCTGGTGCCCCATTCACGCCGTTTTTCCATGTCATCAACAATCATACTGCGAGTGCTGGGTTTGTAAAAATTGTGTATTGAATTGTACACTGAAGAATCGAAGGGGGTCTTATGTGGCATATGTATTGCCTGTGCCAGCAAGATACTGCCTAAAGCGCAAGACTAGCTTGGGATCAGCTTACGCAGTCACAGTAGCCTTGCCGAGAGGCTTAAGGACGTTGCTGCCGTAAGCACCACCAACGTTACCTATGTCATATATTAGCATGAAGTCATAACTCAGGCAATAGGGGTACCCATACCAGGAGGGCTGTAGTTGCACACGGTGAACCAGGCATCGAAGTCGTCGTACATGGTTCCCTTCTCGCAGTAGTGAGAAGAGCAGCCAACCTCAGTCGAATCTTTCCAGACAAGCTGGGACATATGACCCCAGCTCTCGAAGAAGGTCATGTCGGGGGAATCCTCGCCGTAGTACGAGGGAAGGAAGCTGTTGAACTCTCCATTGTACCACATATCGCTGATAGCCATCTTGACAGCGCCGGTGTCACCTAGCTTGTAAGCATCCACGCTCTGTGCCCAGTTGGCCAAGTTCTGACCGTAGCCCTTGTCACCTTGGTCCCTAAACGGACGTCAGTCATCGAAAATATATAGATTAATGATAAACATACATATCGTGCACCATTTTGCAGGAAAGGGAGGTCTGGTAAGCGTAACCAGCAAGCTTGTCGCTCCACGTAAGTTCCGGGGAAGAGTGGTTTGAGCGGTGGAAGTTGTGGTGCTGAACGGCCGCACCAGCGAAATCGGTAGCGGCAGGCGTGGCGGATGACTGGGCAGCAGCAGAAGACGATGCAGGAGCAGCAGAAGACGGTTGAGAAGCTGCAGAAGATGTTTCAGAAGCCGGCGCAGGATCCTGTACAACCGGTGACGGAGTAGATTCCGACGTGGGATAGGCCTGGGTTTCGGTAACAACCACAACGGACGGCGCGGGTGTCTCTGAGGTAGACGCTGGTGCCTCGGGAGTCTCGGTTACAACGGGGGTAGAAGAGCTGGCGGGAGAGTTTGTCTCTGCGGGACGTTGCTTCGGGCCGCCCCAGAAGAAGGTTGGCTTAGCTGTCTCAGTACCGGTAACGGTGACTGTCAAGTAGTCCACAACCCATTCGGTTTCCATCGCTCGCTTCTCCTTCTCTACAGGGCTGCTCATAGCCAGAGTTGCTGCGCCAGCGGCGACCAAAATCGAGGACCTCATTTTGCTCGATGTAAAGTCAGGTAAAAGACGAATATCTATAAGAGGTGAGCACTGTACAACGTCAAAAATACGTAGATATTAATATAAAGGTAAAATGAGTGTGGGTTATGATCAAAGTCTGATGGCTCGATCTACTGTAGTTTCAATGAATGATAGAATGTTATACAACAGAAGGGGGAAAAACTCAAGCGACGAGTAGTCGCAATAAGCCACGTAGGTGTGGTTTTGATCTCATATTTTGTTTGTTGTCATATTCTCCAAGATGTGGTCTAGATGTCCTTCATCTGGAAGAGTTTCCTTTATTTAAAGGGTACGCTTTGTATTGGAGAAGGGGGAGGAACTGTGTTCGCCTTCAAGAAGGAACAAAGCTCAACCACACCAGTAGAGGAACAACTAATCGCGACAAATAGAAGATCCTTGACGTTGGGAATATGGGGGCGTAGAGAGACAATGAACTTTTTGACCACGTACCTTTCAAAATTTGCTGGGTAGATAGTAGGTGCGGATGAAGGATGTACGCTTCAGTTCCAGCTGGTAGTGAAGATCGGACAATTTATAGTACTTGGAAGAGATCGCGAAAGTATTTCCAAACCAACGGCGGACCAGTTGCAATCAATCGGGTGGGTTAGACAAGAACACAACTTGTTGGACTGACGGCTCTTATGTTAGACGAGTACGTGAGCTTTTAGTGAGTGCTTCCGAGAGCGGATCGATCAACGGTGGTGATGGGGCGGCTGGCGTCCAAGTAAAGAATGACTGAAGTGAATGGAATTGGGTCGACTAGTCGATAGGCTGGTCTTTTGAGACAACAGTTAACTTGTCAGATCGTGTTGGCAGGTTGTCAGATCAAGACGAGAGCGAGAAGACTCGTGGTATTTTAAGGAATGAAAGTGCGCCAAGGCGGACAAGAAAGAGTGGAAGTAGTTGGTCGGAGTTGAGGTCTCACGAATGTGTATCGAACTCGGAATCAAGCCAAACACCGTGGTGGTAGAAAAGAAAAGGAAGGAGAAGGTAGTGAGTGCGGGAAAGGGGGAATGATGTATGCGCCAAAGGAACGGACAAGACTTGACCTGAGCCTGTCGAAGAAGAGAAATGGCAGGGAAAATGAAAGGGACCGATGTTTGCTAGGTACCTGGATTGCAAGGGTATCACGAAGGGTACGTACCGAAATAAACAGATGTAGGTACCTAATTCAAGGGTAAACTAAAAAGCTGAGTGGCTAGGCGGCTGCCGCACTAGACTAGGGTGAAGACTAGGGTGAATGCGAATTGTCGATCCTAGCGTCATTTCGACAGGCAATGACTCGTGCTACGAAAAGGGGGTGTTGCTATTAACACTGCTACACGATGTTGTTACCGGGTCCTATTGCTATTACACGTAGCATCACAGAAAGCGTCTACAGCGATTATCAAATAACATGATTAGATTGTAGTAAAGTGCATCTTATCTGAGATTAAAGTTTATTAAAATAATGACATGTACGAAACCGAGAACCTGGACCCTTCTACCTTAATATTTTTGATGTTTATGGTAAAGTTAAAGATATATTGTTTCTGTTTGGTCGAGCATAATGCATACGAATCTCTAACAGCGGTAATTATTACCTTACTAGGGTTTAGTTAGATTTACTGTTATACAATACTCCTGTACCTGATGCTTTCTAATATGTATTATGTATAATCATTTTCTTCGAGTTTCTCTTATATTCGTACACCGAATTGATACCTATTAGGTAAGTTCCTGAAAATCCGAAGATCTTCTGTATGTATTATGATACGTACATCTTATACACGTACATAAGCGCAACCCTAAACAACGCGAGTTGAGGTTTACCGGGCGGCAGTTTTCATAGTGACGTTGTGTAGTTGTGTAAACGCCGAAGTGGTCTAGAATTGTCGCTAGGAAACCGGATTGACCAAGTGTACAGTGGAAGCCATTTTTTTACTTTGTTTGAATATGAAAGCCTATCAGAATCTTGGGAGAGGGTGATGTACAAACGCTAACCAGTGCATCACATTTTGTGGTAATGTGGGGTTAGGTATTAAACTGCTATGGTAATTCACCAACACGTCATATACATTACTTATCACCCTTCCTTACAATTACCAAGTGTTTGAAGCTATCGTTATTTGCTTTTTCCCCTTCGAAATCTCCGTCTAATGAGTTTAGGTATTCGTAACTGTCAAGCCCGTTGGCATTAGAAATCATTATGTCTACCCTTTGCTAATTTAATATCATGGGATATTATGATCTGGACTGCTCTTTCGTACAACCTAAAATCAGACGAAGCCCCTAGTCTTTTTAGTCTGTTTCCAACCCCTGCAGGAAATCTGGTACCTTGCAGATTTTTACCCAGTCCCGCCTTCATAAGCAGGAGGGGCTAGTCAAGCGCGGGGCTAGTAAAGCATGCCCCAGAGCGGTAATCGGTAAAGCCATTGATTCGCCCACAACCGTTTTCCCTACGGATTTGCGAATGTCTTTAGGCTAACTGATCTTACACCCCTGATACCTCCTTAAACCAACTACGAATCCTGGGGTCAGCCCGATCTCATTTGCATATCCGTCCTTGTTTTGTTTATCATAGAGTCCCTATGGGAATGGAAACATCAGACGAACTCGCCTTGTCTACCCGGTTTTCCCTACTCTACCTATTCAGCTCTTCAGCTTGTACATATAGCTGCAAACAAGGTATGCACGTGATAAAAGCGCTCGATACCTAATTTGAACTCGAAAGTCTGTGCAGACCATGAATACGAAATGTTTGCTGTCTTCTGAATTCAACTATCTGCGAGTCTCGACCGCATGACACCACAACGGGGTCCCGCAATTCCTAGTCATCTCACATACATAGAGGCGTTCTAGTTTGATTCATCTTAGCAAATGCCGAGTCATGTTATTGGATCATATACAGTCCACAGGTTTACTTTTTTTCTTTTCTTCAGTAGGAATCGTCAGATCATTGCGTGGACGCACATAGGGGGGCCGCGCCGCTGATTAGTGGATACAAGGAAGCTCTTGTTAGAACGCTTCGACTACAGGCCAAGACCAAGTAAGGATGAAACGTTTGGGCCGCCGCCACGCCGATTAAAAAAGAAAGCAAGTTTATTCCTATACAACTCCCTAGCGTACACTAGTCAACTCCCCCGATCTTCAACGGGTCCCGTCCTGCGGAAGACCGGAAAATCACCCAACACCAATATCCATCAATGGGTACTGACTCCGCTGTTCCGTCAGCCGCAAGGACAAGCCGGCTTGCGCATAGCCTATTATGAGGGACAAACGATATGCGCCCCATTTTTATTCATCAATTCGAAGAGGCATTAATATTTAGAAAATGTGAAAAATGATATCGAAGTTTCGTATGGAATATACGGTTGCTAACTGAAATTCCGACAAGACCGTCGTTGTTGTGGATATACCTATCGACCAATATACCTAAGTAAAAGCCAGCCAATATCTCGTACGATGTTGAAAGGCATGCGGAAATTACGTCAAAGTTCCTGTCACCAATTCATAACGAGAGTTCATGCTTCCACGATGATCGTGGTTAGACTGTCGTAACACAAGGCACGTCCAAGCTTAAGACTGCCCTAGACAGCACTCTAGAGTCTAGACATGCCGTAAGGATTAGGATCACAATTGCTTACGAAATGAATCCAAATTACAACTTACCCATCACTTCGGAATTCATGATTCACTTTCAAGCCACGTCTATTCGAGGCACGCCAAATCGTGGTTTGCTCTCCTGCATTCTCTAGTTGCTTGCTTCAAGGAGCAAATTACACATTGGAGTTCAACAGAGGAGGAGATCACTGTCACATCAGCAAATTACTTTCAACTTGAATGGTTAACGCGAGTAAAGCGTCAACTATCATTGTGTTACGAGATTGTAAACTGTCATCGGATATGTACCTATCCGCATCAGAGGTTTACACATATATTACTGAAGTTCCAGTAACTGCCTCGGTCTTTCATATAAGTTATCGACTGTAAGGGAGAGAAAAGGGACACCGAGGCCTCTTCATCTATAGCAATCACGTGTCCACTTCCCGTTCGTCGAGAGTTCGAGAAGACGTTTCTTTCTAAGTGGAAGAGGTGACTGGCGATAAGCCAGCCTTCTGCAGCTAGCATGAAGTCTCATGTGTCTTACACAGGCAGTACGCCAATGCCACAGCGGCTGCCACCCCTAAATCCCGATTCTAAGACGGAGAGACACCAAGTTTCAACGTGGCACTGTCTCGGTGAGCACATACGCTACTACTAGTGTGTTCGTAAGCGGTTTTCTAGCATATGCTTAGCATAGTTAACAACCGTCAAGAGTTATGGTTGCTTTATCGGGGGCTTGCCTAGATCTAGTGATCAAGGTCCAAATAACAGATATCTGAGTTGATCGTTCAATAGAATCAACGCATCCTTAGACACTATCGTCGCGTGGATCTTAGGTAATCCTGAGAAGGACGTATATGTCTAAACGCGTAAGTGGCTGTCCTCCCCAACACCCCTGTTTTCATACAATGTCTTTCCGTCCTTTTTAGGCCCGGACCGAGACAAGACAACTAAAGTGCGAACGTTGATACATCCCACGACTCAATTCTTACAGGGCAAACGCGGGGATCCTAGATTTGTCTTGATATAGTACAACCTTGCTTCCCGCCTCTCTTCACGCTACCAACCGCCGGCCAGGCACATTTTCCACACAGCCGTCAGGCTCCGTGTCTTAGTTTTTCCCCAGTTGCCACAAATAGGAAACACCGAATATAGCACTGTTCCGTTGCGAATAAATTGTAGTTACCGGTGTGGGAGTCATGTCACATTTCTACCCAAGTTGTTTGCGGGGTTGCGGGACGAATCCTTCGACATGTGTGTGTGCCCTTGGTGGATCGTGGTTACGGTCAACTATTTCCAACTAGCTCAAGAACAACAGATGGATCAAGAAGAGCCCATTAGCCCTAGCGGGTTATACAGGATCGAGAGAAAAAAAAAATCCGTAGCCTTAGAGGGGTGAAACGAAACATAGCATAGGCTACTTATAGCAATCGGGCTTCTCGATTAAGCATCATACGCCACCTTAGCCACTTCTAGAAGCCCTCATCCTCCGTGGCAAACAGTTTCCGCGTATCCTTCCAGTAGAGGTCTCTGTCAGTAGAGGTCTCTGTCAGTAGAGGTCTCTGTCAGTAGAGGTCTCTGTTATAGCACTGCGACATACTCCCACGTCCTGCGGTAATGCGATATCCCCTGCTATGACGTAGGGTTTCCTCGCTGTATAACCTATCATAGTCATATACTAAGCCTATGGCTTCTGATAGACTTCCTATCCAACGTCGCGTTGCCCAACTCGACTGATATCCGTGTGTTGCTTACCCCGCGCAGATGTAGGCTACCTGTGTAAGTAGCCGGTCCTTGATGAAGAGGCGTCCTGAGTCCTTGATTGTTGGATGGCTACATATGTCCGGGGTTGCGCCGCGCCGCGCCCAGCCTATCTCAGCGTCGTGGGAGATCTGAGTGGCACTTCAGATTAACTCGTGCGAAGACGGGTATGCTAGGCAACGCTAGCAGCCAGTCGGCATACGTCCGATGCAGGCGAAAAGACGGGAAGACTTTCCCCACGGGTAGAAAGTGCAGGAGATGGGTGTCGTAGAACCTATGAGGCGCACATCCTCTCTGAATGAAGCCGGGTGGTTATTAGTCAAGGTTGTCAAGGCTGTCAAGTGGGATCATATACTCCGAATATGTTGGTATCCGGCATGCCTTTCTTGGACAGACGCACATAGACGCACATATATAGTAACAGGTCACATCACCTGCAACCCTATCACGATATGTTCCTGTAGGTATGTTGAGCCAGCCGACGCAGAGCACGGCAACGGACCATGTTTTCTTTATTGCCGTAGGCGTTTGATAACCCATAGAGCTATGTTCACGAATCTGCAAGCCGGCTTGCATATGTACCTAGACTGGTGTTCCCCCGCCTTTGTGTATGTGTCATCGATTTAGGGCAGACGAAGAGCTCCTGCGTCGGCTGGCTGCTGGCTCCCTCGGTAGCCAAGCGAACGGCTACGTAACTGCCGTGCGTGGGCGCTGGAGGCAATATGAGGGGATATTCGGGGCTTTTGCCTACGATCACACCCCGTGCCAACCAGAAGTAAGTGGTGTAGCTAAGGGATGATGAAGGTAGAGGGCCTTGAGCTTGCTGTAACCTCCTGTACGCCACCGTTGCTATTGCAAGGTAATATATTCGATAGGGCGTGTTATAAGTTGGAACTCTAGGAATATCCTCCCTTTAGAAAGTGCCTTAGAGCTGTGAGCTCTCATATAGTTTGAATATAACTACCTAACCCAAGCTGAGCTGCAGACCGTTCTGAGCCAGTCTAATTGTCTAGCCATGCTGATTTAATCACAGTCATTATTAGCATGGAACAAGATAGATTCGCGAGCATTGCCTATCATTTGACTAGTATATATGTATTTAATTGGAACGTAGTGAATTTAGGACTACAACGATCCCACGTCTTCCCTAGTTTATATGACCAATACCAGTTGGTCTCCGGCGATTTCTAATATATCGAGAAGAAACATGGCGACATATAGTTGTCACCACAATTAATTACCTGTTTATACGATAGAGATAGATATTTATGATGAGAGAGTTGACTGGCACAGGGAGTATCTATTAACGGTATGGATGCCTTGTCTAGTGTAAAGCGTCTAGGCGTGAGTATCCTGTCAGCTATTGAACAGACATCCCTTAATCTTTATAGGGTATGATATTTGTATTTTATAGCAAGCAAGCTGGCAAAATAGGCTACTCGCAAGAGGAGACCTCGGACAAGGTAAAACCTTAACCTGATTGTAATTCTTGTTTATTTACACGGCTCTCTTGTCATTTTGAACCCCTGCTTAAACTAGGGCACTTCATGATGTCGGCGCGTCGGCCTGGGCTTGTGCTGAAGGTGGGTCAATAGCTTTGCCGAACGGCGGTTGGCCGCGATCTCTTAAGATAGGGTAGTGGGCGTAGATCTGCTTTGTCCGGAGGTGGACCGGGGGCTTGTCCTTGGGAGAATCGGGGATAGTCTTCTCGAGTTTCTATTGTATGTTTCAGCAAAATGGCTCTTCAAGAAGCTACAAGAGGTAAGTGACATACCAGGTTATCAAATACACATTTGCTAAGCTTCCATTCGTCCTTCCGGCATTGCCACAGCTGGTGGTTGTTATTGTCGAGGCACTGCCAGTGCTTGCGGAACTCGTCCAGACAGTGCGTGTTGATGTCATCGATCACACTGGCGGCGCATCTGGTTACTCGTCGGCCCTCCTTTAAACACTCAAACTCGCCCTTGCCATGGTTCTCGTTCTTGCATTGCATGAAGTCATCGTTGTAAGGGCGGCACCGGGCGCCGATGAAGTACGAAGCCGAAAGCAGAGGCGCAGAAGTAGCTCCAACCTCCTTGACCGAGGGGATGGAGTCCGGGAGGGGAGTGGTATCGTAGAGAACCTGCTGGTTGAAGCTAAGAGTACCTAAGTTAGCGAACGGCGCTCTCTAAAAATGTAATGTAATTGGCTCATAAAGAAGGTCTATGAATATGTATGCCAATTGATGTTTTATTATTGAGTAGCAAAAGTGTTTGTAGGACATACACTGGCTTCCGGGCCGACATGGCTGCGATACGGACGGGGTTCTCGGCGGGATGTCGTGGTTTGAAGTGAGCTTTCGGAAATGGAGCAGTTTGACGACAGGCGACAGGCCAAGTGACGGAATCCGGTGGTTAGCAAATTGGAAATGCTGATTGGTTCCAGCCACATTGGGCTAGGATAGATCAGGTTGGTGGGTCAATGTGCAACTGCTAACCTAACCTAGAATTTATCACAACCAATTAGCTTTGTGAATAATTCGGGTAGCTACATGTACCTACCTCATTCCAGCTCCCAGCCACAATCACCTAAGGTTGAAGCTAATGTATCTGAAGCTAGGATTTATTTGTGGAATTTCTGGTGTATGCATTTGAACAAGACCGGTAAACACCAGGACCAGGACACCCAACAGCAACATCTAGGTAGTGTTTCTTTTTTCTCTCTTTCAATTCACGTCAAGATATCGACCTCCGTCTCGTGTGAAAAAAGGATATTTTTTATCTAAAGTACCGCCATGAGTTGAAGCCTAAATCATTCTTTTATTCCACCCACTTTAAACGCGACTCTTATATTCGCGAAACCTTCTGTCGCAAGAATACGGCTTCGAGCTCTCCTTCCCTAAGCAACGCCGCCGGTTACTTTAGTCTACAGGTTCCCCAGCTCTAGCCATGTCTCTCTTTGGCAGCAAGCCTTCAGGATTTGGGGCGTCCACAGCTCCCTTCGGACAATCCACAACCACTACTGGGTTTGGTCAGACCGCAAACCAGTCGCAGACTCAGAACCAGCCGCAGTCCAATACGCTTGGTGGAGGTCTACTCGGTGGGAGTACGCTCGGCCAACCATCGACCAATGCGTTTGGTGGGAGCATTCTTGGTCAGCCCCAGGCGCAGCAACAGCAACAGCCTCAACAGCAGCTTGGAGCTTCTGGCTTCATGAACGCAAGCCAGGCACCGGTGCAACGCTCCAGCCTAATTTGGGAGCCAGGCCGAGAATCACTGAGTAAGTCTACTATCGCTTAAGCGCGCATATTTAACATTGGGCTGACAATTTCGATCCTAGTCCACAAGCCTGTTACGGAGCAAATCGAAGGAATGCTCGAGAAGTGGCTTCCCGAAAGTCCAAATACAGTATTCAAGTACTACTTCTACAATAAGGTCGACCAGACGCGCATCCCTCTCTATCAACCCTCTCCCTTAGAAGATCCCCGAGAATGGGAGCAAGCTGTTCACGATAAACCCGGCCCCGGATACATGCCGGCCCTTGCTACCGGGTTTCAAGCTGTTAGCGAGCGTCTTAAGATGCAGAGACAGGTTCTAGGGCATTTCAGACAGGCGTTACATGCTATTAACTCTAGCTTGGACGCAATTCTCTCACAACACGACTTACAGACCAGCGTGCGGACAGCCAATGCCCGACGAAAGCACGCACTGCTACGACGGAGATGCCTAGCCTTAGCAACAAAGGTACAGGTCTTGCGCAACCGCGGATACTCCCTCGATAAGGAAGAGGATGAATTGAAGACGAAGTTGGAAACTCTCGACCGAGCTGTGACAGACCCAGCTCTAAGCGCGCGAACAGAGGAACTGTGGAGCCGTCTTATAATGCTGAGGGGATATGCGGATAGCCTACAGAACGAGATTAACAAGCGCGGCACAGAAGCTCAGGAGGGAATAGGGGAGGAAATTGAGGCCCAAGCCAAGGAGGTAAGTTTATTTCCCGGTCTTTATGATCATGAGCAGTGCTAACATTTGGCCGTCTTAGATATTGGAGAAGTTTGACAAGCAACTGCAGTCCTTGAAAACCGCGCTGGAGGGGGTTCAGAAGGATTATGAAGAGTGGTCCGAGAGCAATTCACTTCCTAAACAGTAGATAGCACGTAGGGGGTTGAAGTTCATTAATAGAAGTGGGCTCTCGGGTCTTGGGAAACTTGGATGGTATACAGATATTAGCTAGCTGTAGGGAGCCGCATAGAGCCCGGCGTTTGGGGACGTCTGCTTCTGATATTAGACGATAATATCCCGATATGTTCCTTCCGAATTTCTTCTATCCTCGGATATCGAATACCGTGGGTTTCCCAAGACAATGAATAATGCATTCGGGATTATGGAAATGATTTACGTATGATATGAGAGAAGATTCAAAACCCGTACGGGCTTTATATTATGTGGTGACGTAACAAGCTTTATACCTCTATGAGCATCGGACGCCCAAACGCACCGTAGTGCGATATGCATGATGCCTCAGCCTTGTGATGCTAAAATAACCCGAAACGGATAACATGCAAGCCGTCCTCACGAAAAGGTACCCCCGTATGTATAGTAGCATACACTTCATCCGGCCCTTATAGTTCATATCTCAAGAACCGGACCATTGTTACCGTGTCTCATAATTGTACAAAAGCCATGCGCCCGCAAAATTAAAATACGCTCGAGACGAGGTCAACGGCGAAAGGAGCTGGTAGAGTACATCGTCAGTATTATGTACCTAAATCATAACGGAGATTATGAATCGAAGGGAGCATACAGAAGTAGAGCACGACTGCGGCGCCGAAGAAGAGCTGGACCGTAGAGGTAGCTTCAGCCTCGTGCTGCTCGAGCTCCTCTTTTGAGAACTGGGGTGGTGCGACTATCGTATCTTTTGTTAGCGACGGGTTATATAGCACAGATTCTATTACGAGGTTCTCTTACATCCGCCAAACATTTTGAATTACTCTTCTTTCCGCGTGGTGGACCTAGAGACGTTGTTGTTTTTTGTTTTGGAGCAAAAAGTTTCGTCACCGGGAGATGGCGAATAGTATTGATTGATTCGTCGGTGTCACCAGTTTTTTTTTTTTTTTTTTAATTGGTGACGAATAGCAGCAGCAGCAGCTGAAAGCAGATTTCCCCACATCTACCTTATGTTATGTAAGGGAGGTAGTGTATAATACGGCACCCATTTTGAGCCGCTTAATAAAGATTATAACCCTTGTAAGTCGTGTAATGGCGCTAAAGCGATAAGCAGGAACAGCGAATGCGGATTACATAACGGCGTAGGTAGCACATGCATCGCACCATTCCAGACTCAAAGGGAAGAGCACTTGCAGGATGTGTACACCGCTAGGTGGGTACCCGCCACTGTAGAATGAGGTGTTGGGCACTGCACTGCGGTAAGGAACCTTAGCTGGACAGGTAGGTACGGATTGCCTAGGGTAGAAATCGAATAGAAAGGGTCCGGGGCAAAAACGTTATCGGCTTTGACACTTCCTCCGAAAAGACCCGCAACTTTTGTTATCTCGCATATTTCGAGCTAATTGCTAGACCGATGACGGCGATTCCTTCTAAGGCAAAGTACCTCTTAGTCCACCTCCTAGGTATAGGTACCTAAAGTGATACATATATATGGAGGGTATCCAACTGTACCTAAGCTAAAAACTAGTAATCAATCCGATTTCCTATTTCCCAATATTTATCTAATTCATTCCATGTAGTTCACGATTTGTTGCTTACTGCTTGTTCTGTTCAATTATCTCATTTTTATCTCATTTAACTACCTCCTAGCTGACATAGTTGCAACGTTTCGAGCAGTATGACCGCATAAAGCTTGGCCCAGCATTCATTCGAGGTCCCGTGCTTCGTCTATACGTTGGTTATAGCTTATAAATTGCGAGTAAGAGCATCTTTAAAGAAGAAGAAGATGGCGTCTTTCGCGAGGGGTATACCTCGTTTAGGCCGGTCAGCAGTTCAATTAAGAGCTTCAACTTCGTTAAGTTCTTCGTTAAGTTCTCGCTTGCAGCGTACAGCTCCGTGGATATGCCAGAACTGCACTTATAAGGCCGTGGCGACGGCTACCCAGAAAAGGTCTGTCACTAGCATTGACCGGACACAGGTGGCAAGTTATGCCGACCTGGACACATTTCCTCGTCGCCATATTGGACCTGATGAGGCCGATACAGCTGAGATGCTAAAGGCCCTATCCCCGCCTGTCGACAGTCTAGATAAATTCGTTCAGCAAGTCATCCCACCTAATATTTTATCTAAGAAAACGCTCGACATTCCCCCTCACGAGGGGCCACAGAGCGAATCAAGCCTGAAGGCAAGGGTAAAAGAGTATCAGTCCAATATCACAGTGAAAAAGAGTTTCCTTGGCCAAGGATACTATGGAACACACACGCCAGCCGTTATTCAACGGAACATCCTGGAGAACCCCGCCTGGTATACAAGTTATACCCCTTACCAGCCAGAAATCAGCCAAGGCCGCTTAGAGTCCCTCGTCAACTTTCAAACTGTGGTTACTGACCTGACGGGACTTCCTATAGCCAATGCCAGCCTCCTAGATGAAGGCACTGCCGCCGCCGAGGCGATGACCCTCTCTATGAATACGTTGTCGACCTCGAGGGCTAAACGGGAAGGGAAGACTTTCGTCGTATCTAAGTCCCTCCACCCGCAGACGATATCGGTCTTACGTGGACGTGCGGATGGCTTTGGCATTAAGATATTGGAGTTGGACCTTACGAAGGATGAAGCACGTACCGAGGTTGAGAACCTCGGCGAGGATCTGGTTGGTGTCATGGTCCAGTACCCTGACACATACGGCCACGTAGAAAATTTCCAGCCTCTGGCCGACTCGGTACATAAACAAGGCGCCCTGCTTAGTGTTGCTACGGATCTACTGGCTTTGACCATGCTCAAACCCCCAGGAGAATGGGGGGCCGATATTGCGTTCGGAAGCGCGCAAAGATTCGGCGTGCCGTTGGGATTCGGAGGTCCACACGCAGCCTTCTTTGCCGTTCAGGAGAAGCATAAGAGGAAGATGCCTGGTCGGTTGATTGGACTGTCTAAAGACCGATTAGGTGGAAAGGCCTACCGATTAGCCCTACAGACACGAGAGCAGCACATCAGGAGAGAGAAAGCAACCAGTAACGTATGCACATCGCAGGCGCTGTTAGCTAATATGAATGCTCTCTACGCGATCTATCACGGACCCGAGGGTCTCAAAGCGATTGCCGAACGAGTTGTCCGAGGGGCACGAGTCATTCAAGCCATCGCCGAAGAGAATGGGTTTGCCACGGAGAAAAGCAAGTGGAATGACAGCGGGAGTGTACTATTCGATACAGTTATCATTGATGTTGGATCCAAAGAGAGCCAGACACAAACTATAAGCACAGCACATGAACACGGTATGCTTGTTCGCCGAATTGGTGAGCAACAAATTGGTATCTCGGTTGATGAAACAACATCCCTGGATGACTTGGTCAAAGTCTTCCAAGTATTTGCCATTACGGCCGGCAACATCAAGGTATACCCCTATGAGGCAGTGGAGGGGCACGTTCGCCAGATACTCGAAAAGCACGCCGACCCGGTAGATATCCCGGACGCTTTCAAACGAACCTCAAGCTTTTTGACGCATCCTGTCTTTAACACGCACCACTCTGAAACAGAGTTGCTACGGTATATCTACCATCTGCAATCTAAGGATCTATCGCTTGTACACTCCATGATTCCGCTCGGCTCATGCACTATGAAGCTCAACGGAACCACGGAAATGTCGCTCATCACGCTACCCGAGTTCTCCCAGATACACCCGTATACCCCAGAGGAGATGGTCCCAGGCTATAATAGCTTGCTAGAGATGTTCAGAGGGCAATTGCGTGATATAACAGGCATGGATGCTGTCTCTCTTCAACCTAACTCGGGAGCACAGGGTGAATTCGCCGGCCTGCGAGCAATTAGAGAGTACCACAAGGCGCAAGGAAATGGCGGAAAGAAACGAGATATCTGCCTTATTCCCGTATCTGCTCACGGTACAAACCCTGCCTCCGCTGCTATGGCTGGTATGCGAGTAGTACCAATCAAGTGTGATACGACCACCGGCAATCTCGACGTAGCAGACCTTGAGGCAAAGTGCAAAAAGCACCAAGAAGAGCTCGGAGCTATCATGGTTACTTATCCCAGCACTTTTGGTGTATTTGAGCCCGAGATCAAAAAAGTGTGCGAGCTGGTCCATGAACACGGCGGTCTAGTCTACATGGACGGTGCAAACATGAATGCGCAAATTGGCCTATGCTCCCCGGGAGAAATTGGCGCTGATGTATGCCACCTGAATCTTCACAAGACTTTCTGTATCCCACACGGCGGAGGCGGCCCGGGCGTAGGCCCAATTTGTGTCAAACAGCGTCTTCAACCCTTCCTTCCTCGTGATCCCAATTCCGAGGGCAAGGCGACGAGCGGTGGCTATGCAGTGAGTAGTGCCAACAATGGTAGTGCTAGTATCAACCTCATTAGCTGGGCGTATAACACCTTGATGGGTAAGTTAACTCATATTTTAAATTTTACCTAATAACCGAACCAAACACTAACTTCTCTTATAGGGGCGGAGGGTCTCACCCAAGCTACCAAAATCACTTTGCTCAACGCCAACTACATCCTGTCGCGTCTTAAGCCTCACTACCAGATCTTATACGTGAATGAGCACGGGCGCTGCGCTCACGAGTTCATCCTTGACGCCCGGCCCTTCAGTAAATCCGCTGGCGTCGAGGCCATCGATATTGCCAAGCGCCTGCAGGATTATGGCTTCCACGCGCCGACGATGAGTTGGCCCGTTGCTAACACCTTAATGATTGAGCCGACCGAGAGCGAGAGTAAGGAAGAGCTCGACCGCTTCATTGATGCTCTCATCAGTATCCGCGGAGAGATCCGGGAGATTGAAGAGGGCAAGGCCCCGCGCGAGGGCAATGTTTTGAAGATGTCGCCACACACCATGCAGGACCTAATTGCGGGCGACGGCGGTGAGGGTAGCAAATGGGAAAGATGCTACTCACGGGAGAAGGCGGCGTACCCTCTACCGTGGCTTAAGGAGAAGAAGTTCTGGCCGAGTGTCACGAGAGTGAACGACAGTAAGTTGATGCACATATGAAATTCATCTAGGGTTTGGAAACATAGATGCTAACTATAGTACCTAGCATACGGCGACTTAAACCTATTCTGCACCTGTCCGCCAGTCGAGGACACGACGTAAATAGTTTTTTCCAGTAGCACCATTCTGGCGCAACGCATAGATGATATCCAGTTTTCAACATCATGGAGAGGAAAAAGGCGTACGGTGGATAAACGGGTCTTCAACACATGGTAGAGTTGGAGTCAGAGCGGCACGGAGTTTCACCAACTCTTCTGGGCACAAGGCGTTTTCGGGAGAGAAGCATTCAACAGCGATGAGGTCTTTTGCATGCACATAGTTGGTTGGGTATACCAATATCATCATCATCATCATCATCATCGGGACGGTAGACACGAGCGGGTGTGAATTATTCAACTACACGAGCGCTATACGCCTGGCTCCATTTAACTGGGCTAGATCTAACGGGTGGGAGGAGTACATGGTGACTGGGAATGGGAATATAGCCTTGAAATTTTATGGATTGGTCTAGATGACTAGATGCTAAATCAGATATACGCGTAGAACTATGTAGATAGATTTGACTCTATACTGGCAATGGAGCTGTTCCGCCATTTCCCCCCTTAAGATGGGGTTTTGCGGACATTTGTTTGTTCCTTGACGCTATTCGTGGTAGATTAAGTCGGCGCCGAAGAATTTTCCTCGGTAAGCCGTATATTCCATATGTCCATCTGCCGTTGTTAACCGAGGCCTAGTTCTCCTTATCCTTCCATAGTACATCTGTGGTAGTTTATATATAGTGTATAGTCGGATCAGCAACCAATCACTTAGTTCCGTACTACCGAGGAGACATCAATCAAGGTGGATCGCACTAAAATGCTGAAATACTGAAAAGCGGTTGACTGAGGTTACTGCTGCACGTAGGGTCCATCCAGCCGTATATATTCGGCCCCGGTTATTGTTGGTTAACCACGCTCGAGCCGGGCCAATGGGGTGCGGGGATATTACGTATAGGAGATGCGTTAACGGAGGGATGCAGATGGAGGATGGAGGTTAGGATGTAGTGTACGTACATGGGTGGAAATCCCTTTGCTGGAGATGATTTGGCTCCCAGTTGAACTGATAATAGGTTTTGACTAGGGGGCGGACACGTTATGGTAAAGAGTGATGCTATTTCTAGATTACCTTGCCGAGCCTACAATGTAAATTACCCCGCGGAACAAGTATATACACCCAACCACCAAAATTATTACATAGTAAAATGACATCCCACATATCTCTTATCACTCTCTAATATCTTACCCAAAACATGGTATTGCTATATGACTGTGTTATCATTAGATTTGCCTTGTCAAGCTGATTCAATTGATATAAGTGACCGTTTGTTAAATATGCTGTTGCGATGGAAGAATATGAGATTAATTGGCCTTATCTGTAGATTACATGCCACTATTCGCAGATTAGTATAGTCTTATTTCTAAGGATGTTGCTTTATTGCAATTTTCGTAGCCAAGTACGTACGCCCGTTTTATGGGGTAATCTACATTATAGGCCCGGCACGGTAATCCAGAAATTCTAAATATACATACGTACAATCGGACGTCTATTGACAGACTATGTTTAGCCGTAGGCTCCCGTGAGTTCGTCGTAGAATAACGATGTCGTTTCCCAGCTTCTTAGTCTACCTCATAACACTTAGGACGTTGGGTAACCAGATCCAAATCTTCCTGATTTATTTAAAATTCTTCCAATAATCACTCGTGGGATACTAGGTTGGATCACCACTCGTCTCTAACAATATTTTTCATCCTTTTCTGGTTGCTCTGGTCCACATGAGCCCCATATGAATCATCGAAAGAATATTGGGTTATCATGGTAGACATCTGTATGGACCCCGAGGGGGCAATTGGAGTTTCTACCAGCTCCTGCGTAGACGAAGGCGTGTGTTCAGGCTTAGATCCCTGGCAGTGTTCGCATTGAGAACAGTACTCAGCATCCGCCGAGGGACTATGCGTTGGATCGTGGTATCTGGGGTTTGAACTACCCGATGATGTTGACCGGCCTTGGAGTTTTGACAGGGAGAGTCTAGATCGAAGGCTAGAGTAGAAACTAGATTTGACGAAAATGCTAAACCAGAACGATGATAAAGTTGGGGTGCAGCTGACAATAACAGTGCCGAAAATTTCAACATATCTGTGAATAAGATCAAGTTAATCAAGACCTCTGGTCTGCCCGGATTGGGTATTGGGATGAACACCTACGCCGTGATTGAAATCTTGGCACCAGTCCAAATTGGGTCCGCGGTACCGCTGCTCACAATAGCTCTATACGCAAGACCGACTACGCTGGTTACAACGATACTAATTTCTATGTTAGTAGTACGAATCGTTATATTCCATTGCGGGCACGCGCTTACAGAAATCCAGCGAGAAACACGATTGCGAGGGCCCTTTTTCTCTCCGGCTTGAGGTTGAGTCCCGCCACGATGAATAAGGGCATGATAAATATAGAGAGGTCGATAATCACAGCGCAGACACCAATAGTGATTGTTGCCGGCGAAGTTTTACCACATCTAGCAAGCAAAACGCTATCCCACGGATCGCCGCGAGCCGGTATACAGAGAGACAATAAGGCAATAAGGTACGCCCCGTAGAGGACTAGTGTTGCAACGAAAAGCCCATAGCAGAGGACTCGAACCCATCGTAAGGTACCAAACAGTCGGAGGAAGAAGAGGAGAATAGAGCCTTTCACCAGAGGGTTTGCGATAGACGTCAGAACTTGAGCGGCGGATTGACCCTAATAGATGTTGAGTGGAACTACTAGGTAAGTCGGCGAATAATCCTACTCACCTTCATCACTGAGGGTGTGATAGTGCTTGCAGCAATATCCCACGAATGTTTGGCAATGCCATGTTTGACTTGCACTACCGATCTTGTATTAGGTAGCGGCAGCGATGAGTGTGGAAATAATACGTACATTCGTATAATATGAACCAGTACGCTATTCCGGCTAATTCTCCCACGAGGCAAAAATCTAATAAAGAGGGCCTATGTTAGCCTGTCTAATACCTATTCCGAAATTCGAAAGTAAATACCCCACGTACAATCATCAAGGTGAAGTTTGCGGGTGTTTTTCAGGTCTGTTCCTAGCCGAATGAGCACGAATATCGAGCTTACAGAAATGAAAACAATGCCAGTTGCCAAAATCGTCGTCTCTAGATTGGGGCCGCCATCAAAGTTAGGAGGGTCACCATTCGGGTTGGGCGCAAGAGGTATTTGGGACAAGTCGACGCCTGGCGGGATGTCCCCCATTATGAAAGCACTAGTAGGTATAAGTAGAAGTTTTCCGTGGCCTGTATTAAAACTACTACGATCCACAACTGAGACTTCATCTTACTTCCAAAACACGAGAAATGCGAGGATATTTGTTCTTGTCGTGGAAAATCAGCCGCTACCTATCTGAGTTACGATTGCCTACTATTTCCCGATGTTGGCAAGATACTAACCTACATGCATAACTCTCGGCGGGTTGGTCTTAGGCAATGAGGTGTTGAGCGGCTCTGCTGCAATACACTGACTGCATGTTGGACGAAAGAAAACCACAGTTAATTTAATTCTTGGTCTAGACCTTAGTTTCGTTATTTTCGTATTCGAGCCAAGATAACCATGTTACAGGGAATGGAGGGGATCTGACTGTTGGGGTAGTATTATTGCTTTCTAAGCATCACAGCCTGCCGTAGGGGATGCATAACATCAATACATTCTCATGCAGTATAGGTGGGCCAAGAACTACAGCTTATAAGCACCTGTATGAGTTACGTCTCCCGACCGACTTGGCAATATCATTTTTCTTTTTCAAATTTGGGGCTTACGCTCACGGAACACATTCATGTGACAGCCTTACGATATTATGATAGAATAGAATACCTAGGTACCTAAGGTACCAAGGTATTTTTCCTAACTTCTCTTCGCATCATATCTAACACTTCGGAAGAGGTAAAAACTAATGTAATTACTTTACGTGGTAGAATTCATAGCGAAGGCGATTGGTAGTTTGGAACGAATTCAAACAATTAGTGCTTTGAGATTCTACCTAGATCACTATGAAACTACACAATTAATATACCAAAATTTCTAAACCCAGTAGCCTTCTCTTAGTAACTGTATACTTTCATTCCCGCATGCTTCTCAGTTTACTTCCCCAACTGTTTCGGCATCTGGAGAACTCGTCCTACCCCCTTTTTCTGCCTCGTCTTCTGTAGGGAGTTTCTTCGCAAGCCCAAACTCGGTTGAATGGTCTTTGCGTAGCTCGACGTGCTTCTCGACAAATGTGATGAGGAAACCCAGGCACGCCACGCCAACAAATACTAGCCAAGTAGCCCTCAAGGCTAACTCATATACCCTAATGACCTGACCCCTAGCGGGGTCCGGTAAGCTGGTCAGGCCGCCGGCATACGTGTAAGCGCCGCCATCAGCTAAGAGCGAACGAATCTCCGGTTCGGCGACGATGTCGAGGTGGACATTGACCTGGCCGTTGAAGGCGATGGAGGCCATCGTCGCACCCCACACTAAACCAAGGGAGCGGACGAACGAGTACGTACCCGTAGCGACAGCGACATCAGATTCCGGCAGCGCTGCGAGGGTTGATGGTAACGTTGCTGTAAAGATTAGGCCGGTTCCGCCGGACGCGATCACCTGAAAGCCTATCCAGGCGCCGCGGCTGGAAGTCTCGTGTAATATCGAAAATAACCCAGCCCCGACGGCGCTTAGCGCAAAACCGATCCAATGGAGCGGCCTATATAGTCCCGTCTTGGACATAAAGGTACCTGCGAGTCCGCCAAATGGAATAATCGCCAAAGCAAAGGGCAGGAATGACACGCCGGACATTAAGGGTGTCGTCCCTTTAACTGCTTGGAAATATATTGGTAAGAAGTACCCGATAGCCTGCATTATAATAGATGCTAAGAAAATCATCAAGAACCCAGTGGCTGAGGTGCGATGTTTGAAAAGTCGGGTTGGCATACTAGGCTCACGACAAAATGGCGATGCTTCATATACATGGAAAGCAGCCCAGCCAAGAACGCCGAGAACAAGTGGTAAAACAATACGCCATGATCCCCAAGGGTAGCCGTTTTGGCCTCCCATTATCAAGCCAAAGAATAAAGCCACCATGGTCGGTATAAAAATCGCATTGCCGAGAAAGTCGACGCGGGCTAAGGCGTGGAGCCAAGTCGGGCTGCGTTTATATCGCACGTTGAGTGCGAGAATGATAGCCAGGAGTCCAACGCCCATTACCGGGATGTTAATCCAGAACACCCAACGCCAGTTCTCTTGAGCAAGTGCGCCGCCAATAATAGGCCCTATGGTAGTGCCGATAGCAGCAGTAGAAAGAACAGCGCTCATGTAAGGACCACGATATCGAGGCGGAATCAAGTCGCAAATTATGATGTCCGACAAGACGTACAGGCCACCAGATCCAAGGCCCTGGATAGTCCGGCCGGTAATCAGCATGCCAACATTATGGGCGCCGCCGGCAAGACCGCTTCCGAGAGTAAAGAGGACAATAGCCACAAAAATGGGATTCCGGCGACCGAAAATATCTGCGATCTGGCCGTAAAGAGGCTGGGGCACGGTGCAGGCGAATAAGTATGAGTTCGCTATCCAGACGTATTGGCCGGCGCCCCCGACCTCTCTCGTAACTATCGGCAAAGATGTAGTGATGATAGTTGAGTCAATAGAGGCCATAAAGGATAACATGCAGAGGACCAAGAAAATGGTCCATAATCGCCATGAATGTTGGAATGATTCGGGCTCATCCATCTGAGTTACAGCTGTGATGTTCGTGTTGGAGCCTTGCGGCGCTGGTTCTTGTTCAGGCATCTGAATTCCCTGAATGTCTTGTCTGCTTGGAATGTTTTGATATTTGCTTCTCAGTGCGGAAGAATAAAGGTTGCCCCTTTCTCGATGAAGGGGACGAAGAGGTAGCTAGAAATTTGACTTCATCTTAGAATTCGGGGGGGTTTTCACCTACCTATCTAAAGCGCAAGTCGTATGGGGTCTCAATACCCAGGGGCGGGATGTAGGCTGGCACCTTGCCGCCTGGAGGCAACACGCAGCCAAGCACATGTGCGCAGATTATTCCCATCTCTACATATTAATCACACTCCTGTGATTAGATTAATTACCGCCTGGGGGGTTAGCAGAATGTAGTATTGTGGCTGTCACTGACGCATGCTGGGTGGTAGACTCTTGGAAGACGTGGTCTTGAATCAAGTGGTTACGTGATTAAAGTGTAGAAGTGTAAAATTCAAACTGTTGCATGTTTTCACTGGTTGTTATACACTACATGTATGGGGGTTGCTTCCTATCCACCCTGCCACCTGAGTACCGAAGCTGTGGCACCTGCCCTATTAAGAGGTACCTAAGATAACGGGGAGACCCCTGTTCCAACCTTAAGACCTAGAACCTTAAGTACCCCTGACCTATGAGGTACTTAACCAATGTAACATTGGGGGCTGATCAATATAGGTGTTAGTATCGATGTTGGGGTCGATGTTGGGTCAATGCACATACATCAAACAGAAAATAAATCAGCGACCCGCGGTCCACCCAGCGAACCCAACGGCAGAAAGCAAGCCGGAGCTTACAAGGCGGAAAGCTGCCTTGCGAGGATTCCCCTCCTTCCACACGACGTAGCTGTCAACCAGTCCCGCATAGGCCCCCAGGATGGCGAGGATGGTATCGCAAGCAACTAGTTCATTGCGAAAGTAAAGAGTATACATGCATATGCCGAAGGAAGTGGTGCGGGCGTTGTTTATATGCATGACTGCATTCGCAGCAGGCGTGCTAGCAATACGATCTGGCAGGCCGAATTCGAGCATAGCAGCCCGCGCATCGAAAAATGACCACATTCCACCAAAGGTCATGACTGTCGCTGTGAAGAGCGCAGGAATATGGCGTAACTCGAAATTTTCAAACATCTTGACAAGTTAGAAACAATATGTTCACAGTATATTTTGGTATCTCGATACTAAAGAGAGTCATAAGATGTTTTCTGGTATATGTTGGTTGCTGTTTTTGTTGGTGTTGTTGTTGTTAAGAAGTGAAAGATATTAAAGCTTAAGGAGGGATGGTCAGCATGGCAAATATATACGCAGTAGAACACTAAAAAGGCAGCCAAGAGCCGGCCAAGTCGCTCACTGCCGCAACTAGTCAGCCCTGTTTGGGGGCTAAAAAGGACCTTGCTCGGAGTACTACGTCGTATTTAGAGAGTTACATATGAGAGGTCGGTTGGTTGGCAAGATCTTCGATGATGCCGCCCCCATAGACTGGTGAGGCTCTAGGCGCTTGGGCCTTGCATTTGTCTAGCACCTTAGAAATGGAAACCTACCTGTCTTGACAGAACATACCTATATGAATTAACTAAGGTGAAGAAGAGCTAGGTAAATAATTGAAGGCATACCTAAGGTATATAATGAGCTAGTATCCGCTCATAAGATCTCTCAAACACAGTGACATCAAGTTCCAAGCCTGACATCCCGTTTCAAGCATTAAAATTGCAATATAAATTATATCAGTAATTCGCCAAAATGCTTTTCCGGGCATCTAGCGATCCTCTATATACACTCTTTCTAGCTGGTACCGCTATAGCATTTGTGCTAATGCTATCTTCGTCTCTTACAGCACTGAAAACACGCAGCATCCCTATCGTACCCAAGATTTGGTCGACGATCAGGTGTCGTATTAAAGCCTGGGTATTTCTCTTTAATGGTCGTAAAATGATGTCTGACGCATATAAAGAGGTAATCGCCAGCTTCCAAGTTGAACATAACGTAACACCCACTAACCAACCTTCATGTCACAGTCTCAGGGGGCTCCATTTCATATCGATGTCCCCGAGAATCGATACTGGGTTGTTTCATCACGGGACCATATCAAGGAAATGGACGCAGCTCCTCAGTCCGTCTTATCGTTACTAGGAGCAGCAAAAGACCTTCTTCAACCCAAGTATACTATGAAGGGCTTTAACTGGATGGAAGATAAACAGGGGACCGAAGGGGCAACCTTGATCAGAACGCTCCGCAATGACCTTACTGGACACCTCCCTGAGTTTTTGCCAGAGATCCGACTATTAATATCAGCTCTCATCGATCAACACTTTGAGTCGATTCCATTGACAAACGGTGCGTCATCAACTTTAGCGCCGGTCATTATTGATATAATGCTAAAAATATGTTCAGGTACAAAAACTTTCACGATATTCCCCCTAGTCTGCAGAGCTATTGCCCATTCAAACGCCTTCATTTTCTTCGGCAAAGAGTTGTGTAAGCCAAATCCATTTCCACCTAATCGGGAAACCCCAAGCTAAGTTTATAGCGCAAAACCCCGAGTTCATTAAAGCCGGTATCTCTATGGTTGAAGACACCCTCATCCTCTCTGATATAGTCCGCCTTCTACCAGAAACTATCGCCGAGTAAGTTTGTGACGTCTTCGAGGAATACTAATCCGCTAATTTGCCACATTTAGTCCAGTGGGTAAGTTCTTAGCCAGCTGGCTGAACTCTGGTGATATTGTATACAATACTTTAGAGCCCATGGTAGCTCAAAGATTCGAAGAGCGAGACCGGGCAAAACTAGGATATGATATACCGGAGCATGTGAGTTCCTGACCATCCAGAGGTCATAACATCACTCAATCTCGGCTTCTGGGCTAATAAATTGGTATAATAGAAAGATTGTGTCCAATGGATCATGGATAATTCCCCTAAAACAAAGCCGTGGACTGTGCAACGAGTTGTTCACGAACTTGTCGCCTTGTGGTACGGATCTGTCCATATAACTTCCGTGGTAAGTTTCGTTCCAGAAGCTATTCACCATGTTAATACTAAGCTCCGCTTCTATAGACCGCCTGTCTTGCCCTTTTCGACCTTTGTAATCAAGAGGATTATGCCCAGCCATTGCGGGACGAAATCAAAAACACAGGATGGGAATCTTTCGATAAGTCTGGCGGCAGACTTTTTCCTCTTATGGACAGCTTCATAAAGGAGTCGGCCCGACTGAATCCAGTTGAATGCAGTTTGTCTAGCCTCACAATAAACTCAAAACCAGCGATAAGTAACTAATGATGGCAACTAGTGAGCATCCGGCGGAAGGCCTTGAAACCATTTCATTTTCAAGACGGCACAAGAGTAGAAGCTGGTCAATGGATCTGTTCTCCCCTCGCAGCAATGAACTTGGATCCGAAGTATCATGCCCGTCCCGATGAATTTCACGGCTTCCGGTTTGTCCAACCTAATATTCTTGAGGCATCTCTGTCTGGGATCCCGCCACACAACTTCAAGATACCTGAAGGTCAAAATCCATCACAATTTACCGACATGTCGGATTTGCCCATGTGGGGGGCCGGGAAGATGACATGGTAAGTTTTCTTCTAATGAAAATCAAACCTTTGCGCTGCTAACTGGACCATCAAGCGGAGGGAGGTTCTATGCTTCATCAGTCATTAAAACATTGTTAGGGTTGTTCCTTACGAAATGGGACATGCAACTGGAGAGACCTAATGCCAAACAGTACTTTGCCTGGAGAAGTTGGACTTACCCATATGCGAATACTAAGGGTATTGTGCGGACCATCGGTAAATGATTATTTTAGGAAGTTCCCAAGGGTGTTTCGTCTTTTGCTGTTAAGGTCATTTAAACAGGGGATTTGTAGCAAGTGCTTATCATCCCATCTGTTGTCACTACGAAGGGCCATCACGTCGAAATCTCTTTGCCTTACGGAATACATCCAGCTTTGGAAAAGCGGTCTCGTTCGGGTTAACGATAATAATTGCGTATGAGTGGCTAGGGTCGTTACGAATCGTGGTGCTATCTACAGATTATTATACCGGTCCTTCCTAACAGTTATAGGTACACCTTTGCAAAACAACTAGCACACTACCTGCTCCCCATTTTACAAGGTGATCTGTGAAGCAATCCTTGGATGTCTTAGGCAGGTAACCTCGTGACCGAAAAAATCATAGTGTAGCTACTATATGGGATGGGTGACATGTCGTTACTCCATAGCCACCGGCCGCATGAAGATCTTCACCACGGCATCGCCGTTGGAAATGTATACACACCCATCTCCGTCCGTATTGTGCTCTATTTCGCCTTCAAGTAATCCCGCATCAATAATAAGATCGTCTCGTCCATTTCGCAGTCTTTCGGCCTCCTCAAACGTCAACCACTCTACAGCATATGAGAGTTTCTTCTGGGACCCACATCGCGACTCTGGGTTTGAATTCTCGGCATATTCAATCTGTACTTCTAGGGGACCTGCTTTGTATAGTGAAGAAGTCTTTCCGATCTCAACCTGTTTTGACCTGACCTTACCTAGCTCGAGTGTCAAATTGCTCTCCGAAGGGCTCGAAGCCATTGGTGTGCTTATTTTGTCCAGGCTTTCCGGAATGCTACTGCTTCCTCTGCTGAAATGGGAAGAATCTTCATGTACTATTTCTTCCATCTCTACCGGTATTTTCTTACTCCCCTCATCATCGACTAGTATAGACTCATGAGTTGATGCTCTTTCGGAAGGAAGTTCAATCTTTTGCTGATCCTTGTTTATGGTACTTGAAGTTTCTAATGCGTCTAAAGGGGAAGATGTCATAGTGGGCAAAGTCGAGGACGACCAAGGTAATGTGAGTAAGGTGCTCTCGTTCGGACCAGTATACACAGTTTTCTCCCTTCTCGCAAATAATGTTTCCAGGCCGTTCCTGACATGGCCTTGAAGCCGAATGTTGTATCTCGTCGCCAAATCGTGGCACTCGGGCCCGCACGATGCCGGTAGTCGCCACCCCGGATATATCTTCCCATGGCATTTAGGTGTGTGGATCTTCTCGTACGTGAGAATGAACTCGTTACATAGCCAACAGGCATCCTTGCTTGAGCACACAACTCGAGGCATGTGCGCATTAGGCGACATATAGAACTCGCAGTAATAAAGGAGCTGGATTTCGGCATGGATTCTCGCCTCCTGCAAGGTCTTCCGTGTTTGTTCAATAAATCGGTTATTTGCTTGTTCCTTGGTGGTGTTTAACAAATCACAGACTTGCTCCAGATATTTTTTCTTCTTAAGCTTGCCTATTACTGGGAGGGAATCTCCAAGGTTCGACGTATAGTCACTGCCTAAATCTTTATCGAATACCTTTTGGGGTAACTGAATAATAACGAGATGCATATTCCGAACAAGAGGGATCTTTTTAGCTGCACGGTATAGCGACCTTGCTGCCTCACGGTATCGCGCGACTTTACTTATCGTGTTTATGAGACGAGCCTTCGAGTCCGACTCCATGTCTCGGTCAGGTATGCTGTTGATGAAAGCATAAAAGCTTTTAACTTGCCGAAGATGACGAATACCATCAACCAGTTCCTCTAACTCAGGCTGCGTCTGATGCTTGTCCCAAGAATCGATGAGCCTTAGTACATCTTTTGCCCTGTCGATAAATGAATACAGAGGGGATGAAGGTTCGTGTTTGCGGATTACGTTCTGCTTGAGATATTCCAAGGTAACTTGGAGGCCTTCTTTAATTGACCGCTTTTGACGTCTTTTGTGACTTCGAATAAGACTTAACCGGTAGAGGATCCGAGCTGAGCACATAGAAACGATGGCTCTAAAAACATCATTTTCTACGGCCAATGTGGTACCTGGCCTGATGTATTAGTAAAATAAGATATAAGTAAGTCATTGGCTTAGACTTAGTACCGTCCGCATGAGCGAGGAGAGAAAAAATACTCTCAAATTCCGCCTTCAGTCTCTCAAGAGCCTGGTTTCCTCCGTCGTGCCCGAATTTGTTTATGGCAAGCAGAACGTTCAAATATGCGGCACCAGTACCCTCTTCCAAACATACTGCTGGGATATTGTTATTATCATCCTTTGCATACGCAAGAAAAGCGAGTGTGCTACAAAGGCTGCGCTCCTTTTCGAAAGATAAGGTATAATCATCCTTTCGACATTGAATGCTCGTCACTGGATTTGAAAACGGCTCGCTAGGGATAGGATGAAGAAAGTGCAGAGCTGCAATGGTTTCGGCACAGATTTTAGCAGGAAGCGGCATGCCTGGGCTCACGGTTGCTGAGAAGTCAAGATTCCTCTAAGAGTTAACATCCAGCATCCTTTTCTAGTTGGATATTGCTTGATGTTTTATTAGATGGAATATCATTAGGGTACTTCTCTTGTTTGTCATCGATTGAATTCCATGATCGATTACCTGCATAATGGTAACCATTTCCCCTCCCTGAATGTTGAATATGCTTGACGGTAATTGGTGGCCTCGCGGGTGGCTGCGTCTTCTGACATTCTTTCTTCGCAATTTATATTCACATTGTTGCTGATCAAGACGAATAATACTAATGAGAAATGACTGTGCTTAATGAACTTGGTCTATACCAGAGAGGATCAAGGAGACAAATAGGTACCACGGTAAACAGCATTCATAGTTGAAAATAACCGAGAGATAGGCGTAAGATTAATCGTATTATGCTATTGGTATACCCTTACCTCACCTGACGAGAAGCTTCACTTGCAAGTTTCTATATGCCCTGAATTTACGAAGGGTTTTTTGTGTCACGTTGAATACGAATGCGCTAATTTGCCACATTTAGTCCAGTTGGTAAGTTCTTGGCCAGCCGGCTGAACTCTGGTGATATTGTATCTTGACTCAGTGCTGGCGTGGAGTGCTTTATCTTGCCTCTCTCTCGTTTCTTTTATCAGCAAGGTGTTTTTGATGATTCAACCGAGATTCCCGAAGCATCGCGGGGCTTGCCTCACATAATGCAGGGCCGACCCTATCGCGTTCCTCCAAATCGATATGCTGCAACACGTCCTCAACTAGCTGGCTAATATTGTGTTCTGTAGCCTCCGCGGTAAAGGCATTTGCCACTTTCCACTGTCGTTTATAGGGCATAAGGACACCACCCGGTACCTTTACCCTGCAATTTAAGCTGGCGAATATAATTTCAGCTTGCTTATCACAGAAGGCATCAATCTCCTGCAACGCAAACCACTGGACAGATCCTTTTTTAGGCGCTCTGTCGGTAGGCGGTTTTGGGGGGAGGCGAGGGAGCCGACCTAACTCATTATGACACGCGTTACAACATTTTGTTGTGGGCACCGTTTTCGCGCCCTCCAGGTTGTCATCCTCTGGCTGCTGCAAAAATTGCAACATATATTTTCTAAAACATGAGGCGTTGACGAAGCCGTATATATCAGGTTGCTCGCTCTGCAATTTTTCTCGATAATTTTCTTCGGCTTCGGACCAGGTCTTTGGATTGATAATCCCAAATTGCCCAAGCGTTGGATCTACCCTGGGAAGGGCAATCTCGCCGCTAGCGATAGACGCGACAGTTGACGATAGGGTAGAGATACTACTTTCAGTGCCACTGTCTTCAGCGCCTACTATCTTCGGGTAATTCCTTTGCGCAGGCTTAGCCTTTGACGTAACATTTCTCGACGGCGCCTCGCCTGCCTCGGCTTTGGTTAACCCTAATAGGTCTAAATACCAATAGGGCGGGAAGAAGTACGCTGTGCTTTGTGTTTCAGCATCCTGCGCCGCTTCCCCAAACCGTTGTATTAAATCTGCTAGGTTACCAGACGCGATAGGCCCGTACTGTACTACCCGCTTCACGTTACGGAAATCCATTCCCATCCCACGGGAAACAGTTGCTAGTATGATTCTACAGCGAGAGTCCTCTTTCGCAAAATCGTTGAATAGCCGCTTCCGGTCATTTGGCCGGGTATGGACATCGTGGTACGCCCGGATGAGGCTCGCGGCTTCATCGGGAGATAACCCCAAGCCAATAGCCACATTTAGTAAATAATGGCGAGCTCCGATTAGACGGTTGAAATTATCTATAAAGACAATAGCCTTATCAATGGATGTGGCTGCGTCTCGCCTCATACCACTGAGTAAAAACCCCAGTCGCCTATAATCGCGGTGAACGCTGCCCTTGGCTAGTGGGTAAATTATAATAGCCATGGCTTATTGTGTTGTCGCGAAGAGGCAGTGGAGGGGGTAAGCTTGGCTGGAGGTGTTCAAGCGTCGAGCTTTGATATACAAGAACGCGTTGTCGTATGAGGACGCAAACAAGTTGAGGGGTTTGAGAAGGAGTATAATTAGCCTTATCTTATCAATTACTTACGTAATTATTAAGGTATTTTGCGATGTATTTCGCAATGTATTTTCTTATCAGTTTCCTTATCATTTTCTTACGTAATTGAAAAAGTTTAAGCGCAATATTCCTTCGGAAAGAATATCTAATTTCTATGAGACCATAGGTCACCCGACCTATGCCCCACTCCCCACCTAACCTGTACAGGGGCAGCTTGTGTGAGAGACCTAACATTACCTAACCTGTGTAAAAGTTCAGTAGGCCTATGGAATAAAACTCACCTAACCTGTGGACCCCTACCATTTAGCGAATTTTTATAAGGTATATTCATCTGTATAGGAGACTCTGTATAGGAGACTCTGTATAGGAGACTTTGTATAGGTAATAACTTAAGCAATAAAACATGGCTAATCATTCAAACAATAGGGATTTATTACTACTCGGTTAGCACTCACAGAGTACTCATAGAGGAATCATAGACTACTAAATATAGATCCTAGGTATTCTATGGAATTGGTCTTATATCACGAGTGAGTTGTTAAATCTAAAAGGACTACGGGACCTTATCTGTTTATATACCCAGCCTTAAGGCCTCGTTCCTTCCCTTGATGCTATTACCGTAACTTACGATTGTGACGTACTCGGTCAGCGCTCACAGAGTACTCAATGAGTACTCGATGAGTACTAATCAACTGGATTATAAATGGTTAAGTTGCCTACTAAATATCTATTAAAAACCAGTAGTAATATGAACTTTATTCCATAGGTCTACTGAACTTTTACACAGGTCAGGTAATGTCAGGTCTCTCATACAAGCTGCCCCTGTACAGGTTAGGTGGGGAGTGGGGCATAGGTCGGTTCACCTAATTCCCCATTTCTATCACTAAAATGATTACCGCAGCGGGCGTTTAGGTCCAAACGAGCCTTACAAAATAGACCACATATTGTTAAATAGGTAGCTTGCCCGTGACCTACAGATACAAACACACGGACCATGCGTTGTGTGGCGCCGATAGCGCCAATAGGGCGGGCGGGCGCAACCCGCCTCCACGACATGTGGTTTGAGTTTTACTGAGATAGCATGCGGTTAAGTTCACTAAAACAGAGCCTACATTCCAAAGATGACGATGATCTGCGACGAACCGATGCAATAGATCAGCAGTTCGACAATACATAAGGCTGTTACCCTGCGACGATCGATCTAAGTCCACTCTTTCGTACATAGGGCTATTTAGTAGAACAAATAACAAAGGGAAGGTTTGAAATCGGCAAGCCTCACATAGAGGCCATTATTAGGAGAACTGTAATTCGCGCAAATATATCACTTATTATCTATGCAATTGTTAGCTTGTAGTGTTGCATTATATTTGCGACAGTGAGCAAACCTAGGTGAGTCGCATAAAACTCTTCAATAATTTCCTTTAGGTTTGGCCAGTTTGACGAGCTGGAGACCATGATGGGGTAGAAACGATTGCCGTCTCACCGGGATTATTCATGTTTCTAAGGCTCTTCAGTTTTTACGTGGTTGATGGCTCCATCGAGCAAAATCGCGTCGGCAAAAGTATAGGGGACACGGTAGCTATGGAGCCTTAGCCCCTGAGAATGCCGTGGTAAAGGAAAATAAATCGTCAGTTATAGGACATGCTTTGAGGTTGTCGCGAAAATGAAATGCTAGGGCTACCCTAGTGGTTTCGATGGTGAGACTGGTGACAAGGGGTCTTTTCCGGGCTTACGTAAATGGGACAGCTCAAAAATCACCGAGGCGGATGAGTTTGTGTCGGTGTACGAGAAGACACAGGAGTAAGGGGTAAGAGCAGGCGTGGAGAAGGAAAGAGACCGAAGAGAAAAAAAAACCTCAGCTCCATGATGACCACCGACACCGCTATTGTTAGTCAGAGGTCCCACAGGATGCACCGCGTGGAACCTTATGATAGGTTCCATGCGTACCGGTCGCGACCCGGATGCAAACGGTTCGAAGTTCAAATGCTGAAATGCATCTCATCTTGATGATCCAAAGCCGACGTGGTGCATTGTTGTTCGCGACACATGTCGACGCTACGGCTTACTAGATGTTGGGCTTGACCCGAACTCTACATCCCTACATTGGCTTTCTTGCGCGCCCTGACTATGATTGCCATGGGCCTTTCCACGTCGAGGTTCGGAGTTGGGTATGGAATATAATATTTATTAGCCCCCAAAGTAGCCGAAAGTATTCCACGAGATCAATTTAAACAATTTAAATAGTAGATAGCTAGATGATAGCGTCATCGTGATTGTTAAATGGATTTCCGTATGTGCCATATCTAAGGGCAGATCTTCTCCGCAAAAATCTCCAAAGCCATTAAATAGTGTCTCTTGGAAAAGATAGAACCACTCGGACCAGTCTGGGGGAAATTTGAAGTTTGACAGAATATTCTTAATTGGGTTTAGTCAGGAACAAAGAGAGCCTAAAGCTGCAGGTACCACTCGCTATAACCAATCAGAAGTGACCTAGCACACATCTCGCATGGACCCTAGTCAGGCAGAAATTATGCAATCTTAGTAAATTTTATGAAGACCCCACGAACAATGGAGGATTGGATGTAAGTGGGATCTGTTAGACGCTGCAATGCAACTTACTTAGGAGGTAGATATGAGGGAATAATGGGTTGTTTAACGCGAGCAGCGTAGTATACCTAAGTCGAAGGATTCTACATAGTAAACACCACACCCACAAAACCTGTCAAATATTCTCGATTGTATTGTACCTGTTGACTTATATGTACCTAAGGTATAAACATGCATCATGTACGTGCATATATGCAGTCTACAATAGCCCAAAGCCAACCTTGAGAATATGGGCAACCCGATTTGGGCACAGACGTTGGTAGTTCTCTACTTCTTTAGGTAAAATACTACAGGGATCGCATAACTAAAGACTGGTACTGGGTAGGGGCACTTACCAATTGGCCTTGCCTTATTCAAGTGAGCTATATTCAATTCTGTTTGCTAATGTACCTATGTAATTTCCGTTGCCCTGTGCAATCGGAGGATGCGATCCGCAATCCGTCACAAGTGAGATTTTGGTTGGGTATGGAAGTATCTAAGTACCTAACTAAGGTATTGTAATCCGTACAACACGTTCCCTTACGCCTCTTATTGAATTTGTCTCTAATATAGGTATTTAGTATCAGGAGGTACCTATACAGTTGGACATCAATCCCTTAGTTCCAGCTATGTCTAAACTCCTAGTCAATGCAGCTTCAAACAACACAGATATAAAGATTATTCGTCTATGTAAACTCACAATTCCTTTGCGCATATGGATTCTTTGGCATGCGTACCTATGCGTGGCAACCAAATACATGTACAAATAGACAAGGTAACCAAGAATAATGGGGATCGACCGCTATTGATGATTGGTCTATATTGACGCTTTGCTGGCCTTGTATTCCCAGGGACCCCTAGTCGACTAGCGGAGACTAGCGCAAGAAATAGGTGCAACACTAATTTGTACCCTGCTTTGATTCTCTATCGCCATTGATCCATTGATCTTGCCATTTGCGCAACAAGGGTCCCTAGAACGATCGTGGCTTCCCGCCCGCTTTCCTCTGACCACACCCTTTTTCCTCACTCCTTCATTAAACAACCTGATACCCTCACCCTCTTCGTCCTTCGTAAACTCACTTCTCTCGCACGTTCATTCTTTAACTCACAGGGCTTCGTTGGCAGAGTCCATCTCACGACATTACGAAGAATAGTCCCAACCGACCTTGAGTACCGAGTATTCAATTATCCTTCTTTGAACCACACACACACACACGTATCTCATCATATCTATATCATTATCTACGAATTTATAACGAGGAACGCGCTGAATAGTCCGAAGGGATTTGAAAAGTAAAGCTATCGCATTCTGGTATCATCTTTTACAGATACATATCTTCTACCCGACGCACATCAAAATGCAGATCTCAACGATTGTCGCAACTGCGCTGCTGCCTTTGTTGGCGGTAGCAGACCCTTCTACTACTACGTCTACCATGACGATGACAAAGTACATCACTATCCAGAAGGTTGTTTCTACTTCAAGTGTTGTTGCTACTTCAAGTATCTTCAGCGCAAACTCGACTTCCGTCTACCAGCCTACCGGCACTATTTCTTCTTCTTTCCACTCCTCCAGTATCGCTCTTCCGACGACAACGACTGGTTCTGATGGTACGCCTACAACTGTTGCGCCGACAGTCAGCCCTACCATCGACAACAATAACAGCGGCGCATCGCTTGGCTCTGCCCATGTTGCGCTTGCGGGGCTGGCTGGTATTGTTGTTGCCGCGTTGATGTAAGTTGCGCCGTGTTGCGCAACTTGGCCGAGGAGCGGCAAGGGGGTACGACGAAAACAAAATTTATAACGTCTTATTAAAACCATTCGACACGAGCGTCATCTACTTCATTTCTTTTGTCAAAAACCAGCACTCCTCGTTTTCAGCGCTATCTGGCCGTACACCATACGCGACAAGGCAATAGTCCGCGAAATGGCATTCGTCAACTACCAACCACGATGCCTTGATGCCTTGAATTCTGCGTATTCCGCCAGTTCCAACTATTCTTCATGAGTAAAATACCATTTCCCCTCGTCATCTTTCCTCGACCTTTCTTCTGGTGTTGAGCGTTTGGTGCCGTTTTATATCCTTCGCAAACCCCCTTAATGTATCAATGGACCGGCAACATGCATCCTCGACGAACATGTTCCATCGCACGCTCTCGGATCATCGATTACTATTGCCGTTATATCGCGCCTTTCTCTTCCCGGGTGGATGGACTTGCAGACCCCGAAGGACCTGACCTTATCCTTCTCATCTCATACATTTATCATGATTTCACAACCTTCCGATACCCCTTGTCGGCCTCGGGGCTGGTCATAACTCTGCAAGACCCTACATATTTCTAACTGCCGTTTAGACGTTAGACTGGGAATGAGAGAGCCTGTTTGGTATCGAGAGTGTGTTGCTGGCTGGACTTGCATCTTCACTTCAAAAACAATACCCATTTTTCCACATTCTATCGCGGAGTTCGGTTATGAGCCACGAGATAGGAGCCAACGGAGGCACCTTCATACCCTTTGATTTTTATCTTTTTCTTTTCTTCTGCCTCTGTGTTGTTTGAGATACCCCGTTGTTGAACTCTCGCCGAGCGAGAACGGCCCGAGGTGGAATTGTGGACGAGAAGGAAATGGTTATATCTGAAAACAACTATCATATATTCGCTATATGTGAAAGGTCTGCTGATATTTGGCCTCCATTTTACCAAAATAAATATGCTACGCTTTCAATTTCGTCGCTTCAGGATTTCCCTCCGGTGCTTGGAAAAGAGAAAAAGGGGCTCCCGGCTTAGGGCATTGCGCGAAAGAGAAAAATATTCGTAAAAGCTAGCTAGCTCAATGAATTCTTTGAAGCCACTATGCCATTATGCTTTGTATATGTGATATGAATGTATTATTGAGTAGTTGTAGACGTATTGTTATTTGTATATGCTGGTTTGTATGCATTCAAGGGCTTGTGCGTATATTTCGTAACGTAGTCAAAGGTGTAATTAGTGCTCAACCACTTACTACTATACCATTCTCACTAGGTAAGCTTGTGTTATACACGCTAATTATCTCTAGTTATTTGTGATATAAAATAAATCGAGCCGCTCTCTCCTTTCCAGACACTTAAGGTACCTAGGTTCCCAGTAGGTTCACCTAGGCCTTCCTAATCTGTAAATGACGATATTGGTGATTGGCGGATAGTGTATCCCAGTTGATGTCAGCTGCAGGCTGCAGCGGCCGATAAAGAATAAGCGGTAAAAACCTCCGGTACTAACCGATAAAGGGATTTGCAGCCAATAGCGGGGCACCTAAAAGTTGGGGATTGCAATTGTAATCAATCGATTAATCAATCGATATCATCGCTCGATTTTATCTCAAACTATTTCCTACTTATCCGCTACACTGGCTCTGTGGAGTTACTCATTACTCGTGGCCGACGTAGCTGCTAGTCGACCATGGCATCTTCATCGGTCTCGCTGAACCGCCTTCGGGCGCCTGTCCAGCGTGCTATCTCAAATGCTTCTCGAAATGCTTCCCGCTCCTACGCCACCGTCCCAACAAATACGCCAGAGCCAACCATCTCCTCGTCCGACAAGCCAGCCCGCCGTCCTACATACTTCAAGAACACGACGGTCGCCTCTTTAGACGATTTTATATCCAGCTCGTCTTCAACCACTCTAACTGCTAGCGATGCGTATCAGCTGCGCACCGCCGAGGTCGGACCTGCGTCGAACCGGCGCACCATCACTCGGCTACCCGAGTGGCTCAAGACGCCGATCCCCGCCGGCAACGATAACTACAAGAAGATTAAGTCGGACCTGCGCGGGTTAGGCTTACATACGGTATGCGAGGAGGCCCGTTGTCCGAATATCTCGGAGTGCTGGGGCGGTAGCAACAAGAATGCCGCTACCGCTACTATCATGCTGATGGGAGACACGTGCACGCGCGGCTGCCGCTTTTGCTCCGTTAAGACCAGCCGTGCTCCTCCCCCGCTCGATCCCCACGAGCCTGAGAACACTGCTGAGGCCCTAGCTCGGTGGGGCCTGGGCTATGTGGTGCTGACGACCGTCAACCGAGACGACTTGGCCGACGGTGGGGCGCACCACTTCGCCGAGACGATCCGCAAGATCAAGGCTAAAAAGCCGAGTCTGCTCGTGGAAGCGCTGACAAGCGACTTCTGGGGGAATCTGGACTCGGTGGCGGTTGTGGCGGAGAGCGGGCTTGACGTGTATGCGCATAACGTCGAAACCGTTGAGGGTCTCACGCCGTACGTGCGGGACCGTCGCGCTACGTTCAAGACAAGTCTTCAGGTGCTCGAGCACGTGAAGAAGGTCCGGGGCCAAAATGGCATCATCACAAAGACGAGTATGATGCTGGGGCTAGGCGAGCAGGAGCACGAGATCATGGACGCGCTAGAGCAGCTACGGAAGGCCAACGTGGACGTGGTTACTTTTGGTCAGTACATGCGGCCGACAAAGCGCCACCTTAAAGTCGAGAAGTATGTCACGCCTGAGGAATTCGAGATGTGGCGGCAGCGTGCCCTCAATATGGGGTTCTTGTATGTGGCCAGTGGACCATTGGTCAGGAGTAGCTATAAAGCTGGCGAGGCCTTCATCGAGAACGTCTTGAGGAAGCGTGCCGGAGAAAATGGTGCTGCTAATGTAGACGGCAAACTGGGGGCGGCCGTGGCAATTGAAGATACGAAGGAAGCATGAAAGCCTCTGCTCAACCTTGAATCAATCTAACCGGCTACTTCAACGTGTACATATACTATATATAATGAAACCGCCCGAGCCCAAGGCATAGGCGGCACGGACTCGGCGCATTAGAAGGGATAACCTTTTTTATGGTAAAAGAGATGGCGGGGTTTTGGTATTGGGTATTTCTTGTAGAACCAGCTGGTCGTATGCGATCCTATTCAACCAGGATGCAACCGACTAAGCCAGTCAATAACGAATTCAAACGTTTATTTTTATTTTTATTTTATTTTATATAACCCCCATTTCTGGTATTTATCAATCACTTAAATGATGTCCCCCCTAGTCTCTTTCACCGCATCCCACAGCTCCTCCGCCAACCTCACCAAATCATCCGCCAACGGGCCCTTCCGCGCAAACTCGACCGTCTCAACGACCTGCGCCGTCCGGCTCGCCCCCAATACCACGCCGTCCTCCTCCCCTAGCGCGGAATGGTGCACGGCCCAGCGAATCGCGACTTCCAGGGGCGTCAGGCCCTTGGCGCGAACCGCGGCGTCGAACTCGCGCACCGCGTCCTGCAGATCGGGCGCCCCGAAGACGCGCTGCATGGCGCCGCCTAGCGGGTTGTCGGGCGCGAAGCGCGTGCCTTGCGCGCGTCCGCGCACCGCGTTGCCGGTTAGCAGGCCCGAGGCCGCGGAGCGGAAGGCGTTGAAGCGCACCCCGTGGGCGCGCAGGATGGGCAGCAGCTTGGTCTCGGCGCCGCGGGAGATTAGGCTGTATTCTCCTTGGTAGCAGGCTGGTTTGCGCCAGTTGTGCTCGTCGCAGAGGGAGAGGATTTGCGAGAGGGTGGAGGGGGAGACGTTGGATAGGCCCCACTGGGGAGGGGGGTTAGTCTTTATTTTATATGTAGGTAGGTATGGAAAAGGAGACGGTAATGAAGAGGCTTACGGCCTTGCAATGTCCTAACTCGATCTGCTCGTTAAACGCCTTAATCTGCTCCTCCAGCGGCGTTGCTGGGTCCGCGCGGTGCACATGCAGTACATTAATACTCTCTCCCTTGTCCGTGTCCATCTTCAGCCTCTGCAAGCTGGCATCGACCGACTTTCCGATAGCCTCTCGGGTCAGGTCTCCGCCGCCGTCCGTCCGCGTGTCCGTGTAAACCTTGGTATCGATGGCGAAGTCGCGGCTTGAGTCCCGCGCTTCGCCGAGGAGTTCCTCCGACCGCCCCGGGTTTAGCGGCGGGTACCGCGCTGCTGTGTCTAGGCGCTGGATCCCGACGCTCCGGACCGTAGCGAGCGTGGCCTTGACGGATTCTGCGTCGTGGAACTCCGTCTTGTCCATGCCGAAGCCGGCGGTGCCGAAGATGAGTTGCGGGGGCATTTTCTAGGTAGTTTGGATTTTGTAGATGCTCTTTGTTCTCTCTAGTTTAGCGACTATTTAATCCGTAGGTACCTAAGGTATTATTTAAGACCAACGCGAACTTGGGGACCCCGTTATGAAATATAGAGGTGTTAATAATTTCAAACTTAGCAGCTCTAATACACGTCTTTTCATATAAATAGTAAAGTTTGCCTTCTAAAGTAAGTAACCCTTGGCCTATATATGTCGTCGGGTCGTTGGTGCGCGCAGGCCTCGGGGACTTTTCTATACGAAGTCGGACCAACATCAGCACCGAGAAAGAATTATGCAAGGGACAATTATAAATAATAGATCCCTCGACAAATCCGACTTAGCTCTGTCCGTTGGATCCGATAGCGCCGATAGCCTCAATATACTACTTTTCTATTTTTATACTCTCTTACTTAGACATAGTCGTACGTAGAGTTGTGAGAACATAGGCTTCGTTTACAACACTACCTATCGACAGGCATCTTATTAATGCAGATGTGGATAGAGTTATAGAATACTTAATGTAACTAGACGAAAGTACTTGGGTAGTAGAAAAACACATATTCCGATGTGGAAAGTATGTGGTCACTGAAAATTACTATACCATGGATCCCTTAGAAATACTACAGAAAGTTTTACGGGTAAGAGTTGGCCATTAATAATTCCATATAACAAGACAATTTATATATCCCTATCTTAAGCTTATTGGAATATTTTCCTTTAGCTAGGAAACCCGACCAAGAGCTTTCACCTCCCGGCTGGGGAAATATGATAGGAACGGGGAGTATAAAGTCATTTGCTACGGTTTTCACTACGAGATTTCGAGCGAGTCTCACGAAACCCCTAATAGAGGCTGCATCCACCTTGGACACTTTACGTATTAATTCAAAGCTGGCCACTTCGGATGTATTTCATGCTCTTCGTCTAACTAGCTGATTCAATCCTATTATCGCGTCTTCCGGACCACTTAAGGAGAGCACGAGGAAGTGAACGGAATAGATATTGGGGAATTCAAGTCTCATGGTCAGTATGACATCAAAGAACGAACGTCATTGGGCAACATCGTGTTACTCAGACCCCCCAATACCGCTGCAACGTACATTGTGACTGTCGATCTCTACCTTTACTCATGCATAAGAGGTCGAGGAAGCCCTTCTATATAGTTGCTTATGGTTCGGTTTAGCTAGCTAGCAAGCTCCCGTGGATGTCCGCTTCTGTTTTCTGCTGTCGACGGCATTACCTATTTACCTGGCGTACGACGTCTAGCCTATCGCTTACCAAGATGACTGAACATAGATCCCTTACGGATCTAAAATTCGACGACCTTCCAGATCCTAAAAGAGTATGGGTTGGGCGACCGGGTAGCCACGAGGAGGGCCTCGGGCGACTCGCTCTGCTGACGGAAGAACGTGTCCGTAACGCAGCAGCTCGGGAAATCCGAACCGGCCGGCGTATCGGGTTGAACTGGGACGTTAGGAAATTGGAGTTTCCAAATATCGGAAGAACTCCTTTCGACCACCAGATAACGCCGATTTTAGGTGGCATTGCCTTTGACGATATTTACACGATGAATCCTCGTAAGTGCGGTTATTAAGACTTGCTATTTTCAGTAGGTACCTAATCTGATGACTATACTATCGCAGAGCAAAGCAGTCAGTGGGATGGTCTACGCCATTGGAGCGCCAGGCCACCCGGCGAAGACGATCAGCAGGAACGCGTATTCTACGGCGGAACTACTAAGAAAGAGATACTCGACAGATCGAATGATCGCATAGGTATCCAACATTGGGCCCACGAGGGTATCACCGGCCGCGGTGTACTTATCGATTACGTGTCGTGGGCGCAGAAGAAAGGGATCCAGTACTCCACGTTTTCTAACCATACCATCAAGCTTCAGGACATGCTCGATATAGCCCACGAGCACGACATCGCGTTCGAAAGAGGGGATATATTACTCGTACGGAGCGGCGTTATTAGAGAGTGGGAGGACAAGATGGACGTCGCGGCTAAGAGGGCCTACTCTTCGTCGCTTTCACCGAAGCATGCGGGGGTAGAGGCGACGTCGGAAGTGTTAAAATGGCTATGGGATACTGGATTCGCTGCCGTCGCTGGTGACGCTTTATCGTGGGAAGTATATCCTCCACAGGGGGATATGTTTCTTCACGATATCCTCCTTGCTGGGTGGGGTATGCCTATTGGTAAGTTTGAGATTTACTCGTGAAGAAACTAGCTTAGGTGGCTAACACTATTATTCAGGCGAGTTGTTTGACTTGGAGAGGCTGTCTGAGATGTGTAAGGAGCTGAATCGGTGGTCCTTTTTCTTCACCTCTATGCCCCTTAATATGCCCGGTGGTGTATCGTCACCACCGAACGCACAAGCGATATTCTAAGAATGGATAACTAGGTTGATAGGGTTTGTTATTGAAACGTAAGCTACCTAAGTAGGTACCTAACCTAATGTTCGCAAGTATTTAGATTTGTGACTTGAACCAGTTGGATAATAATAAGAATAATAATAATCTCCAGTTTAGCTTAGCCCCTTATCATTTCCGGCGTTTGCTAGATTGGAATCTCTACAACCTGTCCCTTGGCGAGTCCGCCTAGACTTTCGAATCCTGCGGTAACAACGTAAATCCCCTTGCCATCCTTGGTCACGGCAACGCTCGTCGGGTGTACGAGAGCAGTGCTGTCACCTCCGCCGAAGAAAAGCTTCTGCTCGCCAGTTACTAGGTCGATCGAATAGATCTTATTCGTATGGGCGGTGACATAGGCGGTGGGATTCCCGCCAGCTGGCTGTGCTATGTCGAAGTCGTCATACGCGTTATTCGGGCTTATCGTTCCGGGTACGTGGGCAATGACCTCGAAATCTCCTGCTTTGCTACCGTCTGGTCCGATGGGTATACGGCCGAAATACCCCTTCGCGGAATTCGCAAAGTAGAGATGCGGTCCAAAGATTTTAATTCCATTAACACCTAATGGAACTGCCTCGTCTGGCTCCAGGATTGGGTCAGAAAAGGCAACATCTACAGCGCCAGTGGTAGTGTCGATGCGGAAGATCCGGCCCCTGACCGAGTCGGCGCTCAAGACGACGTGAGGTCGAGAGGGGAGGGCGGCAATGCCGTTGAGCATCTCGGTGTCGGGTACCTCTGCTACCGTCTTCACAACCGCAGGCTGGCCGGGCCCCTGGAAGGAAACGGTGTAGACCTTCATAGACCCCAATGTAAACCGAAATGGCCTGTGTTCACCACCGGTAACAGTGAAGACGTCAGGCGAATTTGCGACGACGCCAGTTATTCCGTCGGCGCCGGGGAACTCGGCGACTAGTTCGACCTTTGGGGTAGCAGCACTTGGATCCAGCGAGTATAGACGGCCGTTTTCGAATGTACTCAATAGAAGGGTGCCGTCTGTACGAACAGCGATATTTTCGATGAAAGTCTTGCCTTCATTGAAGACGAAGAGTTCTCGTGATGGCGGTTGGCTCGACATTGTTGTAGTTGGGGTTATAGGTTATAGGTTATTAGGCTGGGAATGAGGAAAACAGCGACGTTTAACAATACGAAAGATGGTTATTGGATTTTGATTGAAATAGTAGGAAGACACAATTAATATATAGGAAATCTAGATATCGGAACGACTCACTGAATAGTAGATATATATTAGTATACGCACGCTTCAAGATGCTTAAGCCAGGGTTTAATTCCGCCGTCACGGACTTACGATTTACGGGCGAAGCGTCGAAATCCGAATCCGAAAACACTCTCATTGGCGCTGAAACAAGAATAACGCACATCGAACTGTAAGGACCAGCCCCCCTGGGCTACTTAAGCGACCAATTCCGCCGTCGGGAGAAAGCGACATCTCTTCCCCTTGCTTGACTACCGGTAGTATGGCTGTGAGTTTGGCGATTCAGGAGACGGTAGGGGGTATTTACTTCGCGGCGGAAGAAATTTATCAGAATACCCAACGTAGAAGCGTACCTCTCTCAGTCATTCCATATTTCATGGTGATATACATAATCGAGACCTCCAATGATGCCAGAGGAAAAAGATGTGCGCTAACTGGAATACGTCTCCGGTAGCTGAAATAATGTGAATAGAATAACTCCGAATCGGCGCCTCATATATTAGGTACCTTATACTTACGCAGCTATAATCGGCTGAAAATCGCAAGTGCTGCTTTGCACTTGTAAGTGCCGTGAAATACTTACCTAGATATGTCAAACGTGTATTATATGTTGGAGGGTAAAGGGGGTGTAAAGTGAAGCTTGATATGTGAACTTTAGTGTAGGTAGTTGTCAACTAACTTAGAAGGTGTAATAATTAACTTATTGAACGTCTTATACGATGGATACTCTCTATCCACCCTATCAATGGTTAGCTACTTGGTGATTCGGCTTTAGGAGACGAACTACTTCCTCCCCGTCCCCGTCCCCGTCACAAGCAACACCATACTCCCCAACTGCCGCCTGAGATCCTCCTTCTCGACATCATGCGTATCCTCTACCTCGCCCCAACGTCCCGTCTGCCAATCAACCTCTATACTCGCCAGCCTAGCCGCCTCCTCAACCCCGAATTTCCTCTCTCCGGAGCCCGTCGTACCGACCGGCCCCTCGCTCCACTCGACTAGTAATCTCGCCGCACCCAGCAGCCCCTTTCCGGCCAGCGCACCGCGCTCCAGCCCCGCGAGCTCCCACGCGCTGAGCCCCGTCATCCACCCCTGCACGACCTGCCGCGTGATATCCGGGTGGCTGCGCGGCATGATGCTCTCGCCGTCGAGCACCGGCTCGATCGTGATGCCCGGCCACACCCGGCTAGTCAAGTACCCGACGACCTCTTCCGCAGCGCGCTTCTGGACGTCGCGCAGGGTATCCACGCCCTCGGCCAGCGAATCGTGGGGTTTCGGCGGCGGCGCCCAGCACAGCAAGGAGTCCGTATCGAGGTACCTTAACAGCATTTTCGCGATCCCCTCGCGAAGACTCTCGCCCCCCGTCGGCGCCGCGTCGTCGTCCGCGATATCCAGCGCGCGACACACGAGGCTCGTCAGCGGGATAAGGTGTTGCCGCGTCGCCTGCTGCACGGAAACCAGCATGTCCCACTCGATAGCCAGGGCGCTCGCGAGCAGGGGTTTGCTCAGGGGCAGTCTAACGATGTCCTTGGTATTTGGTCTGCGCAGCGGTCGTTTATCTAGATGGATCTCCCAGGCCCCGTCGACTTCGTGCACGTGGACGTCTTTCCAGAACCTCTTGCGCCGCGCAATTTCCCTAGTCTTCTTGGCGGATGCTCTCGGCGCGGATTCGGACTGCCGGATCTCTCGTGCTTTCTCGAGGAGCTCGGCATGTTTCCGACGGCGCTCGAGCCGGGAACTGGCGCTGTCGGCGGCGGGGACGGGGGGCTCGGGTGGTGGTCCGGTGCCGTGGATTGGAGAGACTGTGGCGGGTGCGCTGGGAGTGATGTGGATACGACGTTGATGGGTTATTAAGGGAAGGGCTGTTGGTGTGGTTGATGTGGTTTGTATAGATTGGAATTGTTGGCGTATCGCCGATTGCAGCGCTATTCGGGTAGGCGGCTTCATCTTAGATATGTGTGTTTTGATGTGTTTTGATGTGCTTTTAGTTGGAAATTGCGGTTGACGGTTGACATCGAGGGGTGGAATTTGCCGTATAAATTTGAGCGTTGGAGTCTGTTATCGATTATGCAACAGCTTAATATCCTGGTATCCTGGATATTAAATTGACCAATCAGAACCAGAATAGCCCGTTCTAAGCTGTACTATACTGTACTGTCCACCTCCTCCGGTACTACGTATAAGAAATGATATCGATTAATACTCATGACAGACAAAATCAACTTTTAGTCCGACTTTTTTGCTTTTAAATTGATATGCTGCTCTTTCTTTCTATCGCTAACAAGCCAGGTAGACACCTATAATAGATGGCCAAGTAAACCCCCTCAAGAAACCAAAATCATCAACCATGCTAAAAACGAGAGACCGACGCAAGTACAAACGGACGTGTAATATATACAAGCATGTGCTTATCTTAGATAGAGTTGCCCCGAGCACTGGTCTTTTTCATTATTATCCTTTTCCTCCTCTTTTCATCCTGTCAACCCTTCTGTGTAATTGTAATTGTGTAATATTCCCCGGCGTTAATAGTATACAACACCTCATCCGGACGGATTACCCTCTACACCGAGGGTATCAGTACGAATCGACTTCCATCTTTTTGCTTCCGCTAAATCTAAATATAGGTAGGTAGTTAAGAAAGTACATATGAGCACTAGTACAGTGTAGACTGTTAGTAAGGGGGCTTCGTTAAATTTCCAAGAGTGTTTTGCTTCGACTTGCTGTCGATGCCCTTGAGCATTGCTTGTAAATCCATGCTGGCAGCCCCGGCGTTTGAAAAATTACTTGAAAGGATGCTATCTCCCCCTCGGCTCCTAACATTCCTTTGAGGAGCCTTGAAGGCGTGGTCTTGGCTTGAGACCTTAGCAGTACGCTCAAGGTTGATCTCAGGTGGAGGCGACTTTCCCACCAATGATGCCGGTAGCGGCGGCACTGGCGGCACGCTCTCATCCTCGGCTTCGCCTTCCGTAGGATGAGAAGTCAGAGGACCTCCCGAGTCTCCAGACGCCTTTCGCTCCCGGGACTTTGATCGCAAACGTGTAAGGACTGCGTCATTGCTATCGACGCCATCTGCCTGGTTTGGATTGAACGAAAGCTCCGATGGTGTGAATTCATAGCTCGCTATGCTATCGCTGCTATCGCCGTCCTCTTGTAATGTCTGGAACGTGGCTGGCCGAACTGGATCTCCGGTTAACACAGATTTGAGCTGATCGACAGAGGCGACGAAGCCTCGACCAGAAGCAGTCTTTCCGGAGCCGTGGCTCTGTACACTGGAGTTCCGTAAACCGGCGATATGACTAGCATGTGAAGTAGGCCGCAAGTTGTTCTGGCGAGCATAAACAGATTCTGCTCTGCTAGCGGCATAGCCATTAGACGACGGCCCGTTGACGGTAAGATGGTTTCCTCTGGTGGCAGTTGTCCCGGCTTTGGACCCGCTTAGAGAAGCGGACTTACTCTCCGCCTGGAGTGCAATGATGACGGTCTCTCGATTCCATTCCGCCAGCATTTCCTCTCTAAACTTACTGGGCAACTCACGCTCGTCGTCGGCCGGTGGAATGTTGCTCAGGGCGGAGCTTAGGATTGGGTGCGAGAATACGCGACCAGGTGATGTAGAGGGGCTTGTAGGAGGGGAGATAGCTCTCTTCTTATAGTTGGCGCAAATACAGTCTACTATCCCAATACGGTCATCGAAGGGCAACAACGCTTCAGACTCTACCTCGCGTGTAGGTACTTTTGATTGCGATTTAGGCGAACCAGGCGTTTCCAAAACATCCAGTGATGGTGTCGGAACGTGGACACCTTCAACCCAAAAATGTTTGCTTCTCCTCCGAACGATTTCATTGTGGATCGCGCGGCCGACTGGTGATGAGTCAAACTCGAAATGTTCACTCAAGGCCCAGAAATAACCATGACAAAGGCATCCGAGGTGAAATTTTGCAGCAGGCGTTTCTGCCTCTAGGATATCTTCTTGGAGCCGAAAAACCATTGGAAGACCGTATCTGGCAGCATTGACGCCGAGTTTATTGACTAGTTTTGTCAACAGGACGTGAAGAAGAGTAATATCCGCCTGATACTCCACGAACTGCAGAGCACTGTCATAAATGGCAAGATGAAGAAGCTGTAAGAAGCGGGACCGAGCAGCTCTGGCAGGTTTATCCCGAGTCGAGGCACTCGAAACAGCTCGACGAGCAACACTACCTGATGGCATTTCTCGATTGTTTGCTCGTGGTTTCCGGCCCAAGTCGTCCCGTGCTTCTAAGTCGGAACTCGTCGTTTCTCGGTCGAGCCAGGTGCCAAGAGCATCAACATATGCCTTTCGGACCTGCCCATCTGGATCGCGGAGAAGCCAATGCGTACCCTCCCACACTTGTATAGGAACCTTATTTCTTGTCAGACTGACGTTTCCGCTAACCTTTGTCTTCGGATTAGCAACAAGGAGGATAGATTTGATAGCTCGGAGAGCAGTAGTCTTAGCCAAATCTAACGCGAAGTAACTGTCGAGGTGAGACTGATCGTCCGAAATGTTCCCGGCGGAAACTCCGGGTAAAGCTTCCGTCTTTTCCGGAGCCGATGACGCGTTCGCCACCGTACTCGGATGAGGCTTTAGTCTCAAGAGAATAGTGGAAATCATGTCGGAAATTTGGTCTGCGTAATAGACATGAGTAGCTAGACTACCAATCGACTGCTGAATCCGAGTCAATAGTTCTCTGTACGGCACCGAAATGTGCAGGGAGAGATCGACAACCGAAGGTGGCTTGTCATCTCCTGAAGAACCGCCGCTTCCCCTTGAGCTCCCCGAATGTTTTAAGACTCTCTTCATATGTTGTATCAACCCCGAGAGCACATCCATAACACTTAAGCCAATCAAGTTGATGTCAGAGCTCAATAAGGATGCGACAATGGCGGTAAGCACGATCTGATCCGCCATGTTTTCCTCGGTCGGTGGGGTTCGTAGGAGCGTATCCGTAGTAGTAATCATAATAACATAACGGTCCTGCACCGGGGCCCATCTTGTTGCGAGCTCGAAGACCTTGATTGCCCAACCATGGTAGCGTCCACTGCCATCTTCGGATTGCACTATCACCGACTCCTTCTGCTGAACACGCTCTCTGATGAATCGTAGCAAGGCCATCGTCGCCCCGTTTATTTGTGCTCTGTTGGGTATGATAAATATCTGCTTCAGGCACTGCATAGCTACAACACCAATGTCTTCTTCGGCGAGCTTATCGATATCAACAGACGTGCCCGAGATGGCTATGGGGTTTGCATCACCCCCAGTATCTGCTGTCTTAATAGTGGAAATACTAGTTCTCCGTCGTAATAGGGCATTGGAATCGTCCTTCTCTTCTACCTCGACACGCTGCGATAGTATACTAAGGAACTCTTCATCGTCGGTCCACAGGTTCTCCAGAATCATAGGCACTATTACGTCGAGCTGGCGTCCAGCAACGGACGACAGCGCCTCAGATTCGGCAACGCTTTTGATTGCTTCTAAGCCCGCATTTCTCCATCTCAGGGCAACGGGTTTGCTGGGTGTGCCTTTACCTGGAACCTTCCGAGTTGACGCGAATGCAGCATAGGCGCGGACGACTTGCTCGTACTGGCGGAGGTAAGCTTGATCGGCAATAAGCGACGAGACATCGTGGTGTTCGCAGAAAGTTCGAAATGTAGGCAGCGACGCCTCTACCATAGTGATATCATCGGATCGAAGAACGAGGTCCAAAATTCTCAGCACGTTCTGTGCGAATAGGGGGAGATCTTTGGGGGCTTTCTCGATTAGAGCAGCTAGTATCTGCAGGGTGACCTGGACATTTCTAAATAAATGGTCAGTCAATTATAGGTAATTCGATAAATAGGGCTGCGTCCAAACCAAGGGAAATGGAAGTTATTCATGTTGTATGTTGTACTTTAATGGGGGTGGTGAAGGGGTGGTGAACTTACCCAATGCGCACCCTCCACACATCGCTAGCTGTCTTTTTCTCTAGAAACTGGCCAACCTTCTGGATCTTGGATCGTCGCGACGTGGCATAGAACAAAAGATAACTTAATTCGCTCGAGTTTGGTTTAACATCGACAGCCCCCTTCGTAGTGCTAGGATAGCACTTGAGAACCAAAACTTGGTGTTTTGGACGACATTTCTGCTGTATGGCATTCATCGCGCCCAGCGGTGCGCAAGCAGCCTAGTCAGCACGGGAAAGGGGGGATTAAGGTCGAAACACCGAATATATGGTGTGACAACAAAGAAGAAATTAGCTTTGCATGAGTAATGGATTCGAGGTGTTGGATGTCTGATATATGTATGATGTGGTGAGGGTGTTGGAGCCGAGTTGGTTTAAGTTGGCTGTAGCGTAGATGGTTGAGTTGACGAGGTGAGGTGTATTGTATGTATGAAGGTTGCGTCGTGTCGTTCCCGGCCAAGAAAAGAAAATTGCGGTAATGATTTAGGCATGTATCGTTGTACCGTTCAGGCGGATCTGCTGGGTGCCTATCAGGAACGTTCCATGTCTTAAATAACCTAAGGTAGGTACCTAACCTAGGTACCTAATGGCAGTGCAATTCCACTAGTGACAATTATTAACTTTACCCCTGTGACCCTGTAACACTGTTAAAAATGAAAGAATGAAAAATATTTATATACACAAAAAAGAAAGATAATAAGAGAGATCCATGAGATAATTATTACATATGTTATAATGTTGTATTAACTAGGTATTGAGGAGGTTAACTACATACTTGTATGAGGTATGGAGAGTCTTTTATTGTTCTGTCATTTAAAGGCACTAAGTGCCAATAGGGGAACAGCCTAACATGTAAGCTTGCGTCATACGGTGTATGTGTATCTGTACGTACATGTGTATATCTGATCTTCATGCCACCTTGGGTCTTAGGCGTTTAAGGGTTTAAACTTAAATCGTATTAGCAATCGCCCGTCTCAAGCTAAGGCTAAGGCTCTTTAATTTTTAATCTACGAAAGCTTGCATTAAAGGAAAATTAGAACAGACTAAGTTAGGTTAAGACATGGCTAAAGAGCTTTGCAGTGATAGGGTCATGAGCTTAATGATAATGTACACCAAAGAGGTAGTCACAAGAATCGGTAACGCGGCACCTCAGACAGCTCAATACTCCCCGCCAATAACCCCTTTCAGCCGACCAGTGCTACGTGTAGCCCTACATTATACTACATAGTATATGTACGCACACGCACAAAAACACAAAGTCATGCTCGGAAGAACTGTATACTCCAGCTCGGATCTCCGAGCCCGTAGAAGGTATTCAGATAACATGTATATCTCATACATTTCATATACATCTGGAGTTGTGCCTTGTGCCTTGTGCCGCGCGCCTTATGCCGCGTGCCACGTGCTTCTCTCCTTAAGATGCACGTATTATCAGACAAGAATACCCAACGTCTTACCTTAGGTATCTCATCATGCAGTGATCTGTTGCTATTCGGGAATTCAAATAGATCTTTCACCTGCCCAGCTACTGCATCTACATTACCCCTGGCTTTGTTAGCCAATCATAGCAACTCCAGCAACTGCAACTACGATGCTGTATCTGACTATAAGGTCTAGTTACATCGGCAAGTTGCAGCTGCAGGCAGATTATCGAGCTTCTAATGAGTGGAAGTTTCCAATTTTACATAAATAATTACTTATAATTCATAGACAGCTTAAAGGTCTCCGTCCCTACAATGGTAAAATCAGAAATACGAATCGGCCATTTCAAGTCAGTTTAAGCAAGAATAAATCCAGTCTCGGTTTATCCCGTTGTCACCGGATATACACATATTAACTACTAGGTGTTTGATAGAAAACATTTCTTTTATGGTCCCGTCGCAAAGTTACTACCACGGGAGGTAACTTATCTGTAATGTGTATTATACCGAGTTCTTATACCGAGTGTGCTATAATCCAACCTTAGGTAATTGTAACATCATTTTACCAACTACACTTCACTTATCTTAGCAATACTACCTAGTACGTAGTGGAAGTAGTACATTAGGTATGATCAATACCTTAGGTACCTAACCTAATGTAAGACAACCCCTGGAGCAGATCCTTCTGACGTACAATACAAATCCCTTATCGGCAGGAGAGCGATGCTTCGGTATCACGTTGATTGTGGCTGGACTTGTACTCAGTCTCTCATTGCTGTCGGCGAATGAGCGACGCGATATGCTATCAGCTCCGAAGATCCAGCTCGACTCGAGCTTCTGTACCCCACGAATGATACGCAGTAGATAGGCAGGCCTCCAACGCCCAGCCAGCCCGTAGCATGCAGAGATAAAGCAGATAAAAGATCTTGACTAACAGATATCTAGTATCTATCAGATCATCATTGCAGTACATAAACATGGCTGCGTCAACTTTGCGCGACGTTACACATTTCCCTTTCAGCTCTGTTGAAAGTAGCTCGTCCCAGCCGTCATGGTTCTCTTTAAAAATTCTCAACTGTCAATCCGGGTTCGTTGAGTGAACATACCCAGGTACTTAAATCGCTATCTTGACAATTGCGACTGTCCTGTCTATCTCAACTAGAGAATTGTTGGCCTATGAGAACCGCGCGACGAATATCTTATATATAAGAGCTATATATATAAGAGCTAGGTGGCGACCGCTAGCCGCCTCCTCAAATCCAAGATGGCAACAAGCGAAGGGCACCGTCGGTCATCAGAACCCCCGGCTGTCACGACAGTGTTTACTGAAGGAGATATGCCAGATCACATCGCAGAGATGTCGGAAGATGAGGCTGCGCTCGCGGCGCTCGGTTATAAGCAGGAATTCAAGCGCGAGTTCTCGGCCTGGACGACTTTTGCCGTTAGCTTCGCCGTCATGGGACTGTTACCGAGTATTGCTACTACTATGTGGTACGGACTCGGCTATGGTGAGCTGCTTTTCGGAAGATTAACACAAATACATCGATGAAGATAATGAAAAGCTGATGAGACCATGTAGCTGGGCCGGCAGCGAATACCTGGGGTTGGTTATTGTCCGTCTTCTTCATTCTATGTGTAAGCGCTCGCCTACCTAGGTTAGGTACCTAGTTAATGTTACAGCGTAACCGGGTTTGACCTCTTCCTATAGGTTGCTGCTTCGATGGCAGAATTGGCGAGCAGTATGCCAACTTCTGGCGGACTCTACTACGCGGCAGCAGTACTGGCGGGCCCTAAATATGGCCCTTTCGCTGCTTGGATAACTGGCTGGAGCAACTGGTTCGTTCAAGTCACAGGAGCACCGAGTGTCGACTATGGATGTGGTGAGTCGCCATCTTTTGCGCTCGCTTCTGGACTCTATAAGTTGACTCCTTACCTATATTCAAGCTGCTATGATTCTGGCTGCGGCGTCGATAGTGAACCCCGAATATAAGCCAGAGAACTACCAAACATTTCTCCTGACCGTATTAATCATGCTGACCCACGCCTGTATTAGCAGCATGCCGACGCTGTGGATTGCGAATTTTAATTCCGTTGGTACGACCATCAACCTCCTCTGCCTTCTAATTACCATCATAATAATCCCAACCGCGGCCATGGGCGATCCCAAGTTCCAACCGAACGAGTTTGCATGGGGAATTCAGAATAGCACGGACTGGCCCGACGGTGTTGCCGTCCTGATGTCGTTCCTGTCGATTATATGGACAATGTCCGGCTACGATGCTAGCTTCCACCTCTCGGAAGAATGCTCGAATGCGGCCGTCGCTACGCCAAGGTCTATCGTCATGACCGCCGGCTCGGGATCGATTCTTGGCTTCATATTGAACGCCATTATTGCGTATACGATTAAGGATGTGGGAGCAGTCTTGGATAGCGATCTGGTAAGGACTTATACCTACGTGAATACGCCGCTTAGGCTAAACTATCTAGGAACAACCATTTGCAGCGTACCTAATCCAAGTCCTACCGCAAAACGTGGCACTAGCCGTCCTTTCCATGACCATCATATGCGCTTACATGATGGGGCAGGGATGTATGGTAGCTGCGTCACGGGTATGCTTCGCGTACGCACGGGATGACTGCTTCGGCGTAGTGAGCCGGCCGCTGAAGCAAGTTAACCGACATACGTTGACTCCGGTGAATGCGGTTTGGTTCAACACGTCGATTGGGATCTTATTGGTACTGCTAATCTTCGGCGGAGCGGCTATCGACGCCATTTTTAGCATCGGCGCCATCGCAGCATACGTCGCCTTCACGACGCCAATTTTCCTCAAGATCGCGGTCGTCGGAAACCACTTCCGCCGTGGGCCCTGGCATCTCGGCCCCTTAAGTCTACCCTCGGGTATCGCCGCCTGCTGTTTCGTCCTGGTTATGCTGCCTATCCTGTGCTTCCCTAGCGTGCGTGATGAAAATCTGACCTTGGAGGAGATGAATTGGACTGCGCTTGTTTATGTGAGTTCCTCGTCTCCTTTTCGGCTCGCTTGGAATAATGCCCAGTCTGCTAGCTGGGTTTTAAAGAGATAGACGGAGAAGAAGCTTGGAATCGGTGCTGACTTTTGTATTAGGGTGCACCTATGTTGTTCATACTTATATGGTTCTTCGTGGATGCTCACAAGTGGTTTAAGGGTCCCAAGATCAATATCGAGGTAAGTCTGGCCAACCTGCCGTCCTCTTTCCTCACCCAAAAATCTTATTGGGTCACGAAGTCTAACGATACGATATCTACTAGCACCATATGCTCCATCAAAACCTTCCTAGTGTAGAGGGCGTCGGGACACCGGCCGTGAGTGGTAGCTCAGGGAGCGGGAAGGACTCGGATATAGAACGGGGTTCGGTATCGAAGGCGCCATCGATTTAGTTGGAAGATGGAAACTGGTGGTGATACTAGCAAGAATATGTCGACGATTTGATCCATGATTAAGGGAGCGAATGGATAAAATATCCTCCATCTATTATATCTAACCCGATAAATCCTAACTAGAAGGGAATTATATGCCGCTGCGTTGCGTCTTGTTCACGTCACATTGTTATATCGTAAAACGGCTATACGAAATACGGTACGTCGCTTAAGACAATTAAATTTCTATATAGAGCAGCAGGTGAAATATCACGAGGACGAGCACGGTGCGAACGTTGGACTTCCCTCTGGGACGTATGTACCTGAGAACATGTATAAAAATTCAACATGCTGGACTCGAGGGACCCCTTATTTCGAACTTGGTAATGACTGTTATAGCTCTTACAATAGAGCTGAGATCTCAAAATAACTAGCGATAAAGCTGTTAATAAATTGCCCGTGCTCTTATTTATACTCACTAGCCCCCTTGACATGTATTCCAACCTTATAAAACCTCGTTACTCTCAACCTCGACCCCTTCTAAGACGCTAAGGAATTAACTGAGTTGTCGAATTCGCTGCTCCATTCACCCAATCCTCGTCATTGTAAACCCTATTATCGGCCAATGAAAAATCAAGATACTCCGCGAAAGCACGTTGCTCAACGTCCATATCCTTCCAGGCCATCGCCGCCCCCTTCTTGTTGGCAAAAGCCGCGCGCCGGAAGTATACCCTTTTCCCCCACTTCCAGCCCTCGACGCCACCGAAGAATAAGACCGAGCTAACGAATACCACGGCCCACTCCCACGAGATACCAACGTGCTTGAACACGATAATGTTGAGGCCCGGTACGTACAGGGTTGGGAACAGCGTCACGAAGCCGATGATAATGGCCCAGAAGAGGAACTTGTTCTGGCTAATATCGTGAGCCCATCTCGTTACAGCATAGGACTTGCTGGAGTTACCGGGCTGGGGGCGTTGTGTTGAGAAGAAAGACCTTCGACGATCTATCATTTCCCAGGCCAGGAACAGCGCAAACCAGGTAAGACACGCAAACGTAGTCGCGCGCGCGCGGAAGACGGTGTCGCAACCACTATTATACGCCTCGTTGCAGCCTCCGCCCAGGTCCCCGCCGCCAAACCGGTACGCAACAAGGACAAAGCTCGACAGGCAAAGCGCCGTGATCCACAGCCCGTAAACGACCATATCAACCAGAAACTCGGCATCGAAGATCCCGGCTTCCAAGCTCCGCGGGGGCCTGTTCATGATATCCTCCACCGCGCGCTCGAAGCCCAGCCCCATGTCCGGCATGCCCGAAGTCGCCATGATGATCCAGACGATCTCGACGGGCGCGAGCGGGAACACGGACAGTCCGCGCTCGTCTCGGAAGGCTAGGCCCACGAGCAGGGTGCCGGCCTGCGCGATGTTCTCGGCTAGCACGTGCAGCACGAATTTCTGGATGTTGTCGAAGATGCGCCGGCCCTCCTCGATCGCGGCGACTATGCTGGCGAAGTTGTCGTCCGAGAGGACGATGTCGGACGCTTCTTTGGCTACGTCGCTGCCGGACAGGCCCATTGCGATGCCGACGTCGGCGCGGCGGAGGGAGGGCGAGTCGTTTACGCCGTCGCCGGTCTGCGGAGTGTTAGTTAAGGAAGAGAGAGAGGCTCTATCAAGTTGGTACTGGGAGCGGTGGGTATATATATGTCTCCTGACTCACTCACCATGGCGCAGAATCTATTACGTCTGTGGAGTGCCTCGATCATCCGGACTTTGGTGCTCGGAGCACATCGGGAAATGACCAGGGGGAGAACAGGGAGGTTGTCGACTTGGTCGTCTGTCAACGAGTCGAATTGGCTGGCGGTCATTGCCATCGATCCCGCGACGTCTGCTCTGACTCGCTCCATACGACTGGGAAGTATGCCGACTTCCAGGGCAAAGGCTCTCGCCGTTTCGGGGTGGTCGCCGGTTAGCATGTGTACCGATATGCCTGCTTTGTGACAGCTAAGAACTGCGGCAGCCGATTCGGGTCGTGGTGGATCGTAGAGGCCGATCAACCCGCGAAATACCAGGTTCGACTCTACGTCTGTGCGGTTTACCTCGCCCCCCTTTTCCAGGGGACCTTGGAATGTCTTGCTCGCGAACGCCAGAACCCGTAATCCAGTGCTAGCGAGAGCTTCCGTGTTCTTCATGACGTTAGCACGGAACCTCTCATCTATCTGGATTGCGTCTTGGTCGTCGTGTTCGCAATACTTCGTACAGATAGCTACGACTCGCTCAACAGCGCCTTTAGTAAAAACGGAGAGCTGCTCGGTCGGGCCGTTTCTGAAAATGGTGGACATGCGCTTGATTTCGGAGTCGAAAGGTAGTTCGGCGATTTGAGTCCACTCTGCATTTTCACCTTGGGTGAGCTTGAGTCTGTTCCAATCGAAGCGTGAGGCAAAAACTTGAATTGCGATCTCGGTTGGGTCGCCTCGCGCGTTCCATACTCCATCCTTTAGAGAGACGGTAGCAAGATTAGCGAGAGATGCAACGCATAAAAAGTCGAACAATGCCTTCCTGCTGTTTTTTAGTAATTGGGAAGGTTGTTTAGCTAAGCTGGTCTCGAGCTCGTCCTCTGTAACGTTGATCTGCCACGGCTGCCGCTCATCGAGTAGTATCACGCCAGCTGTAGGGTTAAAAGGCTCCGATGATGTCTCAACGGTATAGGTACCGACGGCAGGAATCCACGCTCGTCTGGCTACCATCTTGCCTTGAGTCAGTGTTCCAGTCTTGTCGGAGCATATATCGGTTACGGCGCCCAGAGCTTCTAGGGACTTGAGATTCCGTACTATGACATTCCGCTCTACCATACTTTTTGTTCCGGCGGCCATGGTGATAGTTAGCACGACTACCAATGAAGCGGGGATCATTGATAAACCAGTAGCAACTGCGTATATGATTACTTCTTGTCGAGCAGCGAATCCGTTAACTCCCAGAACGATTACAGCGCACAAGATAGCGATACCAAAGAGGAACATCGCTAGCTTTGACAGCTTTTGTTGGAGCGGTGTTCCTACATTTAGACCCAGAAAGCAGCCAACGGCATCTATGAATGTTAGTGTATAGGCCTCCAGGTAATGGTGAAGTCGAGCGGAACCATCAGGGTTCCGTTTGATAGGCCGTATTTTTGAATCACTTTGTCCAATCGCCGCAGCAATAGCACCGACCTCAGTGTAAGTCCCCGTAGCAAAAACTATGCCTTTAGCCCGGCCTTTCGTCACCGTCGAAGAGCTGAAGGCAATATTTAGTCTATCTCCAGGCCCTGTAGCATCATCAAATGTAGAGTTTTCGTCCTTGCGGACCGGTAAAGGCTCCCCCGTCAGGAGCGCTTCGTTAGTTTCAAAGTTGAAAGCTTCAATGACCCTAAGGATTAAATCAGTAACTATTACGAAGACGACTCCCTCTGGGATCAACCTACCGGATGTCGGCCGGAACAGTATCGCCAGTCTTCATTTCAACTAGATCGCCTATGACAACTTCGGTGGTAGGGATAACCTTAGTATCCCCGCCGCGTACGACATGGGCAGTAGGTGAGCTAAGAGAGCGAAGGGATTCCAACGTCTTTCCGGCAGAATACTCCTGTAAAAATCCGACTATGATGTTAAGGAGTATAACCACAGTAATAACGGCGCCTTCGATATATGACTTGATACCGTAACTGATAGCCATTGCCAGTATAAGTACCTCGAATAAGTTTAGCACTAGTGATCCCTTCACTTGAAAAGTCATAAGGGTTATTATACCATGGTCATCGCGTTCGCAATTTGCGCAACTATGATTTTCCACACAGACACGCCCGACCCACTAAGCCCATCACCAAGCTCATTTCTCCCGAGTTCGTCTAGGCGTTGCCCTGCGACATTGCTTGACAAGCCATTCACGCCATCAGCGCCCAGCTCAAGAATGAGTTGCCCACAAGTTAACGCATGAGCAGGTCGGGACAGGAACTTGTTGGCCTGTCCTAAACTACGATCTCGAGAGAAACTGCCATTCCTGTCTTCCGCCATAGTGACGAAAAGGCACAAGAACAGGCTTAAATAAAATAGTATCTGATTCACTTTATGTGCCTAGATACCTGAGTATTGGAGAAGAAGTAGGCGAATAATCGTATAGATGGATAATTTTCAAGGAAACGACGAAGTTAGAAGAGATGGGAAAGAATAAGACACTTAGCTTTCTATGTTTTACGAGCCGACAGGTTCTACGAGGGCAACGAACAGCCATACAGCTTGATTTCCTAAGGTACATAATTTCTCTAGCCAAGTAATATTAACATGTAAGAAACACTAGCATCCGAAGATAAGCATACACTCTTCACGGCTGAAAAGAGTCCGAGACTCGGGTTGTGATTAGCACATGCTTAGGATTTCCAAGTACTACAGATAGAGGACAAACTACCTACCTATCCTTGGAGCCTTAAGACCGTATGAAATATAAAATTTCTGGTTTTTAGGATGTCTAGAAGGTCTAGGGCCGAATAGTGTATGCGATCACGGATTGGGAATCGATCAAACGTAAAGACGAGACAAGGCTCTGGGGAGTTACTCGAATTACAGCCATCGCCGAACACACGTGTTATTGTTATGCCTAAGGTTTACCTTAAGATGTTGTGTTGAATGCGAGTAAAGATTTCCTATTTGGGACACATGCCTTGCTACCTTACAGATAATTTTCCTACCTCATAGAAAGCAATAAAAGATAAAAGGAGTTGGTTTGCATATGCATATATATAAGGCTTCTATATTACTTAGGTCTCGAGGGTATTAAAAGTATTGTCCAGCCGTATAATAGCAATAAATTCGGGTTACTATAGGGGTGCCCTCCAGTTTAATAGGGGGTAGATCGCTAATATACAATGAAAATAAGTAATAGTATAAAAACACGGTGCGGTGTAAACCTTAAGCTTTTATGTTGCCCTGGGGGTAACCTCTAATTTTTATTTTACATTGCGGCGTAGCTAACTAGTACTAGAAACTACTAAACGGGGATTTAGTGGTAGTATAGGTACCTAAATAGTGTATAATTTACTACTGTTGTATAATCGCGCTGCGCTGCTTTTCGAGACCGGGTCTAACAGAATAACCGAATATACAGGAATAAAGTCAACCGTATTATCAAAACCAACTACTATATATCTTACATAAGATATAAGTAGTAGGGTTACCTAGCATAACCAAGAACGCTCCCTATAGTATTAATGTAGGTTATAATGTCATATGGACAACAAGGCCGAGACTGGAATCTAAAATATAGCCTAGACCCAGTAAAAGGTTAAGATAACTAAGATTAGAACAATTGGATAAGGCACATCACAAGACGATGCAGGCAGTATGCAAGATAGCTAATATACAACCGAAGAGGCGACTAGATACGGAGATACATCTCTTAGAAACGTCTACAAATAGGTCGTGATCTCCTCAGATTGAGATAGAGAGATCATCAAGGACCTTAAGACCTTAGAAAATTATTAATAATATGAATCCGTTCCAAGCCCTTACAAGACCTTGTTACATAATGAGGCTATCGTCGTGCACCAAAATATATAAAGTCGACCTTCTGGAAACTAAGAATCAAAAGCCGATCAACATCTGCATCTCTAATCTTGGCGATTGGATGTGTTGATCTGTTAGGCGGGCACGTGCATATTCCCTAGTTTTCATCGGCTCTGATAGGCACCTGATATAACGGTAAACCCGACTATCATTGAGGTCCGTTCGGCCCATCCTTACATTAGGGGGTTTCTTTTGTGGCGTTATCTTCATATTGCCCAATACTACCCCATGCGCTAATCCGTCTGTGCAGATCCATCTTGAGTTCGGCGGTCCGATATTAGTCGTAAGCTCGTGACTGGGTTTATGCCGCCCGTACAGCCGTAGTACATTGACCGGTAAGGTATAGATGACCTATCATATTCAGGAAGGTTTTGTGGCTTGTCGCTATAATCTTGGCCCTGCAGGCTCATGCACTTTCGAGCTGTTTAACGACATCTTCGACACGGAGGCTCCCGCCAAGAAATTGTCTCATAGTTTCTCGGTCCTGTCCGTCCTCGCCCTGCACGACCATCTTCACGATGTCGCCGTCGTCATCCATTACTAGCCGTCCCGAGCGTCCGTCGCTCCACTCGACACGGATTTGCTTTGCTTGTGCGTCAGCCGCGCTGATGTCAGTGATTGGGACCTCCAATTCTTTAGCCTTTCCCTTCTTACTCTCCAAACCTGCCATGCTCCGTAGGTCCCCGATGACGGCTGTACGATTGTGGTAACGAACCAGCTCTCGCCTTAGCGCCCGCACGAACGTCGACAAATCTTGCCTCTTTGGCATATCGCTGTCGTCGTCTTTGGCTACTGGTGGAGGGAGATACCGAGCCGTCAATCCAGATAGTGGTATGCACTGGGGAACGGTATGCCGGTGGACACGCAGAAACCGGGAATTCGGGTAGGGCCGGTTCAGCATAACATAATAGGGTCGAAGGAACCGAGACTTGGACATGACTTCGAATCGCAAACCCAAAACATTACCCCCATCTACCGCATTGGGGTCCGGATCACGCACTTTAAAAGTTGTGATAGAAGCGCATGTCCGGTAGAGACATTGCTGCTTATGGGCGTTTTGCTCGTCAGCTCTTGTCAACAGCTCCTGAAGCCTAGAGCTATCATTTGACTTCTTGAAACCTGATTTCTTCGTTGAATCAGCTTGCAATATCTGAAGCGTCGAATCTGATGTTATCAGAGTAGCAGTTTGCAACTTAAGATCCCGTTTTAGTGATTCCACTAGATAGTATTAGCACTAGCTTCATATATCATAAGATATATATCATAATATAGTAACACTGAATAGTTACCTTGAGCTCTTAAAGTTGCAATCTCACTGTCCAACTTCTCCGCAACGGAGAGTTCTTGTGATTGTGGCTCCTCGGAAGCCATTCTTTAGGTATCTATTTATAAGATTGAAGATGATGCTACCATGGATATTATAAATCCGATATTATGGATCGCCGGCATCACTGTTGAACTGTTGATTTAACATTCAGCGAAGACGCGCCGACGCGTATTAGTAAATGGGGGATTGCGATAAGATAAAAAACAGATAAGGCACGAGAGTGGGGAAGATCTAGATCTAGGTGGGGTACTCTAGACTGTCTTTGATTAGTCATTTCGATCCAGGGTTTACTTTTCTTTCCCACTCCATTGGGTCAAAGCTGAAAGCTTCAGCTTCATTTGGACACGTCCACATATTTCCCTGCACCTGTGCTCCAAGAAGCCGCAATACCATTTAGCCATGATGGACTAACTAAGGAATAATCGTATCTGGGGTTTGCAGGTTTCCCGACTTCTACCATCATTCTAACCACTCGTTACTCGTCTTATTTTTAATTCAGGGTCCACTTCGCCACGTTCCAGCGCGATCCTAAAAAGGCCACGGTTTCTATTTTGTTTTCATTGTTGACTTTTGACTTATTGGACAAGACCAAAACACTTTCCACAAATCATATACGAGAACCATATAATTAACATACTTGTACAAGTCTAACGACGCTTCTTCTACTACCAGCCATTTATCGATTATCCATCTACTATATCACTAGAGCTTTGACAAGAACACAATCTCCAGCTTTAAAGCAATCGAATACCCCCACTGCCCCGCGCCAAAGTACGAATGGGTGTCGAAACTCGACGGTCGAAATCTCAGAAACGAGATAAGCTTTCAGTCTCGACGAGCGGTCGCGTAAATGGTCACTCGAACGGCGACATGAGCAATATAGAGCTGCGGCGGAAAACCGCGCCGCCACAAGAGTCAGGCCAGGTCGCGGCAAACCTCATAGGCCGGGAATCCTTTTCCCTCGACGATAATATCCCGAAAACGCCCTCGGTGAACAATCATGGATTCTGGGAACTTCCCTTACAAGATCAGAGGAATTTTATGCTACTTGTGCTGCTATATTTCTTACAAGGTGTCCCTATGGGTCTTGCGAGTGGATCGGTACCATTCCTTCTCAAAGAGCATCTCTCATTTGGAGAAATCGGTGTCTTCAGCTTGGCGTCATATCCGTACTCGTTAAAACTATTCTGGAGCCCGATAGTAGATGCAGTATGGAGTCCTAAAGTCGGAAGGAGGAAAAGTTGGATTCTTCCAATTCAGTTGATATCCGGCTTCAGCATGTTGTACCTCGGGTCCATGATCGAAGGTTTGATGGCCACCACAGGCAAGCCGGGCGGCCCGAGCATCTGGAATTTCACGGGTTGGTGGTTCTTCCTGGTTTTTATGTGCGCGACTCAAGACATCGCCGTTGATGGGTGGGCCCTCACTTTGCTAACGCCAGGAAATGTTTCTTACGCTTCGACGGCGCAGACGGTCGGTCTGACAGCCGGCCAGTTCCTATCTTACACCGTCTTCCTGGCCTTTAATTCCAGCGATTTTGCCAACCGCTATTTCCGCTCCGTACCGTCAGAGGAGGGCCTCTTAAGCCTAGGGGGCTACTTGACCTTCTGGGGCTGGGCTTACATTGCAATCACCATCGGACTTGCGCTTCTCAAGAAGGAAGAAAAGACAAGGAATGAGGACGGTATCTGGGATGTCTACAAGATTATGTGGGATGTCTTGAAGCTACGGAATATCCAGACCATAATTATCGTCCATCTCATTTCGAAGATCGGATTTCAAGCCAACGATGCCGTGACGAACCTTAAGCTGCTGGAAAAGGGATTTGGCAAAGAAAATCTGGCGCTGACGGTCCTCATCGACTTTCCCTTCGAAATAGGCCTGGGTTATTATGCCGGCAAGTGGTCTCAGGAGTATACACCTATGCGCCTCTGGTGCTGGGGCTTCGTGGGTCGTCTGATTGCTGCTATCTTCGCTCAGGTCACCGTCAGTGTTTTCCCAGCTGGTGGCGTCCAGCCTTGGTATCTTCTTCTCGTCATTGGCGAGCACGTCTTCTCGACGTTTACTTCAACCATCATGTTCGTTGCTGTTTCTGCATTCCACGCTCGGGTTGCCGATCCCGTAATCGGCGGAACTTATATGACCTTGCTTGCTACGTAAGTACTATCCCCCAAATCACAGTTGATCTTAGCTAACATTTAATGTCAGGGTTTCCAATCTTGGTGGTACATTCCCTAGGTATTTCGTCTTAGGTCTAGTGGATACCTTTACACAAGCCACATGCCGTCCCTCGACACAGAAGCTTGATAGCTCGGCGCTCAGGGGGCCGCTTGTAACGCAAGAGTTCTCCTGCGCCGTCCAAGCCGAGAGAGAGCGATGCGAGCACGGCGGTGGCACGTGCGAGATCCTACACGACGGGTTTTATATTGTGAATATCCTCTGCGTCATTGTAGGGGTGTTGACATTCACTCTATACATCAGAAAGAGAGTTCTGGTATTGCAAAATCTACCATTAAGGGCGTGGAGGTTAGCTGGATCCCGGTAACGAGATATTGGTGAGTATCTGTAGTCTATATGTATAATATGGATAGGAAATTGAAATACTATCAAACATGATTGATGGCCGTGATGTTAGCTTGTCATTGGGCAATAGAGTGGAATTGCTTGAGTGAATATTCCCTAAATTGGATTGAAAGAAGTCTTTGATTGGCCGGAGTTTGTCGCAAGCGCATCCCTTAGGTACCTACCTTACCATCTAAATGTAAGTACCTAATCAATGGCAATAATAGATGCTTAGGTAGATACAATGAAGCAGGTAGCTAATTAAATTGTTCGTTCAACTTCTATACAAAGATGGCCCGACTTTACAATAACGTGGTTCGTTCCTTTCGGCATTGTTCACCGGTGAACAATGATGCTGAAATATAGGCTTTCATCAGGAGGATAGTTGTTTAACTATAATTACCTAGGTAAAAAGACATTGTTTGGTTAGAGTCAAGCATAAATATCTAGGTACCAAATAGAATATCCCTCTCCCCTTTCCTCTATGAATCAGCTCAAACCTGGAGTTTACTTATTCAAATTCAAATCTAATTCATAACGATACCACCATCTACGAACGTAAGCGCTGTTAACAGTATTCCATCATGGAGAGTCCTAACGTAAGTATGTCATTATCCGACTTGAACGTAGCTCTCCCCAGGATCTGCGAGGAATGCGAGGCATTCATAACAGATGATGTTCTTCCTAATATTGTGCTCTATTATTTTAGCCCCGCGGGCTTCTTCGAAGAGAGATACAGGGATGTCGATATCCAATGTACGCCGTGTATGTTGGGCGGCCTCTGCGGCGTCCGCGACGTCCTTGCGGCGGTTTACGATGCGCCCGCAGAGATGTTTACCGCGGAGATGTTCACCAAGCTAGTCGACGACCTCTTTGTTTACAGCGCATTCAATTACCCCGAGACGTGGCATAGCCTCCCGCCTATCGTCTGGAAATGGAGACAGCGCATCCATATCGAGGCTTTATTTACCAAGATCGAGCTGGTTCTAGGTAAGGAATGGGCTATTAAGTTCTTTCGGTACGCGGCGGACGTTGCGTTCCTTTCTGCGGACAGCGTTCTACTTAGCCTCTTTCACGCACCGTCAGGGGGTAGTAATGTTGAGGCTTTGAGGCAAACCATCAGGGACGTCCGCAAATCTATGATTGACGCCATTCAAGGCCCAGAGGGTTTAAAGTCAATTTATAGCTACATAGAAGGGCTGTTTGTGTCAAACGGGTACGGGCGTAACTTATTCGAAGCTGAGGTAACCGGGGGAAGTCCTCCTAGGGACGACAATATTGGTAATGGTACGGCTTAGGGGGCGACTAAAGCCTTGCCAGACAAGAAACGGCCGATAATCTCTAGGTAGACATGGCCATCGCTTTTGCTAGAAGTTTAATTACGCTTCTTCATGAGTACTGTTAATGCCGTGTTTGAGCTGCCTTGATGCATACATCATAGGTAGCAGACTGAAGCTTTAATATCTCGTTCCACCTTAAAGACTCTCTTTATTATCCTAGAGACACATAGACATAGTTAGGTACCTAGCATAATAACATTTTCAAAAAGCTCTTCGCAAAATTCAATCTCGTGTTTTCTAACCCCGGGCCAAGCATGCTTGCTCATACAGTATTTACACTTGACTCTCACCTTTGTAAATTCAGCTCTGGTTTGATGGCATACTCCCTTATTTTTTATTTTTTAGCCACTCAAGCAGTAACCCTAATAACGTGAACCTACATGGGGACAGTAATCCTGTACATTAGATTCCACAAAAGAATGGAGGACATTCCCGCAATCCTCCGTTTATTCATTAGGCCCCAATACGAACCTGCTCGCCAAGGCAAGATGGCCGAGTTGGTTATGGCGTGAGGTTAAGGTCACCTTAATTCCTACATCCTCATGGAGCAATCCGCGTGGGTTCAAGTCCCACTCTTGTCAAAACTTTTTGTGGTTTTCGGATCTTTGTACTAGCGATGGCGCACTGCCTAGTATATGCCCACTTCCGCCATACGGAATACCTAGGGCATTCGGTAAATATTGGACTTATAATTTTATTCTACCTTTTTTCCCCATGGAAACCCGGCGCCTAACTGGTAGTTTAAATGTGAATGAATGCACTCTTACCACGATACTAAAGACTCAACCACGAAACTAACTGATGTCAGAGTTGTCTAGTATCATTATTATTTGCTATTCTCTTCACTCAAGTACCTGGGATGCATCCGACTGCTATTATGGTACCATTTAGATCCTAACTTGTATCCCAAACTGATCGTTTACTTATGGACAGTCAGCGCTCATAGGTCTGAAGTGCTCCATTCGTCCCAGCCCTTCTTCTCGCCAGGTAGTCTCACATCTTCCCACTCCTTCCTAGTAACATTCTTCCACTCGTCAACAGGGATCCAGCCGATATAGGCTCTGTCGCCAAAGCCACCAATCCAATATACTTGTGTAACGACAAGCCTCACGAACTCGGACTCGTGGATCTTATTTCCAGGGAGCCAGTACTTGCTGTCGGGATGCGTCTCTACGAAGCACGATGACAATGCCTTAAATGCCTTGGTATCGGCCGAATCGATCTTCTCGATATAGCCCAGCAGGCTGTAACGCGGGAGGTTGACTGCGCTGTACGGCACTCTGTCCTTGGTCTTGGTGTCGGCGTCGCGTCCAAACAGCCAGTCGAAGAAGGTGGATCTGATGCGCTTGTCTGGTGGATATGGGGGAGTCCATTCCTGGGCCAGGCTGATGTTGGAACCGCCGTCCACGTTCCTGAAGGTAGTCCCGATCTTAATAGCCAGGATGGTAGGGTTGCCCTCCTCCTCGCAATCCGCTACGTACTCCATCAGTCCGAGAGGCACGCCGCCGAGACCATCTGGCTGGCGTCCGCGGGACGAATCTGGGAAGACGGTGGCGAGAGTGCCAAGTGGAGTAAGAGCTAGGATGCGCCGACCGAGCACGGCAGACTCGTATGAAGTCGGAATGCGATAATTTGATTCCGAGGCGGGAGGGTTGCTGAGGATGTACTGCGGCTCCGAGGTAGATTCCGCTACGCAGGAGTGCGCAGCTAGAGAGACGAAGGGCAAGCTACGTAAGAACCTCATTGCGAAAGTGTGTAAGTGTCTAAGTGCGTAGGGGTCGTATCGTACAGCTAGATTTCGGTAAGGAAGGGTAGGGTAGGGTGTTAGAGTATTGTACAAGGAAAGAGGAAGTTCAAGTTTAGTTTAAATAGCTTTCAGATTACAAGAGATCAAAGTTAGAGCTGAAACCACATTTCCATGCTGTCTGTTCGATGGCGTTTAGCGGTCTGCTAGAGCTCATCAAATGAAACGAAGACGAAGACGAGGCCGGTCACCGGTCACCGGTCTGAAGTCAAACGAACCCATGTGAATGTGAAATGATGCATCAGGTGGGTCACTTTACTTTACCTTTACATATGTACATAGTACCTAGTAGGTCTGGGTCTGGGGCTTTGCCTTAATGAGTTAGTCATTTGAACTCACCCCGCTGGAATCTAATCCGTACGTACCGATAAATACCCGCGAAATCTTGCCTCATCCGGGTTACACTGTCCGGGTTATGCAATAAACTTTAACGCGGGGCTTTCGGAGATGCAGCTAAGACATAGTCACATGACCAGGGTTTACTTAACCCTTTATGGAAATTTTGACGAAGCCAGACTCTCTTCGGTGTGACTCTTTCCACCCGCAAACCCTCACAACATCATTCTGAGTGCCAAGACTTGCGAATTCATCAGCAAAACCCGCCCACATCGACCCATTTCTTCCACTCTTACCAACTTCATCGACTTCCAAACAGTTTACAACACAATCTTTCAAGATGGGAAAAGTTCACGGATCTCTCGCCCGTGCCGGTACGTCATTCCGATTGAAATACTAATACATATTTATAATTCGAGATGGAAATATACTGACAATTATCCTACAGGTAAGGTCAAGTCTCAGACCCCTAAGGTTAGTTCATCCAGTAATCCGAAAATTCCATCCTCGCGACCAAGAAGCGCGCGTACGATTTGAGCAATTTGTGTCGCCAACCGTAAAACGATCATTCGAATATCTAGCGACTCGCAGCGAAACAATCCGCAATTCGCCACTCGCTTTGTCGAAAATATCGCCTAAACCGAACCTTCCGAAGAGGGGACTATATCGTCCGCCATATTAATACGCGCGCTTCTTTCATCAAATACGCACTTGCTCTAGACATGGTCATCGCGGATAAAATGGGATACAAAACTAACGACATCAAAACAGGTCGAGAAGCAAGAGAAGCCAAAGACCCCTAAGGGCCGCGCCAAGAAGAGACTCACATACACCCGCCGTTTTGTCAACGTTACCCTGACTGGTGGCAAGCGAAAGGTGGGCATCTTTTTCCACTTTCCACACCAGATATGTCCCAGATTCTATATTAACACTTCAGCAGATGAACCCCAACCCTGGCTCATAAGCGCGACGCAGCGCCTACCCTCTTGAGGGCAGCCAGTGTCGTACTCGGGAGGATTCGGAAGGCGATGGACGAGCAGACATTCGACAGGGTCTGGCTCTGAGCGTCCACCTCTTTTACGTATGGCAGGCAAGCACACTCTGCTCTATTATGATCGGCAGTGAATGGATGAAACGGAGGTTACGGATGCATACGGATTTGCATCTTTCATTAGGGAGTCATACGGCATCATCGTTCTGGCTTGGTCTTGGTCATTACCCACAGGCCTCTCGTCTGTACTTACGCAGGTATCGCCTGGAAAAGGCAGAAATACAGGGGACAGTAATTTTCTCTGCAAAGCTCGTTATTGGTAAAAGTGAGCGTGATTGTCTGTCTATATATACTGCTGGGATATGTTAGCGTGCGTGAAACATGCCGGCTGTATTTATTATCTTTCTCTAGACTTGCTATTACTGGCTACTACCTGAATACGCCATTACGACTACATGGAGATGTTATACTTTAGAAATGAGCTAAGGTAATAAGCAACATCTGGATATCTGTGCTCCGACTAGACCTAGGTCAAGACAAATCAAACTGCCTTACTACTTGGCAGGATTCCGACTATACTGGAATATTAGCAAGTGACCTTGTAGATCCCCTCAGCATCACATGCAAACAGCTTAAACAGACAGCAAACTGCACATCAACTACACTAGCCTACCAGCTACAAACCAAGCCCAGAATAGACATACTTCCTCCACTCCTAGAAACGAGTTCTAGCTTATCATCGGCTTTAGCCTCTACCTAAGCGCCAGGTATGAAGTAAACAAAGAAAACTAGAGGGGTAGTTACTAGTTAGAGAGTTTGAGTTCGTTAACCAATCCCCAATCCCCAAGAACAAAGGCCAAAGCAAACCATAACACCCAGTACCCATCCCATCCCTTACTTCCCCAAACTCCCTATATCCAACCTAATCTAACCTGCCTAGGTAGGTAGAGGTAACCTGCTGCCTGACAAGCAAGCCGGGCTGGGAAGAACAGGGGCACGTCTTTACTTACCCTGGGTAGGTAGTTAAGGAATAGTTCCTAATCCCAATTCATTCTGCCTTTATATGCCTAAGGAGGTATTTTAGCTTAGGTAGCAAAGGGAGGGATGTACCTACGACATCTGACATACATCGGGCAGTAACACTTTAGGTACATATACAAATATCTAGCAATGGGCACGGAGTGGCTAGGGTCTGAGCAAAAATAGAAATTCTAGTTTGGACTTGTTTGTAAATGGCTTTAGTCTTATTATATTCTTCCTCTATCCTAGCATCTACCTGGACAAGCGAGTAGACATTCGTAAGCAGCATGGTGTCCGCCAAGGGTTGATCATCTGCTTCGTGGGAATTAGGGTGGTATAGTCTGTGTAGCCCGGGTGCCCTTGTCTTATAGCGTCGTCATTAAACCACCAAGTAGCGCAACTGACTCCTGACCTGTCCCTGTACGCCGTCTATCTGTCTGCTAGTCTGCTAGTCTGCTCAACCGTCCATACGCGTAGCTTAATAAAGCTATGCCTGGTGGCTATGATCCTCCCCTATGCTTCCTAGGTCCATAGGTGACCTGCGTGCCTGTCTAGAAACAACAATGGTATCAATCCCATATCTACAGACCCCTTATCCGAGTCCTAGCCACCAAGGCAAAGAAAATACAGCGCAAAATTCGTGGCACATCCGACCGAACCACTATCCTCGCAAAGTAAAGGGTTGTCCCAAATGGCTGTCGTACTAATAAATTGCCGCGGCATGTCCCGTAACCAAGTTTCGTTTGGAATCTCGTGGTATTGCGGGTGAGATCGTGTTATATAGGTACCCAAGGTATTAAAGGTAGTAGACGGGTGCCAAGAAGAACCAAGTGCAAATTCTTCGCAGTGTATAAAGTTAAGTAATCCAAACTGAGGTAGAATTGCTATCGAATTCGTGAAATAGCATTGCGATATGAATTGCTCCCAGCACGTAGTCTCTGAACTATGTGAATAGAAACCCCAATCTCAATGTTTAGGTGTAAATTCTGTGAGCGACCAAGAACCCGGTACCGCAGCAGTCAGCCAGTCAGCCATATACAGAACTGGTGAAAGTGTCGGGTGCATGGTATATAAAAAGAGTAATGGCCTCCCCGTCATAAAAATTAGAGAAACCAACGCCGCCGTATATGTGATGTCGTGAAAATTCGTCATCCATGCCGTAGCGAGTTCAGCCGAGCCATTGTTCACAATAAAATAGTCCGGTCATTCGCTTCTTAGGTCGGATACGATTAGTCGAAACCAGAAAACCTCCATGCAGGATCCAAGCGAAACCGCTTGAGTAAATGCGTAAATCGGAAATCTCAGAACCGTATCGTAAATAGTACCCAGTACAGATGTACATACCAGAATCCTTCGGAGGAAAAAAAGATTAGAGACTCATGGTCAACCACTCCCATTCCTGAGGGCCGTTTCCAGACCCGGAGTTCATTACACCAGTAGAACCCCCGGACATTCCGGTCATGCTGTGTCCCATCATAGGTCTTTGAGACATGCCAAAACCGTTGGCAAGGCCCAGGTTTCCTGGATTGGACATGCTGGTGAATCCGCTCGAAGAACTAATGGAACGAGCTGCTTCATTCGAGCCAGTCGAATTCTCAGGGCTATCGACATCCATGCCGTTAGATGACTCGTTTGGCCCAGTGCTTTTACTACTACGGCGTTGACGCTTGGAAGAACCGCTGGCGCCGATATTTCGCGGGAGTGAGGCGGCACCCGGTCCTGGTGCATTCTTTGGTGGAGCTGCTGCAATTGGCACGACGCCTTTACCGCCCACCGCACCAGTAGCAGAACCCGCATAACTAGTTGGCGTACTTCCTGCCGTGTTACCACCGGAACCGCCAGCGCCGCTTGCAGGACTTTCGCCCTCGTTGACGCTGCCGGCTCTGTTGGTCACCGATGGTGGCGTAGTCACCTGCGTTGCGCTGTTCGTGGCAGACATAGCCAAAGTCGAATTCTTTCGCGAGGCGGGTCCAGAGGCGGTCCCCGCCGCGTTGCCAGTATTCTTCTTAGATCTCGTGCTCGTTCCGCCAACGGGAAGGCTCGCACCGGATCCGCGGTTACGTTTCTTAATAACGTCGGTCTTTAGACTTAGAGGCCTTACGACACCGTGGAGCTTCAAAAATAGACCGCAAGCGTTGCACAGAGGCTGGCCTTCTGGGTTTCGACGCCACAGCGGCGTAGTTTGTGTAAAACAATTAGTACAGGTAGTAGGTGTATTTCCATCTCCCTGCCCTCCCGCGGCAGCTTGCAGGTTGCTCGTGGAGCCGTGTTTAGAACCAGGCGGGGAAGTAGGTCGACTAGGTGCTACGGAAGAGAAGCCCGAGACATTACCTGACACGTCTGCTGGCGGAGAATTCGGGTTCGACTGAGCCAATTTGTCAAACGGATTCCCACGGCCACCCATGTTGGCGTTTGGCGTCGAAGCTGTACGAGGGATCTTCTGACGCCTGTCGCTGGCCGATCGAAACGACTGGGACCGCGGTAGGCTGCCTTGGCCGTCCCAATCACCCGATTCTAAATAATCTGTTGTCGTGCCTCCGATAGTGACTTGCTTTCGAGGCGGTCCACCAGGATAACGAGCTGCTTGCGTGCTGAACTGCCCAGGCAAAGAAGCATCCCATCCCATAGAATTTTGATTGCCCATGTCCATCCCCGATTCGTGTTCAGGTGAAAATTTGATACCCATGTTACGATCAGCGAACGCACCGCCCTCCTCATCTTCGTTATCCGAATCAGCACCGAAGTTAAACATATTCTCATGTGCCATGCCAACACCTGGGGAACGAACTGGGGGGTCTGGCTGGAAGACTTGGCTTGGATCGACATGACCGAAATTAAGGGTTTGCGTAAACGAGGCAGAAGAATCTGCTCCGGTAGTGGTTGGTGGAAACATAGAGTTGCCGTTATGTTGATGCATAAATTGCTGGTTCATTTGACCCCTCATAGACCCGGCCGGTCCTGGACGGAAGTTTGGTGCTCGTTGATGGCGCATATCCATCGAGCCGAAAAATAAGTTCTCATTTTCTACCATTGGATGCGGTGTAGAAACAGCCGACTGATACGCGGAACCCGGCGGGGAATAGTAGTCTGCGCCATTGACTGAGTTGGATGCAACACCATGAGGGTTATAGAAGTTTGAAAAGGGGCCATGAGGAACCATTGGCGATGACGATGGCGAGAAGGAAAATCCCGGCTGGAAAGGTCCTGCTGAAGTAATGATAGGGTCGTTCTCCATGGGGAAGGTGTCGAGAGGAAAGGGAACCCCTGGATGGTGAGGTACGTGGGTGTTGCCGTTTGTATGAGAATTGTCTAAGGAGTATTCGTGGAGATCAGAATCGGCGTCCATCTCGTTAGAGACATAGTTATTGCTGTTAAGGGCAGAGACGTGAGGGGAAAAGTTAGCAGGACGCTTCAAGTTTCGAGTCTATCACATTATCATTAGCTCTCTACATATATATCTGCCGTACGAGAATAGGAATTTCGCAGTAAATCAAGGTGAGAAGTAAAGGGATTAGGTATTATGTTTTGTTTTAGCACAGCAAATGAAGGCGCCTCAGCTTTACTCACTCGTCTCTCGTCAATGCTGGTTTTTCGATGGTGCCGAGTGACGTAGGCAAACTCATCCTGGCTTCTCTGATGAGCAGGGACAGGAACCGACTGGGGGACAAAATGCTGCTGCGAGGGTGTTTTGCGAGATTTGATAGGGATAGCAGCGGCCGTGGTGTGAGCCGTCTTCTCCTCTTGTTTGCACGCATCCGGCGAAGGCGTTGCCGTGAATCCGGCCGGAGTCGAGACGCTCTCGGAAAATATAAAGTCGTCAAGATTCATGGGATCCGTATGTACGTTTTGATCCGACGTCTTTCGAAGTTGTGCGATGCCACTGGGAGCATTGGCAATGTTCGTCGCAGTGTTGCCGGTCTCGTAAGAAGCGGTGCGACTATAGAGACGGTTAGAGTCGCAATGCGCCTACACAACACTATACAACAACCAACATACCGAGCAAGTTCCTGCTGTATTTTCTGTAGACTCAAGTGCATCATGCGCCACGTTAAATTTTCCATGCGCTCCTGGTTGGGCAAGCTCTGCTTCGTGTTGCGAAAGAACTTCCAAACTTGCGTTGCGAGCGGATCGTCTCGCTGCAGCTGCTCTAAGCTCTCGTTGTTTCCGGATATACCATTCTGAAGACTCGGGGAAATCGAGGATTGTAGAAAATCGAATGCTGCCGGGCGGGTATCTGGTTTTGTAAAATCTAAGTTAAGCTCATGTATGCGCAAGTCACCAGGACTGCTCTCGTCGGTATTCCTCTTACTCGTCTGGGCCGATTCGGGGGCCGATTCAAAGGGCCTTCGCGGGAAGCGAAAGTCATGCTCTGTCGTGGTGGGATTCATGGTTGTCGAGGGATTCGAGGTCGCTATAGGCGACACTGTGCTGGCGGCCATGTCGAAGAGGGGCGAAAAGGGAAAAAAAAGAAAAATTCAGGTCAAGGACTCTATTTCTTTTTCTTTTTTGTACGGGGTCGTTGGAAAAGTGATTTCGTACGTATTACGGATCACTTTCCAAGTTTCCCCACGTTTCCAAGGATTGGGCTGTCAGCCCAAGTTCCTCTACAAGCCGAACACTATGTATATCCTAAAGGTTGTGCCCCCGGGTCCTAGCGCCTATGAGGATAGTAGCGAACAGCTTGTAAATCTACACGAGATAAAATGGAAACGGTAGAAGCCCAGCGCTAAACTTTTGTAAGTTGAGCGCGCAATTAATCGTTGTTCTTCTCCCTTCCTGACTAGCTCGGTCGACCTCTCTCGCGCTTGTAAGATCGGAGAAGCGTGATGTATTGTATGTCACCTCCCGGTAGAAGGTTGTAGAGGGCGGAGGAGTGGTAGTAAGAGCGACAGCTACTACAGCAGAGTAAAGCAACGACAACAATAGCAACTCGGGCAGTTCACTGTCGCATTGCCCTTTACAATTCCACAGAGCGGGTTGGGTGGATTGGATGGTCACTCATCAGGCAGTTTGGTTCGGCTTTGCCTAGGTGACATGGGTGTGGGTGCACCCTCAGACTTTGTAATGGAGGTGGATGCAAGTGCAAATGCAGATGCTGGTAGATGCTGGTAATTCCTTGAACGAAGGGGGGACCACACTTGGACAGGCAGGACAGGTAAGGCCTGGGTTTTTCTCTCGCAGCAGCAGCAGCAGCAGCAGCAGCAGCAGCAGCAGAGTGCAGCAGAGCTACTGGGCTAGACTAGGCTTGGAATGATTCCGGTGCTAGCATCCATGGGACCCGGCGATCCACGGTTCCAGCGACCCCAGTGGGCAACGGGTGCTTCTGCGGCTTTGTTGTGCTAGGAAGGCTTGGGAGGGCTTGGGATTGATGATTCTTGATGGCTGATCCTGGACCAATCCCACAAGGACAATTGGAGCTTGAGGGATTCCTTCGACTGCCTCCGCACATAAGACCCCAAAAGCTCTTATGCAGCCGAAGCGAGTTTGGACGAGGGGTGGATCTGCACCGAAATTACGGATTAAAAAGAAGAAGAGACCTCGACCAGTGGGGGGGATATTTGAAGGTGGTTACTGTTTCGAGTCTTTGCGTTCGAAAACTCTCTCCTGTGATGTATTATTTACGATGGTTATGATATGTTATAATTATTCATGTCTATATTCCGGATCAGGCGTGGGGTCTTGGGGTCTTGGGGAGGGAGTTGTAGAATCGTAGAAAGTCTGCATTTAGACGATTTGAGAGACATTGTCGAGTTACATGCTGCATAGGTTATGTACCTAGGTACATAGAAAAGCTTGCCCAGGTGCCCGTTATGCGACAAGGTTAGGCGATTACATATGTTAGGTACTTATGTACACGCCTCTGTAGGGTACCAATAGGTACGTATATGTGGGCATTTAAAGTGCTGTACGCTACTACTGTGGTACCTAGACATACCCTTACACCTCTATCCAACAGCCCAAATATCAAATGTTAGTAGCCCTACATGTACCCCAAGTACCAAAGCTAGCATTAAGACAGATCAAGTTGGTGCAATTACCCGCACGTAAAAGACTGCCCATTACTTAAACAGGTACCTAACGAGGGTCACTATATTAGATACGTATACGTAAGAATTGTAAATAATGCTAGTTCTATACCGGGGAAACATACAGGTAAAATTGGAAAATAAAAATAAAAAATAAAAATAAAAAGAAGAATTGTGACCGTGACTTGTGCGTCTGTCTGGTCTGTCCATGGAAAGATCCCCAAGCCATGATTTTCCGTATGTATGTACATCCCGGTCGTGCTAGGTACAAGTATGTTACATTTAGCAGCTGCAGTGCAACGCTAAGGTATTCGCCGCGTACCAAATACTTCCGACCTTCGCTTTCCTCCAGCTCGCGACCGCGGCGGCCCCTCTCTTTTTTTCTCTCTTCGTCGTTCATTGTCCAACTGCAGTCTGCAGCGTCCCTCGAGTCATGTTAGCTGTTATTAGCTGTTAGCATTGTACACAACAAGCATTGTATTGTACACACAGTAGCAAAATATCCGGTACGGTTTACCATCAGCATCGAAGCGGACCACCCCATACGATCAATAATCTACATCGGAAGTATGTATCTATCTGCTTTGGTTAAGTGACGAGCGCTGCTAAGCTGCTAAGACGTCAGGTACGTCCACATCCAAGATGAAAATGTAATATGTAAGATCAGTCAGTTTTAGTCGAGCCTTTTGGTGACTTCAATCTGCATGGACGTTGTACTATGTAGCGCTAAAAGATAACTAAGGCAAGGATGGTCCTCGTTCGGATCGTGATATACATATCGTGAGAGTATCGTCCGGTCTAAAGGCCGATTTGTGGAGCGGCGGGAAAGGAACAACGCTGCTCAAGTTGCTAGTTAAACTCGTTAGACTTGGATTTAAAAGCTTCATATGCTTTTCGCTGCCTCGCGGCTCAGATATTCCTTAATACACTATTCGGACCCTACATGTAAGCTAGTATCGACGCTATGCTCACTTGGTAAGGAGTCTTTATGGGTCTCGGGAAAAGCCGGTAACAAGACGAGACTCTGAGCGTTATACTCACAAAGACATGGGATGGAGATGGAGATGGGGATGGGGATGGGGATAGCAACTCTTGTCTCACTCATACATACATACTGTCATGGGCGGCTAACAAGCTTGAGCTCCGAAGCCGCAATTGCAAAGCTCATTTCTAAAAGCGTACTGTCATCCATTGATGGTGTTGGCTTTGTCCATTAATAATTGTAATAATTGTAGGAGGGTAGCTTGGGAAGGTGTCTCATTTTCCAATTCGACGGCAAAGAACTGTGCATGAGGTTGTGTCACCAGCCTCAGGATGACCAAGCAAGCATACAAGCAAGCATACCTAGGTAGATGGCGCGAATTGATTCCCATCAATGTATTTATTTAACCTAGCGGGCTCTTCAGACTACATGGGCAGCTCTAGACGTTCTAACTTAAGCAACCGATGTGCTCCCAGTCCGCTAGGTCCAACACCTTTCCAACGCTCGCCGCGGGATGTATTACAGCAACGTCGTCTTTAGGGAGACAGGTCGTCATCCCGTCGAGAAGCGAAAATTTCACCGAGGTGGGGGTTCCCATCGTTGAGAGTGATAGCTCACACGGTAAAAGATGAAAAAGATCACATGGACAACATCAAGATTCAAGTATTCCTTTGTCTCGTCTCTGCGATACTGGGAAGTGTTCTGGTAAAACGAAACAACAGATTGAACACCAGCCTATACTATAGTCCGATATGTAGTCGGATTCGGAGCCTTAAGAGGGGATTAAGCTTGCCATCTAAAACCAGGCGAGCGAGTTCCGATGTCGAAGGGACCAGGTCAGTCACAGCATCTTGCACCTCGCACCTCGCACCTCGACGGTCTTGCAGATTGTGGGAAAGGGTTCGCAACGGATGAGAGCTGTGCTCTGTACCGGTAAAGTAAAGGGTACGCGGGACGCGCAATGCGGTCCAAGCCAAGGGTCGAACCAAGGACCAAGGGTTATAAGAGAACAAGGGTCAAATAGTCTTACATGGACCAGATGAACGAACCCCCACACTTTTTGTACGAACCCTGACAAGATGTCGCAAGACTGGAAGTTAAGCAAGGGCCCAGCCCACAGGCCACAGGCCATTTCATCCCCACTCAAGCCTCTCTTTGACCAAGTGTGGTAGGAGACAGCAAGCGAAACCGTGGCTAATGGATCATCTAAAGCTGACAAGCTTGCGGTACACCACTACATACACTACAGACCATGAGTTGCTTCAGTATGTAGTGTACTGGAGTTGCTTAATAGCCGTCCGCTACCATACTATGAGGTAGGTAGTTGACTACCTGTGTAGTTGAATCATGAACTCCACCATACATACCAGTAGCATTCATTCTATTTTTGGTCAACAGATCTCGTATGAACCTGCGTCTCTCTTTATGCCATAGCCATATCCGATACCCCATTGGTACCTACTGCCCTCTTTTTTTTTTTTTTTTTTTTTTTCTTAACTTCAATGCTGCCCATTTTCGATAAATAACGGCCTGACCAACACGGCAGAAAAGAAACACTCAGTCAGCCTCGCGGCTTTCCCATACGGTCCTTCCACGTGAGCCTCTTTGGAGGATGGTTCCGGCTCCCCGCCGCTTGAAATAATCATGACGAAACTATCCGTTAACTCGCTAGCATTATTGCCCAGGGCTAAGCCCTTTACACAGTAGTAAAGCCGCTAAGGTCTAACGGTTCACTTTTCGTTCGCGTGGTAGTGGGCCGGGATATCCCTTAGTTGATCGTTAGCTGCATTGGTGAAGGTTCGTTCGTCCGTCCACCTGAAGAAGAGGCTGGTAGGGTAGCCAGTCATCATCTCAGATCGAACTTGGAATCTTCAGCGTTGCAAGACCAAGACGCAGATCGTCGCCTTCTCCTAGGTGAATTAAATTCCTACTGCAATATACACACCTGCATAACAGCTTTTATTGTTCAGGTGTGGAATATGAGTTACCGTGTCACTTTTCCCCTGTCTAGACGCCCAACGGCAAGTCAAGATGCATATTGAGCACCAGAATTCTATCACATGTCAAATCCTTGAAATTACATACATATAGTACTAATACCCTCCTCCACCTACATCCCTGGTGTAAGTAAGATGGGACCATAAATATAGCGCCTATTACAACGACTATCGCATACTATGTATTCTTATTAATATCTTTGATGTCTATTCAATGTCTCTCATTCGACGACTTGGGCTGCGTCTAGAATCATGCATATTCGCTGTAACAGAAGCTTTTTCGAAGTCGGCTTCTCATATATTTCCCCTTTAGTCTGCAACTCTTATAAGGCAGGTCGTATACCAATGTTTCTCTCCCCCCAATACATATACGACCCGTCGCAACTTGCAAATTCGGGATCGCCACATTTGTCGTAGCGTAATATTCACGGAGTTCCTCAAGGAGCAGCTAGGTACACTAGACCAGGCAGGTCCTGCATCTCATAAGTTCATACATAAACTTGCTAGGACCCTGAAAACCCGGCGGAGTGGGTCGACTGTACAAAATAGCCTCAATTGCTAGTAACGGCTTCGTTCCCAGGGGGCCTTATCAGTTATACCAGTATACTACATACTATGTATAACACACCTGATGTAATCAAAATCGATTATACTGGTTCTTTGGTCCAGCCTAGGGCCGGTAGTTGCCGCGAAGGTAAAGTTGAGCCTATCCAGGCCCTCTGCTTCGGTCGCACTACCGAAATAGGTCATCGTGGGCTGTTACATAGAGGTGAGGAGTATGATGACATTATATTAACTAAGCTTGTACTATACCCAGCTGTATGTAAATAAGTCACGCCTAAGAGAGTCTAGTCTTACCGAGCCGTTGGACTCTTAAGCCCAGGGATGATTTACAAATACAATACGATGCAGCCGTAGGAACAATACCTAGTGCAGTTGAGAAAGACCGAGTGCTTACCACCAATCAATACTCTGTATTCCAGCGAGACCTCGTGACAAACTATTGTACCAACAACCGCACTACAGTACTTACCAGAATCCTGTACCGAGCCACTAGGTTAAGAAGTTAGGTTCTAGGACTCGATGATCTCGGTGGTTCTAAATCGACCGCCTTCTGGATTTTGTCCTCCTCCCCCGGATTTAGCATTTCTTACTTGCGGCCCGAGGAGTCGTAAATCCTAGGTTAAAGAAGTGTCCCCGCGGCTGAGCTCAGAAATTCGACAGCCGACTTGAAGATATTTCCAGAGGCAAAAGACGAACAGGAGGCCCGATTTCGATTTTTGAACGGTCTAGAACTGGTTAGGGTTGGCAAACACTCAATGCAAGCAGAGCAGGCATTGAAGTATTTGACCGAGACGGATAGGCGCGCAAAAGACCAAAAACCACGTGAGAGGTAAGGTATACTTTTCCGGGTTTTGGAAATTTTCTTTTCCTTCCTTCTTTCAATTTTTCTTTCCTCGTGTGGCCGGCCTCGGTTTCCCATTCCAGCCGCCGACAGCATCGTAACTAGACCGGGGTCGTCCAATAAACGAAATGACTCGGCGTGGGGGTTTCCCAAGGGAGAGAGACGCGGCAGGGTCGTCAGCTGGTCCACTAGGCGCGGGGAGGAGGGGGGGAGGCAAAGGTGATCTCGAGAGTTCAAGTTACGGCGTGGAATCAAGATGGGGTTAAGGGAGAAAAAAGCGCCCGGTTGATCGTGAGGTCATCTGGCTACCTTTTCCTTGAGTGATCTCCCGTGTAGGAATGATGTCGTGCTACCCATCATCTCCTGCTTCTCGTCAGACAAGCATGCAGTGGCTTCGAGCGGGTGATGTTTGTCGTTCCTTCGAGCGTCACCGCAAGCGCTGATCTCTCAGGTAAGACCCCGCGCCAAAACAGTCGAACCATTGACCAATTATCGTGAGCGTATAAATAATGCGACAGCGAAGCTCCAACTTGTATACGACTTTCCCTTATCGTCCACGGCACTGGGAACGAGAGTTGCTGGTAAGCTTTAATGAGCGAGAGGTTCGAACCGTTTGTCTGACGAAATGGGGGCCTCCTAAAAGATATAGACGGTAGATCTGAGTTCTCCTTGAGGATCTTGTAAGTGACCACCACATTTGCCTATCTCTGATGGGCGTTCGAATGAGGCAGGTGACCGGGGGTTATACAGCCCTCTATCGTTTCTATCGTTACTATGAAAGTTCATCAGATAGCACAGAGCTTCAGAGTCTTAGCTTTCAGCTAGATGGGACAGACGTAGAATTTATATTGTTTTAGGTAACCTGTCACAAGAGCTACTGGGCATTTTGTTACATAATAAGTCGCAAATCCAAGTCAGAATGTCGTCTAATTGCGCCATCCAGGTCCTACTCCACCAAAAAATGAATCCTAGTTCCTATCTAAGGGTAAAAAAACATCAGCCATGATTGAATCTACCTTGTCCTTGGATATCTGACATATGTAGTGTATTTGGGGTAGACATACATATGCATGAGTATAGTTGACGACGTATCCGGGGATCCGGGGTAGATCTAGATAGAGATATCTATGACAATTCGACCGCCAGATTGCTCAAAGGGGTAGGGGTCTCAGCAAGAGGCTCTCCCTCTTGTCGATCTATTCTTATCTCCCCTATCCCCCTATCACGCAATTTCTGCCTTATCTTGAGGAATGTGAACACTGACATCTGTGTGTCCCAAGCCTTATTCAATCCCATAAAGCTGCGAAGCCATCCATCTTTGTCATTCCGTCTTAGATCCTCTTGTTGACGCTGTTCCTCCCCTAGGCTATTAGCTTTGAGAGCTATAGAATAGGAAGTTCACTTACCTTCACTTTTCTTAATACATAGGTATGTATTAAGAAAAGTGAAGATTGAAACTCTTGAGCCGTGAGGCTTAATCCTACTAATGAGAAATGGCTCTCTCAATTAATCAGAATGGCCTCACAAAGCCGCAAGCGAGGCAAAGCTCTTTGTTCGACTTAGTCTTGTCAACAGGCCCTTTGTGTATGGGTCGACTCAACGACGATGGGGACTGACGGGAACTTATGGAATATGTTGCCCCTACTTGGGTACTTGGGCATAATGGCTCATTACAAAATACACATACATCGTCAGGACGATGTTGACGGTAGTCTCGCCAGGCGGTAATTTTAAGCGGACCTGTCTTCAAACTTTGTTATGGAGTGGTCTACTTTTTCAATCCAGTTGTGACAGTGAATGGACAGGTGGAAGCACTTCAGAACTTGGAATACTTGGTCCACCCATCCTCCATATCTCAACCATCACCATCACGACAACAATAGCATACAACCCTGCTGCTGCACCACCAGATTCGATGTATTCCTTACTAGGATGCTACAGCCGTGGTCAAGGACCCGGCAATCCCAAAGGAAATCTATTTGGAAAAGAAGGGGACTATGTCGTCCTAGCTGCGTTGCCTGATGGCCAGTTGACGATCCGGGCTTGCCTCGAAGGTTGTGATGAGTTGGACCCGCCAAAGAAGACTGCGGATCATTATGGACTCGTTGGACTGAGTAATGGAAGGTAAACAATCATACCCTGCTGCGTTACTGACAATATCCCAACCATTCTACCTGTATGCGTGATACTAATGAATCGAGTACTAGAGAGTGCTTCTGCGGCTTGAAACTTGTGGCAGAAGCTCGTAAACTTACCCTTGAGGATTGCAACATGCCTTGCACCGGCGATTCAGAGCTATCGTGTGGAGGAGCGGATACAGTCGCCGTATATACTCTCATTCCTGTCGGCGAGAGCAGCAAGGTTACAAGTCATGACAAAACCCAGGATAGCAGCCAGAGCGATGAGAAAGGAGACGAGAGCGCGACCACCCCTGTAGGAACTACTCTTACAGGAACTTCGCTATCTTCCGCTGTCGATACGAGTGCCGCCCTCAAAGCTACAGATGGCCTAGAGCCTACAGGAACCAAACCCCTAAGCGATTCACAGGAGACATCAGGGATGATAATCATACCCTCGTCATCACTCCTCCCATCGGCAATGCCGTCGGACCCCCCTGAAGCGCCGACCACCGGACCTGCCATCGCCGCGATAACAGGCAGTGTCTCAGGCGCTATCATCCTGGCTGCGTTCATAGTTCTATGTGTCCGAGCCTATAAGCGGAAGAAGCTCCAGGAGGCCGCACGTAACACAGAGGTTATACTTATCCCCGAGAACCAGCACGAGGACAACGGCGAGCAACTCCCGCGACGACCAGTCCCCAGCGCGATTGACACTAAGGGATATCAACTTCGTGATCTGAACAAAGGAACTGGACGCGTCGCCGGAGACGGCCATGAACGTGGACATGGCAAAAGAGACGAGGATTTAAGTACCGGCGCATCAACGGACGGCGCATACTTGGTGCCCTCCACACCCGCTCTCGAGTCTGGCACCCGCCTCCGTCATCCTGAGCACTCGGCACGTCTCACAACAACTTCATTGCCAACCTCCGAAAGCGACACCCTGTACAACAAACTAATGGACGAAGTCCGCGGCGGCCCTGCTACTGTACCAGTAGCGACCCCCTCGCCGTCCAGCCCGCCTCCGTCCGCAACGAGTTCATCAGTCCAGTGGCGAGGAAACCCCTTGAAACCCCTGACGCCATCAGCAGCATCCGCCGGCCAGTTCGATTTCGATTTCAACGCCAACGCGAAGCCCGGCGTGTCGAGCCCAGCACCGGCTGCCCGTCCCGAAGCCACCCTTGGTGATCGTGCCTGGCATAGACGCAAGATATCCACCACGTTCCAGCCACCGGCCAGCGGACCCCCTTCCATGCCGCTACCCCCCACGCCGCCTCGACGACAGCAGCAAGGTTACGCTTCGGTACACTTCACTCCTACGCCCGCGTCGAGGGTAAAGCCTGGCCACGGCCAGCATAACGATGGCGAGAAGAAGAAGAAAGAGGGTCCTCGCGCCGCCGCATTGCCTGCCGCATTACCCCTTGGGCTTGTGGTGGGGCCGGCAGGTCAGAGTTCGGCACCAGCAACGCCAGCGCTGAAAGACTCCCCTACGATGCCGCGAGCGCTGAGGGATTCCAAGGACTCTCAGGATTCTCGACGAGGAGAAGGCTTGGTAGGAGGAACTGGACGGGGAATGAGCGGAGGAGAAGGAATAGGAGAAGTAGGAGGAATGCAGCCGTTGCCGCCTAGCACACCCGCGGGACGACAATCTGACTCTCGACCAAACAGGGACACGATCTACACGGTGGGAGAAGAAGAGGAAGGAGACTGGCCTGTCGGCGGAGGTAATGAGGCAAATGGACCGGACGATTCGCCTGCATCGGCAACTACAGTCGGAACGAGTATTCTCTTCCCATCGGATGATGAGCATGATGAGTAATAGGCGTAGAGTAGCGTACCGTAGGTAGTGAAGGTAGTGAGGCTAATAATATCATGCGTTGTTCTGAAAGGAGGAGCGTAGAGAACAACGCATGATCTCTGCCAAAAAGGAACTACTATAGAAGAAATCAACGCACTTAATTCCACATTAAACAGACCATTCTCACGTAGTCGAAGTGTAGAAAACCATTTAATCCGTTTTTTCCCTATCACATTAAGTAGCTCCATACCTACATTAAACGTCTCATTTTATACCTACCACGCCCATCAAAATAGCAAAACTCCATTCGTCATTCGTATATCCAAGACGCCATCTCGTTTCCCTCTTCGTTCCCAAAGAAATGAAGCTCACATATACATGCTTCTGAAGACCAATTTAAGTAAACCTCGCCCCTATATTCGGCAAGGGGTATATGGATAGATATAGGTAGAAAGTTCCCTCACAGCATACCAGCAACCACCAATATCGCCCCCAGCGCAACCCCCATCATACCCGTGACAACCGAGCTCTCAGCCCCAGGGCTCATCCCCACCGGCGCCGCGCCGCTCTCCGCGCCCCCTGTCGCCGTCGGCGTCCCCAGCGTCGTAGAAGTAGTCAGCGAGCCGCTCACAGCCAGCGCCACGGCCGCGAGTCCCGTCCCAGTCGTCGTAGCGCCAGCAGTATCGGTAGTCGTAAACGTGACAGTCTCCGTAGTCGTCGGTCCCCAGCTCCAGCCCGACCCCCAACCAACCCAGCCGTTAAACCCGCCTAGCTCGTTCCACCCGCACCCAGGCCCGACAAACCACGGGGACCCGGCGAAGTCGCAGCCCGTGACGGTAGCTACGCCGCCGGTCCACGTGCGCGACGACTCGAAGGCCGACGCCCACTCGCTCCAGTACTCTCTGTACGAGTCGACGGCGGACGAAATGTCCGACGCGTTCGGAGGCCCGTTGCCGTTGCGAAAGGGGCCGCCAAGCGCCTTTGCGCCGCCACGCCAGCCCCCAGGCGCGGCCCAGGTGACTGATCCGCCCGAGTACGTGACTGTGCGGACGCCAGTGCTGCCGGCGGACGTGCACTCGGAGTACTGGGAGCACAGGGAGCTAGAGAGCGAAGTGTAGGACTCGAAGGCGGTGGAGGACTCGGAGGTGGCGCACGCGCTGCTGATGCACGAGTTGATGCTGCTGCCGTGGTCCGAGTCGCAGTACTCGGACTGCGCGGGCCAGTCGCTGGTTATGGTGGCGGTGGGACTGGACCAGGCGGAAGAGAGGCAGGATTGCTTTAGGGGGGAGACCGAGACGTTAGTGGGTTGGAGTGAATAGGCTGTGATGGAGTACAGCTAGATAGGGAGTGGGTAAAGTAAGGAGGGCCGTATACAGTAGGAGGGAAGGGGTATAGTGAGCAGGCAGACTAGAGCAGTAGGCAAGAGAGTAAGTAGAAAGAGAATAACTCACAGCACAACCAGGAGCGCCTCTCCACCACTGCGCAGAAGCGGCCGCAGGTGCCAAGACGATGGCGACGGTTGAAGTCTTCATCTTCCCTAAGCGGACTCGTGCAGCAGTATATATGTGTGCGTGTATGTATGAACGAACGAACGAATTATCTACTTCCTATAACTTAGGACTAACAGTGCTTACTATAGGACGCTAAGAAGTCTTCTCGAGTATATATAACAAGATATCAACTATATGGAGATAGGAGGAACGCATATAAAGTCGAGAAGAAAACACGAGAGCATATACTTATATGCTTCTCTCCCCGGTAGCTAACTCTAGGTAGCCGAACAAAGACCGGACGGGTCAGCAGTCGAGACTTTGTGTCATGTACGTCAAGGCGAGTGTATCCAACACCAAGGCTGCGAAGACCGTTCGTCATCGCCCTCGCCTTCGCCTGTCTATCTGCGTGCTCGCTGTCCTGTCCTGCATACTCTAATTTTCAGTGCGTGTGATCCTCTCCAGATACGCACTTCACTTGCGAACATTGGCTCGGCTACTGCATACGTACATTACATACATACATGCCCACGTACCTTAGCTCCGGGGTGGGAGGAGAGAAGAAGAAGGAAAGGGATGCAAAAAAATAGGGTTATGACAAGTTCGGGCTGAGTTTTGCAGCGGGAAATGTAAGCTTCCAGAAGACCTTTTCCACCGCTGGTCCCAGTTGCAGATCCTACACGCGTGAGCCCAGCTGAAGCCGCGCGTCCACGCCGCCCGCGAGAGAATAGAATAGAATACGTAGCGCCTCTGTATGACCATATATGAGGAAGACAACGTGGGCGTGGTTGGTGGTTGGTTGAGGATCGGCTTAGGATATGCCGTCCTACAAGAGCCGCGACGTACGTACTATGTAGGTCGCGTAAGCTGGGCTGGCTATATGTATTACAGTATTAGTCCTAGGCTTGTCGGTACCGTAGGAGTCGTAATCGCCTGTGTTTGGCCTACCAATCAGCCAATACGCAGAATATTGCCGAGTATACCTTGAGAAGTAACCAGTCTGTATCTAAGTAAGGCAACTAAATGCAAGACAACTTGTCCATCGACTTTCCCACACCTAGTTCACATAGTATGACGGCATACATAGTACGATCTTGGATCAAGCGTGGACACATTCGATCATTCAGATCATCCATTCGCCTCTACAGGGAACTAGGCGGTTGAGTACTATTAAGCTTCGTCGGTTACCGGGTTGTGTCTTGTAAATGGAGGCTTGTTTGCGCGGGGTTAAGCATTGGGGACGTCCGAGAGCTTGGTGTAAGTGTATTTGTGACCAATCAGCGGTGGTCTCGGTGGTCTGGTAATCCTCAAATGGGTAAGTCTAGTACACTACTATGTAGCTTGCCGGTCCCGAAACCACGCGAGTTTCCTTTGCTTACACTACTTTTAGCTTCCTACCGATTCCTCTTCGGGTTTAAGTTCGGAGATCCCTAAATATATTTAGATAAGATGTAACCTTGTCTATTTCAATGACGAACATATGTATTCTCTTTCGATGCTCGGTTTGAATGAATTAACGAACAGTATTGTAAAGTCGAGCTTACACATTTGAAAGCAAGGCTTCTTCATCATTATAGAAAGAAAGCCCGGGATATCCATATCTCCATATCGAAGACTGACGTGAAGTCTGTCCATCATCATCGACATTTCAATATTGAGGACGTAAGCGTATCATACCTATGCTCATCGGGACAGCAAATTTGACTGGGCAACAACGATGGTACATAATAGCCTATACCTGAGGCTGAAACAAAAAACAGTCTATTGCGACACTGTTATACACGACTGGTGCTACTCCTCTGCCCTCTGCCTCTCCACGTCGAAGCCCTATGGCTTTCTTCGGAACAACCGTGCCGGAATTAGACGCGTATACCCTCCATTAAAACCCCCTCAGTAAAACTCCTAATACGATATGCATAAGACCTGAAAACGCCCTTCTTGGAATCAATAATTGGCTCCTCGAGGAGCCACTGACCGAAAAAAAAAACAAAAAACAAAGAAAATGTGGCATGAACCACGTTAGCGTGTGACGATATCTTGGGTATTGTTTATTGTTTAAAAACTACCCATTGCCGTCAAATCATGTAGACATCATGTGGCGGCGAACAATAAAGCCGCCAACCTAAAACGGGGTGGGTCACCGCTTCTTGAATTTAGACAGCGGACGCCTACCCTAGAGCATCGTGCCAAACGTCTCGTCAGTCTGGATCCGCTTCCGTGGGCTGCCGTCCTCCGTAGTAGGTTTTCGATGACGGAACGTAAATCCAACGAAGAGGCCCTTGCCCATCTGCTCTTCTCGATCGGCCATGGATTCAAGAGCCTGTTGTTTATCGTGGACTTCTTTGTACTTGGCCATATCAGCTTCGTTGGTGAAATCATCAAAGTACCCTGCGTCCGTCTCCGAATCCAGCTCGGGTACAAACGGGGCTTTCGACTCTCTCAGGGTGTTCCAATCTACTTCGGCAAAATAATGATGCTCGAAGATATCCTTAATATTGGAAAATCGTTTGGATCTCGAGTTGATACACCTAAAATTCGTCAGCCTTAATATTTTTACCTTAATACTCGCACGAGACTTACGTAGTGATAAAGTTCCAGGTACGGGTGCTTAAGAAATAGTTCGGATCCTCCCAGACTGGTCGCTTAAGCACTTCTTTCCAATGTTTCAGATTATGCCACGTCTCGTCGGCTGTAGAGCCTGCAAAGGGAGGAAATCCGGTGAGGGCTTCGAACAGCATGCATCCCAAGCTCCAATAGTCGACAGTGTAGTCGTACTCCTCGCCGCGGAGCACTTCCGGAGCCATGTAATCTGGTGATCCTACTATGGATTTCGCATAATTCGTGTCCCTCTCACGCATGGTTTGATAACCCTCTCGGCGCTCTGCCACGGTTCGTTTATCCATAGCCTTACCAAACGGTACGGTAGTCTCGGAAGCCTTCTCGAGTCTGATGCGCATCGAATTGATCTTTGAAGATGCAACATTGCCAGCCGCCAAGCCGAAATCGGTTAGTTTGACGTGGCCAGTGGAATCAATAAGGAAGTTTTCTGGTTTCAAATCTCGGTGAATATAGCCCAGCTTGTGAAGTGCATCCACGGAGCAGAACATCTCGGCGATATAGAAGCGAGCATGACGGTTGGATAGGACGCCCGTGTTGTTCAGGAGGGTTCTGAAGTCTCCACCAGGTACGTATTCCATGGCAAGATAGATATTCTTGTCGTCTTGGAACGAGTACAAGAGGCGGACGAGCCACTCGCTATTGGCAGTGGTAAGGATATCTCTTTCCGTGAGGACATGGCGGATCTCGTCCAACTTAAAGAGCAGCTTCTTGCTCATGACTTTCAAGGCGCACACCTCCTTGGTATCTTTTTTTTGGGCCAAGAACACTTGCCCGTAGCCTCCTTGACCAACCTGTGTTAAGATCTGGAAATCACCCTGTCGAAGGCGTATACGACGCTTGCGGAGGTTTGCTCGCTCTCTGCCCGTGTACCTCTGCCACAACTGGTTATACTCTTCTTGATCAGTTTCCGGGGGCGCTGGTACCTCAGCCTTAAAGGCGTTCAGCCGTGATTGCCTGGCGCCGACATAAGTGAGCAGGTCGAAATAGTAGTCTAGGAAGTCTTCAAGCAGTCAGCGGTGCAAAGGTAGTTAACTAGGCAAGACGGCCTTACACAGTTGTGTGACGTTAACTAAACGGCGAACGTTGGGCTTCTTCAGAAGCTCCATTTCTTCAGGAGTAAGACCGCGAGAGGTGTTAAATCTCTTGGTCGTGGATGTTACTGGCCGAGTATCTCGGAGCTGGTAGAGTTCTGCACGCGATATCGCGGCTTGGTTGTGCTGATAGACGGAGTCTCGCACCGGGATTCTAGACGGTGGCGTGTTTTCCTGTCCCTGCTTCTTCAAGGGAGTTCCCGCGGGATCCCCTGCCTTATGAACAATACTGTTATCCACAGTGGGGGATGCAGTCGGAAAGTATCCATCATCAGCTGGTTGGATGTTGCTTTTGGCTGGCGATAAAGGGCTAGCTCCATTTCCATTCTGAGGTCTTCCAAGCCTAACAGGGCTATCAAGAGAAACCGGGTTGAGTTTCAATGCATCGAATGTAGTAGGAAGTTCGTTGGCTCCTGGAGGTATCGTCTTCTTGCTCGGACTACCTTGAGGTGTTGAGACGGGAGTGATGAATGTGTTCTTGGTCGGCGTGCCTGGAAGGTCTGAAACGGGTGACTTTGCGTCTTTTGGGCCCGGAGAGGGAAACATGGTGGAAAGAAAGCTTGCCATAGCTGAAGACACCAATGAAGAAGGTTATTTTACAACAACGTTTGGCGTTGGAGCGTTGAAGCGTTGGAGCGTCGAAGGGCGATCGAATAAACACGAAGCCCGGGGCAAGGGAGGGGCTCGCTGTGGGAGCAGCTGGCAGCAGAAAGATGAAGATGGATCCAATTGATAAAGTCTAAGACCAATTCTTATTCGAGGGATTATGCAAGATGCAAGAAGAAAGATCCAAACTCCATGCACGATGGTTGATCACTGGCAACCAAATGATGCTTGTTTTTTATTACATGCCGGTTGGAAGAATGAAAGGTGGGATGGATATGTTCGCAATTCGCAATTGGGCTGCAATGAGAGGATGGCGGGGTCTTGAATTCTTGGGGAACAATAACAAAACTTTCCAATAATAGAATAATAATAGATCAAGTTATGTAAATCGAGATATGTTAGGTACAATACATAAAGTCTAAAAGTCAACAATTGTCACCCCGGCAGCCGCTAGACTACGAAACGCCTAAGCTTTCTGTTGTACGCACCTGGCTGACCTGGTTGCTGAGATCTCCCTTCCCTTGGTGACTGGTCAGACTGGTGACTGGTCTCTTGTCCCCCTTGCTTAGTGCTCCGTGCTTACGGCTATGTGCGTGCCACGGTTGGTTACCCAGTATGTACGTACCGTATGCACCTAACCTTAGGTAGACCCAGCTGCCCTGGCGCTATGCCCTGTCAACTTTAAGGAATCGCCCTGATTGCCCGGCTATCTGCTTATCGTCCTATCATCATTGGGGAATAGTAATACCGTTTAAATTATTCGAGCTGCACACTGTGCATTGATGTGATGCAATAGCGCTGCACAAGGCTGAAATATCCTGCAAGAACCCATATTTTCCATATTTCATCAAGAATCCATATTTCATAACTACCTCCTACGTACTAACCTACTTTAATATTCCGTCCCCAACGGCGCGTTTCCACACGATTTATGCTGAAATGCAACGCAGTTTCTAACGACCATCAATCTCTCGCAGTAACCGTAATATACCTTGTTGTTTGACTACCATCTACCATGCCGAAGGAGAAGAATTTCAACCCGGTGCAGGCTCAGCGCAAAGCTGACAAAGCCAAAGCGCTCAAGAAAGGTAATTGCGTATCGCTATCATGATATTTGACGATATTGAACACCTACTAACGCAACGTTTTACTCGTAGGCAAGGCAGAAGCCGCCGCACGCCGAAATGAGAAGCTCGCGAAGCGAAACCCTGAGAGGTTACAAAAGCAGATCGATGACCTAAAGAAGATTACCTCTAGCGGCGGCAAACTCACTAAGCACGAAGAATCGGTACTAGAAGGGTTGGAACGCGACCTAAAAGCAGTTAATAAGGCCAGGGAAGCACTGGGCGATAAGGCGCCGTCTTTTGGCCGCAGTGGTGGTTTTAAAGGCGACGGTCAAGGGAACAATAATGTGCTGGGCAAGCGAAGAAGAGGCGGCGATGATGGCCTAAGCAGCGATAGCGACGTGCCAGACGATGTCAAAAGTATCCCTATGCCGCGAGACACGCCGCCGCCAATTCCGAAGGAGATACTAGACAAATGGTATGCGAAACGCAGGGCGGCACGAAATGCAAACGATACACCGCTGGGCGGTGGTCAAGACAAGCAACCGCCGCCAACCGCGCCGGTGGTAGAATCTAAGACGGTATATGAATCGAAACCGATAGTACGCGATTTGCGCAAGGAAGCCGTTAGCGCATTCGTGCCTACGGTAGTTCGGATGAAGATGGAAAAGAGCAAAGGCCACAGTGGTCTAATGGAGCCTGAAGAAGCAGACCGTTTGGAGAAAGAAGGCTACCTCAAAGCTATTCCGGCCCAAAATGACGCGTCAGAATCCAGTACGACGACAGGGCCCCAAAAAGTTTCGATGGAGGAAGTGGAAGACGATCAAGATTAAGCCGATCGAAATTAAAGAACCATCCAACTTATTCTCGGGGTGGCCGTTAGAGTCGGGTCCGTTCCTATTAGTTGAAAGTGCGGCGGTTCCTACCTAAACGCCATGACTGCCGATAAAGTGCAGAGCTTGGCTGTTACACTTTGGCTAAAATCCTACCTAGGTTAGGTAGTGTTCCCCTGCTTCCTGGAGGAGGGACGTGCCGTCCCTTCGTCGCTGGTGCCTGCAGTCAGAGACGATTCCTGGTAAGAAAGATGGCTTATCAAAAGGTCTGTTGGTTCTAGATACCTAAGTCTGGAGCATTGGGTATCACTCTAGCCAGGGGTCAGGGGTAGGACCGGTAGTGAAAGGTTTTGTGGAGGTAAATGGATCTCTAGCGGCTGTGTAGTACGAATTTTCGAGACGTAATCTTCATGCAAAACGAGTGCAATATCACGTCTTTCACACTTTGCCGCTCGACGACTGCCCAAAGTGGATTCTGGCGGGGTTGAAATATGCGGTCTGTTGCCTCCGAGGACGGATGGTAACCTTGATGTTCCTGGTCTTCGGTCGAGATCGAACGCTAATGTGGATCCAGATAGTCATCGATGTTAATATGTGCCTAATATTTGGGTCCCCGAGCAAGTCTGCATGCAGCTGTAGCTATTATAAAAAAGCTTGTAGGCGTACCCAACTAAAAAGAATAAAATCATGATTCTTAATGATTCTTAATACCACTCGTACCACTCGATAACACCAGTCTTGCCTATATATAAGATAGACTCGGCGGCGCAATGGAAGATATAGAAAAAGCTGAACACTTTCCACAACAGACCCCTGCCACAGAAACCCCCGATTCGGCTTACCTTGAAAAGGATCAAGGATACTTCGACGCAAACCAGAAGCCTGATTTGTTTGCACAGGGTTACGGGCAGGCCGTCGACAAGACTAATACTAATACCGGGCGTGAGACCCTCCTCGGGGATGAAACATATCCAGAAGGAGGGTTAGAGGCGTGGATTGTCGTCTTTGGATCGTGGTGTGGTCTTCTTGCTTCCTTGGGGCTGATGAACAGCATTGCAACGCTCCAGACGTACGTTGCAACGCACCAGCTCTCCAACTACGATGAGGGTATCGTCGGGTGGATTTTTTCCTTGTATACAGCATTGTGTTTTCTCTGCGGCGTGTATATCGGACCGCTTTTTGACAAATACGGGCCTAGATGGCTAGTTGGGCCAGGCGGTATAATTGTTGTCGCAAGTGTTATGCTATTAAGCATCTGTACAGGTATGTTATGTTGCCTCCTTTTCTCTCCATCTTGCTTTACTTTACTTTATAGAAAGAGTACCTACCTAACGCATACTAACTTAACTTTGTGCAGAATATTGGCATTTCATGCTCAGCTGGGGCATCCTTAATGGAATAGCAACATCATTTCTCTTCACTCCGTGCCTCACAGCTATTGGACACTTTTTCCATGAGCGCCGCGGGTTTGCCTCGGGGCTCGCAAGCACGGGCGGTGGCCTGGGCGGCGTAATTTTCCCGTTGATAATGCAAAGTCTCTTCGACAGGGTGGGATGGGGATGGACAATCCGCATTCTAGGTTTTATTTGCCTTTTCCTACTTACTTTTGCCAGTCTTTTAGTTAAAAGGCGGTTGCGTCCGGCTCAAAACGCAAGCCCGCATCCGGACTTTCGTATTCTAAAGGAAAAGTCATTTTTGCTCCTTACCATCGGCGTTTTCTTCCTGGAGTTCGGGCTTCTTATCCCGCTCGCCTACATCTCGAGTTACGCACTCGCCAACGGCTTTAGTGAAAGCTTTTCCTTCCAGATTTTGCCTATTCTCAATGCGGCGTCGGTGTTTGGGCGTGCGTTGCCTGGCTGGTGGGCGGATAAAATCGGTGCCTTCAACACAAATATGATCTCTCTTTGCGCCACAATCTTTGCGTGTTATGTTGTGTGGTTGCCATTTGGCCACACGACTCCGGGACTCGTCATATTTGCCGTCATGTTTGGATTCTCAACCGGCAACAACATCAGCATTACTCCAGTCTGCGTAGGAAAGTTATGCCAAACGCAGAACTACGGTAGATATTATGCTACCTGTTACACTATCGTTTCTATTGCTGTCCTACTCGGCCTTCCCGTTGCGGGTTCCATCGTCAAGGCTGCCGATGGCGACTACTGGGGTCTTATCGTGTTTACGGGTCTCACTCAGGTTATTTCTGTCGTCGCCATGTACGCAGCTAGGGCGGAAAAGGTGGGATGGTCACTTTGGGCTAACTTTTAGCCGGGGTGAGTTTGGCTCTCTTAAGGTTTTCTATCACCTTGGGTGGCATGGAGGGCTGAGTACCTCAAAATAAATTCCTCGGTACAGGTATCCGGCCGGTTTTTGGGAATTGGAATTTTGGGGTACGGCACATATAAATATAGAGGGGAACCGGAAAAGTTATGGGGTTTATTAGAGAAATTGGTTAATTAACATTGTATGTATTTTGACAGATACTTGGGGTTTCCTGTATCTTTGTCTATACATACGTCATATTAGAGCATCTAAGAGGTAGTCTTAGACAAGCGATTATTGGAATCGAGGATTAATAATTACGGGTATCTCTATACGGTAGATAGAGAAAAACAGGAGAAATAAAGCGACATGGCTGAAGCAATATATTAAGGTTAGTACTTCACCTAGGTACATATGTATAAGTGAATGTTGAGAGAGAGAAAAAGCGTAATTGACATAAATGTGGAGTAGGTAAAGATGTAGGATGGAAAGGATACAATAATAGATTAAGGTTGAACATAGTTCGTGGTTAGCGTTTTGTAGTACTTGGTACCTAGAAAGAAAAAGAAAAGGGCTGCAGGGATCTCCGCACGAAACTCCATTCCTCTCTTTCCTCTCTTTATCTCTTCTCTCTTGGGTCTAAGCTTCGACGTTGATCTCCCTTTCATCCGATGCATAACCCCACAGAATTCAACTCACGTCAGCGGCGAAGACAAAGTTGATTGTTAATGATTAATTTGTTGACGACGACCCATACACTACAACTACCTACCTAGGTATACAACTATACAACCATACAGTTATAATCTCTTATCCAAGCTATTGAACTAGCTAACTAAGGCTTAGTGTGTTTCATAGCTGCATGATCGTGCATACCTACATATCTATCTCCGAAATATCATTCCCAGATACGTATTAACAAGTTTCACCTCACCAAAAACCCTCAACCGATTTTTGCGGCAATTTCTACATTACCGATAAGACTCATTTCGGCTGTTCAGCCACGAGGTTACTTCTATAGTAAGTCTATCTCTGTTTACTCACGATATAGGTTTATGGGTTTATAATTCAATCCGCAAGCGGGGTGTAGTGCACTCTCTGTATGCTTTGCTTTTCTTTCGATTAATGCAATATCAAGCCGGGCAAGCGGCCCTCCGCATGGCTGGCCCGGGGGGAGCCGGGGGCCGAGGTTTCGGTCTCATCTCGTCTAAATCACCCGGAGTGCCGGCGATTACTACATGTCCATATCAGTCACCCCATGCCACGCCAGCTTCGGTAGCACATGCATATTATGATTGTGTCCCCTGTCTAGAAATTATGTCTATTCTAGTTACATATATTCATCCATAAATCCCTAATTCCATAAATCCATACGTTGACAGTTCAGTTCGCCCCATTACTGCACTATTCCACCATAATCGATCCTATCCTCACTAACACGATGGCGTCACAGACCTTAGACTTAGATCTTCAGAACACTCACTCGCCCAGAAGAGAACAAGATTTATCACATCCTTTAAGTCTCGCATTTAACCTATCAGAATCTCGATTTTCTAATAGGTCGCCATCTATATCCTCCGTTTCAAGTCAGGACACCATGTCGAGCAACACTACTAACACATCCGCTTCGTCGCACCAAGTAGTTGAAAATGCATACTTCAACTCCAACCCGCCTCCCAAGGCTTTACCGCAGCGTGTTGCGGCCGCTGAATCGTTTATAAATCAGCATGCAGCGGCTAACAGGCGGGTCGTTCTCGTCACCTCGGGCGGGACTACCGTGCCTCTCGAAAAGCAGACAGTACGTTTTATAGATAACTTCAGCGCCGGAACAAGAGGTGCCACATCGGCCGAGTATTTTCTAGAGTCTGGATATGCTGTTATTTTTATGCATAGACAGTTCAGTTTACTCCCATACAGTCGGCATTATAGTCATTCTACCGACTGCTTCCTAGACTTCCTGCATGAGGACCCAGATGGCAGTGTCGTCGCAAATCCGGCGCACCAAGACAAGATGCTACGTGTGCTGCGCAAGTATAACGCTGCCAAACGACAGAACCTCCTACTGATGATCCCGTTCACTACTATCACCGATTATTTGCACGAGCTACGCGCGGTGGCGCAGCTCATGCGCCCACTGGGCCCTAATGGCCTATTATATCTAGCTGCGGCAGTAAGCGATTTCTTTGTACCGGAAGAACGCATGTCGGAACACAAGATTCAAAGCACAGACGTCACAGACATGCTCAAGAAACAAGGGCCGACGACAATCACGAAGGAGGCGAGGGACTCGTCGGACTCGTCGAACCTAGAAGAGGAGGTGTTCGACAACTTTGACTCATCACCAACAGTGCCGCGGAGCAAGCGCCTTATTGTTGATTTAGATCCAGTACCTAAATTCCTGAAGAATCTCGTAGACGGCTGGGCGCCCGAGGGCATGATCGTCTCGTTCAAGCTGGAGACTGATCCAGCGATCCTCGTCCATAAGGCCAAGTACTCGCTTGAGCGGTACCAGCACCACCTCGTTATTGGGAACCTGCTGTCGACGCGCAAGTGGGAGGTCGTCTTCGTAGCGCCTAACCAAGAGGATAACTGGATTCGCGTCCCCATCCACCAACGCAAGAAGACGTTGAGCGGCGTCGAGGAATTTACCGGCGCATCGGACCAAAAGAGTGGCGAAAATGAGCCGTTAGATCCAGCGACGCTGCCGGAGGGCGAACCCGAAATCGAGATTGAAAGTTTGATCATACCTGCCGTCGAGGAGCTACACTCGAAGCACATCAGGTTAGCTGTTGAGAGGAACGGGCCTAAGTAATAGGTCATTCGGCCCAAGCGAGTTGCTTTGTTAAATCATGGACGGCGTTTTGTGTATATATTCCCAATGTCGATGTCCCCGATAGAGTCTAGTAATTACATTTATCTCGCTACGGCTTATACGCAGTAAGAAGCGAAGATTCTTCAAGACGCTGATAACTACCTTAAATATGAAGCTAGACCATTCATATGTACCTAGTTCAGAGTGGCGCGGTGACGCATGGATTCATATGGCAGTGGTATGGATACTACCCATTCTTCGATCATCAATGACATTGACGGCCTTCATACGGGCGAGTCTGGAAGCTACGAGTCAAAAAATAAAAATAAAAATAAAATAAAAACAGACTGAGAACTTGCACCTATCTCCAACAATGTCAATGTAACAAATATTCTAAGCACTTGACTATTCTGTCCTGTGAATAGGTACCTACCTAGCCACCCTTGATGAGAGGGGTCCACGGGTTGAACGGTAACGAACAAGGTGTAATTGAATCATCACGAGAAGAGCTGACTAGATGATACACTATTATGTCACCTGACTTGTTTAACAAAGAGACTTGATATATTTACCTAACTAGGGTGAATAAAGCGAGTAGAAACTGCGCGATTTGCTAGATAACTATACAATCTATGTGATACTTATAAGGGATTATAATCCTACTCGGGGCAAACTACAGGACGTAAACATGTCATTCGTAGGCCCTTAAGACTAGAGGATCATTTACCATGCTACTTATACGTACTACGTCCTTGATCGAAAGGGGTTGACCTCCGTTTTCGGCAACCTAATAATGATGTGAAAGAAACTTACCGGATTGGAGAAGAGACTGGAGGTCGGGTTTAAGGGACGACATATGTTATACACTGATAACTTAGCAAGCGTTTAAGTACTCGAATCCATATAGAAATCCGCATGGAAATGTAGACAAAGCCATAATACCCAACACCGCCGGACGCAGAATTTTTAATGCTGCCTTCTTTGTGTCGTAATACGAACAAAAGTCCTACTAAACTCGGGCAGGCTTTCCACCCCGCCATGTGCACTTGTAAGTCTCCTATTTTGTTGTTCGAGGACATCACATAGCATCACCATGGTGGAACCAACCAAGGAAGTATTCCTCCCTTCGTGGAGCGTAGAGTTCAAATCCGTCGCTGAAAAGCTATCCGATAAGCTAGTTGATGAGGAGAAAGCAGTTAGTTTTAATGAAAATTTCGATAGAGACAAAGTCGAGAGCATTATACAAGAGTTGTTGAACAGCCTGATACCCGACTTGGTTGAGTTACGACACATAGAACTAAAAAAGGAAATTAATCTCGTTAAAGACGATATCCGAATCGCAGATAAGGAACTACGGATGGCTAAAGATGCCCATGAGGCAACGAAAACCGAATTGCGCAATGTTGAGGAAAAATATGACGATATACTGTCCGATATGAAAAGGAAGTACCAGAGGCAGTTAACCGAGGTTGATAGTGAAGTTTTGAAAAGGGATACCATAATCGACGACATGAAAACAGAAAAGAGGGATCTGTTGAGCGAGAATAGGAAGTTCCTACGAAAAAAGGATAAAGAATATGAGGAACTACTTGGAACCTATAAAAAGATGGTAGAGGAAAAGGAGATTGCCGACGCACAGGTCAAGCATGCCAACAAAAAAGCCAAGTCAGCAGAGATGAACCTCCGCGGCAAAAGCGTAGACTTGGAACAAGAAATGGCCTGGGGGAAAAACCAAGCAGCTCTACACCTGCAAAAGGATCGCAGGTTGCATTCGGTGGAGAAGGAGCTAGACGAGGCCTTGATAGTGCTGGAAGAACGTACTAAAACGTGTGATGAATCTATCGAGAGAGAGAGATATCTTCAGAGGATGATAGATGAGAGAGACAGGACGATATTGTCGCTCCAGACACAAATAGGCGAACTTACCATGCCTAAGGCCAGAAGCGTCAGGAGTAATTCGAGCACGTCGAACAAGTCGATGAAGGGAGGAGATACCCTAGCCAATGAACTCCTGATTGTGGAAAGCAGAGAACGTATTGAGGAATTTGAACTACAAGTTGAGGATCTTGAAACACAAGCTGCGGAACTTCAAGGGGAATTGGCCGGTGCGCGACTTCAGGTTCAGCAGGTTGAAAAAGAGCGCGACCTACTCGAGGCACAGTTAAATCAGGTTCGAAAAGACCGCGACGAACTTGAGGTACAATTCAAGAAGACCAATATCAAGAACGACGAACTCTACAGGGAAGTCACTCGCCTCAAGCCGTTCGAGGACCAAGCAAATAACCTCGCAAAACGCGAGAGGGAGCTCCAATCCCAAGTCAAGGCCAAGGGTCAGGAGCTCAAGAAGTCCCAGGCCGAAGTTGAAGAGGCAAATGCCGAGATCAAGAGGCTTAAGCGAGGTCCTGGGAGCAAACCAACCACCCCAACGGTCATCCCGGCAATCGGACTTGACGCCGCAGTCGAGGAGTGCGAGAAAGAGAAAGCTAAACTTGGAAAGCGGATCGAACAACTCGAGGGCGAGCTCGAACAGGCGCTAGAAGAAGCCCTGAAGAACCTGACGGCGGCAGACGACATTGACGATCTCCGCCGCCGCCTCGCTGAAGCGGAAGAAAACCTGAAAAACAGGCCATCGGAAGACGATATGAACGAGCTCCGTCGCCGCCTTGCCGAAGCAGAAGAAAACCTAAGGAACAGGCCATCGGAAGACGACGTCGAGGAACTGCGCCGTCAACTTGCTAAAGCGAACGAAGACCTTGAGAAAGCGAAACAAGACCTTGAGAAAGCGAAACAAGACCTTGAGAAGAAGCCATCGGAAGACGACCTTGATGAACTCCGCCGCCGCCTTGCCGAAGCAGAGGAAAACCTGAAGAATAGGGAAGACGAGATCATCGAGCTCCGTCGCCGCCTCGCTGAAGCAGAAGAAAACTTAAAGAAGAGGCCATCGGAAGACGACGTCGACGAGCTGCGCCGTCAACTTGCTAAAGCGAAAGAAGACCTCGAGAAGAAGTCATTGGATGACGATATCAACGAACTGCGCCGCCGCCTTGCTGAAGCAGAAGAAAACCTGAAAAAGAGGGAAGACGAGATCAACGAGCTCCGCCGCCGTCTTGCCGAAACGGAAGAAAACCTGAAGAAGAAGCTATCGGAAGACGATTGTGATGAACTACGTCGCCGTCTTGCTGAAGTAGAAGAAATTCTGAAAAATAGGGAAGACGAGATTATTGAGCTCCGCCGCCGCCTTGCCGAAGCGGAAGAAAACCTGAAGAAGAAACCATCGGAAGACAACTGTGATGAATTACGTCGCCGTCTTGCTGAAGTAGAAGAAATCCTGAAAAATAGGGAAGCCGAGATCATCGAGCTCCGCCGCGCCCTTGCCGAAGCAAATGAAAAGTTTAACAGGGCTCCGACGGAAGACGCCGTCGAAGAACTCGCCCGTCGTATAGACCAAGTGCAAAGAGAACTTGACCAAGAGCGAGAAGCCAGCGCCAAGCTGAGAGAAGCCAACGCCCAACTGCAAGAGACGATAAGAAACCTCGAGCGCGACGCACTCGCCAGAACCGCGGAACACGAGCGTCAAACCCGCGCCCTAATCGAGGAGCACGCACGCCACATCACGAGACTCGTCGCCAAGCTCGCGGCGAAGCATGACGACACCATCGGCTCCAGCTCCGCCCTCGCCGAGTTCTGGGAGGATATGGCCAAGAAGATCCACGCGCGAAGCGTGGAGGTCAACGATGTGTCCAAGAGGGAGAGCGAGGTGAACCAGGGGACGCGCGACCAGTACGAGGAACGCCTGGCCCAAATGAACGCGGACATCGCGCGCGACCCCAGCTCCCCGGCGGCGGCTAACACCAAGCGCCGCGTCGCCGGCGTCAAGCGCGAGATCGACCGCGTGAACGGCATCATCGAGATCTTCAAGCGGCAGACCGACTGGTTCGACGGCTTGATCCCCGAATTCGCCGCGGGCGAAGAGCTCGCCGCCAAGCTACGGGAATCAGCCCGCAAAGCCGCCGCCGCAACCCTTGCTGCCACCGAAAACGCCCGGACCGAGGCCGAGGCCGCCGTTCTCCGCGCCCAGGCTCAAGCGGCTCTCGCACGCGGGGAAGCGGAGGAGGCAAGAATAGCAGCAGGGGAAGCGGTAGCGGAAGCAGTAGCGGAAGCAGCAGCAGGGACCGCGGCGCAGAACCAAGTTGTTCTTTTCAGGCCCGGGACCCGGCAGGCGAGGTGGCTAGCCGGATGGCGAAACAGGTTGCAGGGGCTTCAAGGGCTGTTCCGGGGGGGCGACATGCGGACCGTCTTCAGCGTCATTGGGGTTGTGAGGTTTTGCGCCTTCTTGTTTATGTTATTGACGATACTGACGCAGGCGCGAGAGTTGGCGATTTGGAAGTCGGCGAATGCGCCGTTGCAGAGAGCTTTCTACGCTAATACGAACCAGCAATATTCTCTCTGCTTCAGGCGGCCGTCGTGGGATCTGATGTGGGAATTCATTTTCGCAATTTTCACGGGGAGGTTGTTATCAAATAAGTAGGTGTCTAGGTGTTTGGATATTTATGTGTATAAGGGGTAGTCGGATGATTAGTTGGGATTACTTGTGATGTTAAAGAGCCAACCCGAGGTTTGTTTGGTTGGTTAGAATGAGGTTTACTAATTTGATTTTATTTCATCTTGTTTGGCCTATTATCGAATGTTGAAGATGTGAGCTGACAAATGACGTTTGGGTATACGGAATAATAATATTGAAACTGATTTGGAATTGAGTCTCAACTAGTCTCAACTAAGAATCAACCCCGGTGGAGCGGTCTGTACAGTGCATATCGTGATTTATACTATGGATTTATCATAGTTTGCACTGTTGAGGGTCCGATGATGTCAACTGTACGTCGGTGACCAGTTTCAGGAGACTTCACTGAGCAGGGGGGCTTAGTATCACCTAAATACCTAGGTTAGGCAGTAACACCTAGGCAGTAACACCTACCTAGGTTAAGATTAATCACGAGTATTCGTATTTGTAAATATCTACAAATAGTATCGTATGGTTGAATTCCAAATACTTACTCATTATACATACCTACCTCCTAGGTAATGTCACCAGTTTATATAAAATTAAGAATGAGTATTTGTCAACCTCGGTTGAGGATATTGAAACCCACTCTCGATTCTGTTGCTATAAGTAAACTAAGTAAACTAAGTGAACCTTCGAGGCAAACGTTCTTTGTCACACAAGTTACACGACGTCACCACGGTTTAATATCTAGAGGTCATCTTAGAGGTCATCATCCTAGAGGTTATCTAACAATATCCAACATCAAACACAACAATACATTAC